CTTAGTGCCTAACAGATTGTATAAAAAAGTGGCAACACCATTTTGATTATTACACGTATTTTGCACAGTACTTGATCTAAATCTACACAGTCGTTAATAGAAATCCATTATCGGTTGAATATTACAATTTTACCATTTCATTCACAACGGTCTAATTCTAAGTCAATTACATTATCTCATTTACTATCTTAAACCATAACATCCACATATAAGATTGCTTTTGCAGAATTTAGCCAGCTAATATTTCATGGTAGTTCATACCATAACAATTGAATATGCCAAACGTCATAGATAAATTGGTATTAACCCATTCTTAGATAAGTAATTTTATGATAACTATGTTAAGGCAGCTATGTTAATGTTACTCGACAATAATTCCTAATGAGAAAGAAATATTATAATTTTATTTATTATCTTAATATAATAAAAACAGGTATCTATCTTGTGATCAAAAAGGTTATTAAGTTAGCAAAATTTTACATTCTATTTTTAATTAAAAGTAGGATGGCTGTATGGTGTTATTTAGGACATAAATCTTACATGAATACAAGGTTACGTATATACAATAGCCAGATAAATTTCTTAGCTAAACAATTCAGTAATATAACATAACGGTTCTAATAGCAAGAATTTCTAACTTGCTATTCGTAGTAGTTTTATTTAAGCACAATACTAGTCGAAATCAACAATTTTGATCTAAGTTCTAGTCATCCTATTACTATCTATAATAGCAATCATTCCGAAATATATTTTGATGCAATAACTTATCTAAAATAATAATCGAGGTAAAGTATCATCTATCGAAATTGTCAATAAATATATGAACTTTATTACAGCAAATAGGACCTTTCGGCTATATGTGCGGTAATCCAACAATGTACCAGAATGCAATTGTGAGTTCTATGTACTACTATATATATGCTATACATCATGAAGTCTTCTTTACTTTATAACTAAGGCAGCAAAGTTTCTTCAGTAACCTCATTTTTGCAATAAGTGTTATAAATAGCATTATAATTTTTAATAATACAGGTACATGGCTGTATAACAACTGCTAAAATGCTGTTAATGGTTTATATAGTTCTTTTATACTTCCTAAATATAACCTTATTAGCTTTCAGAATAGTGAACGTTTCGATATAAATTTTAATTATTAGCCATCATGTTACCGCGATGATGACGTCGATGCATTTCCATATGACCAGCATTATCATAAACAAGCTACAATTGTTTAATATCGTATGATATAAATAAAACAATTGTAGCTAAACTAGGACAATAACAAAAAGACATGGATTGTTTTTCTTTGAGGATTGACTTAGCCTTAGAGATAGACGTAACGTAAACAAATAAACCTGTAATTTAATCGATATACGAACGTTATACTTTTAGGAACAGTACATTCAAGCGACAGGGTACCTCAGAGATTGCAACGGATTAGCAAGATTATGATTATACTGCTATTTGAGAATTCTATTCCAAAAATAACAATATACCGTAATTGAAAAAGAAGATCAAACTAATCTTGCAGCGCAAAATCTCTAATTTGATCACTATAAATTCATCAGTTTACCACGAATAAAAACCATGCTACTTTATTATACGCGATGTTGTAGCCTACTGATAACTTTTTTTCTATGATATAGGCTTAGAGAGCCGATTTCTATAATTATTATTGCTATCCCTTCGATCTTATTAAGGATAGTCTTTTTATATACTGTAGTACTAGAATATTTAAGTCCTGATTTCCCTTCATTCAATTTGTTAATTTGTTAAATTGTCTTTTAATCCGATCGAGGAAAAAGCTTGGGTTCGAAGCTTTTCTGTAATCTCTATTGTTTATTATATTAGGTAAGGCTTTTACTTTGATGCTATCATTGCGTATGCATAGTTTTACCTATTATTTCTATCTTCATATGTCCATTATCCTCTAAACTTTACTTTCTTACTTTATGAAATGATCTATTTGCAATTAATAGCGATTTTTGTAGCTATATCAAGAGCTCCGTATTTTAAATTGTAGACATGCTGAAAATGACTACGACTGTATATATGTATTATTTGAGGTAGGGTGCTTAAAAATTGCAGTTAGCACGTAGTAACTGTTTTCTAATTTTTAATAAAGTATATATTTATGATAGTAAATGTAAGCGATAGCAAGAATGTTGAATCGACTACTAAGCAGAAACGCAATGGACATGTATTCATGCATAGGCAAACCATATATTTGAAATTAGAAGGATTTTGATGGTTGATTGTATATCTGTAGTGCCTTATAAAAGCTGTAATAACTCATCATTTTTGAATTAGCTATGTAGTGTTTGATATTCAAAAAATGACTAAAATATATCATAAAATTATTGCTTAGTATTATTATAATTTTACTCCATTATTATATTTCAAAGTAATTCTTTATTTCCTGGTAAGGAAAATATCTAGCTTTTCACCTGATACAGTCTATCATAAAAGTAGAAAATCAAATAGCTGCATCATCTAGTTATTAGAATCACATAATACTTAGTTATTGCAATTAATTATTAAAGATGTAGCTAAGTCAATTGTCACTATTAATGCAGAAAGACATTGAAACAGAACGAATAAGTAATTAACAATAATTAAAAAATTTCTCGCAAAATTGATAGAGGATCCTTTGGCACCCTAAAAAACTCAGGAACTAATGGTGTCTTGCATTTTATGATTAATAACTGAACTTTCGAAAAGAAATTTGCATAAACTATGTCTTTGAAGTAATCATCGGACAGTCTTTGATTGTTTCCCAAAAAAAACATAGCTTTTATGTAACTTCACATGATAATAAGCAATTCTTTTGAGCAACATTAATCATTAAATTAGAAAAGTAGTGCTGCCATGTTCTCAATTTTTTATGACTGCATCAAACTAGAAACTCAATTTCATGTTATCTTTGTTACAATTTAGCTACAAAATTCATAAATGATTAATTTTGCAACGATGTTTATGATTTTCGATAGACGTAATTAGCTAAGCAAATTTTGAGTACATTGTATATTAGGGAATAGGAACGGCCAGGACAAAGCTATTTACATACAACACACCCAATAGGTGTAATCATTATGATATAATGATTTAATTGAAGGTTTATTAATTGTATCATTAATCATAAGAAAGCTATAGAAATTACTATTTACGAAATAGAGTGCGCCTACTATCGTGCTATCATGGTGGTAGATACTTTAACAGTATCGTAATGTCGGTAAAAATCCGTAATGAAGTGAAATATTTAAAATTATACGACCATAATTAGTTTGAGAAAATCTTGCAAAAGAGTGATAAATAAGCAATTAAATTAACGAAAATTAGATTTATGATAGTCTATTACCATTACTATGGTAATAATTTAAATTATAATGTATAGTAACGGTATGCATATGCGATAGTTTTATCTTCCTTTTACTAGTGGGTTAAGATCATAACTGTACGTTCACCTCTTCAGTATTCATAGAATGAGTAGCAATCTGTGAAATGAAAAATGCCCCCATTTCTAGCAAATCTTAATAGCATACCTTTACCATAAAAGATGCCAAAAACTCTTATCAAGTTTTAAAATGCTACATAATGATTGAAATCTATATTAAATAGTAAAAATATTGATCGAAAACTTCTTTGATTAATTATAGTCAACACGAATTAGGATTTACTGGTTTTATTTTGACTAATACTTTACGAGCACTAGCAAAGTATATTTTCTTACAACCTTTTATAGTCTTTAAATATAGTGTATAAGGTACAATTGTAATTATAATCGAGATTCTGATAAATTTACCAACTATTCAACTAAAATCAAACAATTTGTATGGTAGTAGAGAAGCTATGACATAGAATAAACATCTACCTTTAGCTGAACTTGGACTATTATTTTAACTTGATCATTATCAACAGTACTGGTTGTTTATGACATCGAAATAAACTCATGTTCTCAAATGATTACCCATTTCTAGCTGCTTCCAAATTCTTTTTATAAGGCTGGGTAGATTGAAGATCACAATATGAATTTTATATCAAAATGAATAGCGTTAGCTTATTCGCGATAACCTAATAATTAATCTAATTAAACTAATAGCTAGCTTGGATCGTAAATATTTAATGAATAGAATATGTGCGATTAACATCTTAGATACATCCAATTACAACAATAATCTTAGAATTCGATGACCTAAAGCAACGCCATAATTTGAACTATGAAACAAGATACTCTCATGTATTTCACAAGTACATGTATATATATTTGCATGACATAATAGTGAAGTTCTTTAATACCTTAAAGTCTGGCCTAGAACACTTTGGATTGCAATAAAATATAGTTTTCGAATGCATCAGAAATGTGCGACAACAGAACAGAAATAAAATCTTACTGGAAGTTGATGCCGTATACAAAGGCAAAAGTTTTAAAGAATATGATCAAGCCATAGCAGTAATGAGCCAATCATGATTAAATATTATACGAAAAGGCAATACTATGAAAAATTGTAGTGCTTAACTATACTGTATTTGCAATCATATTACAAAATTAAAGTTATCCGAAGGTAGTTGCATAATACATGGATGAAGGTTAAAGCAGTAAGATTTCACTCATGCAATCATAAATACAAGTAAATTGAAGTAGGAAAATTACAGTTGATAAATTGACCACGTCTTAGAATAATCTAAAATATATACGGTGGAATATTTTAATGCGAAAAAGCATCCTCAAGAAGTATAGCTAGTAAAGACAGGCACTTTCTAGGTCATGACACCTTTTGCTGCGATTACGAAATCTTAACGGACAATGATAGAAATTTACTGCACCATGAAAAATGTCTTGACTTTGCTATTTTGTTTATTCATGACCCTTATTCCGGTTAATACTAACAAAGGAGTTAAAAGTTCACAGAACGATGATTCCAATAATAATAACGTAATGCTTTTAATACGGTTTTTGAATTATTGAGAGTCAATATATCGCATCTTTGTATAATAATGTACTAAAGCATTTCAATTTCTTGCTTTTCATTAGAAACTTGATCTTGATTTTGTTCAAATAGCTGATGACTCGAAGATGATTTCTTGACCTGACCATTAGAACGAAGTTTTGTTTGACTAGCTAAATCCATACTATTGGAACGTATAAAAGAAGATCGAGTGGAATAAGATCTTGAATCACGTTGATCTGAAGCAGGCAAGTTACAAATTTGCCTGAAGTAATTCGTTAATGCTTGATTTACGCTAGCTGTTATAAAGGCATAAAGGAGCGGATTTATAGCATGGTAGCTAAAAGCTAGATATTGAAAAGCTTCAAGAAGTGTTGTGGCTGTCTGGGAAGCGCTACCACTAAAAACAGCTATCGCTGAAACAAAAGTTAGTATCATAAAAGGAAACCAACAAAGAGAATAAACGCCCGTCATCATAGCTACTTGTTTAGCTGCTTTTAAATTTTTCTGTAATGTCGAACGTGGTTGTCGGCTGCGCTTGTAATATAATTCTTGCCTTGATTTCGAATTTATAATAATAAATATTCTAATATAAGTTGCAAAAATGACAGCTAATGGTGCAAAGAATAACGATGCATAAACGACGATCAAATAGATACGATAAATGAAAATTTCTCTTTGTGTAAAAACAACGTAGCAAACATCGCCATGATAGAAACCGTAAAAAATATTTAGGAAAAACCCAGATATAACAGAAATTATAACAATAATAGCAATAACGACGATAGCATAGCGTTTTCTAGCAACATTATTATAAGAGAATGGCAATGAAACACGTAAAAATCGATCCAAACTGATGGCACATTGATGGAGATTAGAACATACAATTAAGCAAACCCCAGTGTAGGGTAGCATCGAGCATAAAAATGGTGAATGAGTCCAATACGGATAAATCCATCGAGGTAAAATATACAAGACAGCAAATAAAATTCCTGTGACAAACATACTAATCATCAGGCCATTGGAGACCGTTCTTAATCTCTTCTTTGTAGCAATAATATAAATAACGAGCGAATTAGTACCAACGGTGATAGCAACTATAATACTGTAAATTATGATTCGACGTAAAACTATTGGTAATGTCAGTGGACCAGTCGGTCTTGTTACATTCGTTGCATTCATAATGAATCAGAACGTGAATTCAGTCAGAGTTTTAAAATACTCGTTGAGATCTCGATTATTTTGGTGAGAACTAAGATGACAAAATAACTCTTTGATCAATAATCAGAAAACTACTAACTCTTTAGATTAACATAATCTTACTAGGACGTTGTAATTTCATTAAGTGAAGGAAAGCACTAAAGGCCTACTGCTATAACGATGATATAAGCTATTCAAATAACATTTGAATTGTTCTAATTAATGTTTTCTATAACAATAGGTAGAGAAAGGGTAAAGCAATTTTACCTAAGGCAGATACTTTTAATAGTATAGATTTACAGATTCGTCAATAAAAGGACAAAGCAGTCAACCACCCTCCTGTAAAATAGAATAATATTACGACTTAAAATATGAATAAATGAATTTCAATTCGTACTCTTTATTATCCACGTTAGTTTCATTCACTATTATTGAATGACAGACAAACAGAATCAACAATAGATCAAAGATTGTCGACGAAAAAAACTATCAGCATCAATTATTCAATTATCTTACTTATGTAGACCATGATAAAATGTTAATCTTAGCCCATGATAATTATTGTTCAGCTCTTAACATAACTTGACAAGGGAATGAACAGCCTAATCCTAAAAAATAGACATTAAAAATTGATTTACCGATCCTTGATGACCTACAATGATATCAATACAAGCCTTTCAATTGTTAACTATCATAACAACTCATGTTTTCCACCTATTTCCTTCATTAGTAACGTATTGACATTCTATAGATAAATTAAATTGCTTTTTTATGCACTAATTTTCCTGTTCAAGCCATAAAGCTTGACTGAAAGACTAGATTTACTCTTAACTAACTTAAATTATAACTGTTTCAGTTCATTTGCTATGCAAATTTATATTTACTTCGTATCAGTATTATATCTTTTATGGCAGATGTTTCATTTTAAACTTGCTTTTAGTTAAATAAGATTTTCTGAGTACTATTTTCTATTTTGCACAAGTATGAAACATCAATGATATACGGTCACAAGACTATCGAGAAGTAACCAATTCAATATCGTTTTGAACTCTAAATAACCTCTTATAATAGATGTCGTCAACTGGGCATAATTACGTCACCGACAAAGAGCTACTTGATAAAGGCACTTTTCTAGTCGATATCCTTCGGTTTAGTTCTGTTTCTGTTGCATTCTACGAATCATTTGATACAATTATCAATTCTTGATCTGAAATGATCAACTTATTAAAATAATAAGGAGAAGAATAGTGGGGTAAACGTCATTTGACGATTCATGGTGATGCCATAGTAAATTCGCATTGTCTTACTTTCAAGCCGATAGTCTAAGTCTTCGTAAGACTACCAAGTTGATAAATAATCCACAGTGAAAAATGGCTTTATTGACTCATTCTTATAAGCAATCTAGTTCATCATTTTAGCCTTATTCTAGATAATTCAGGATTTCATCAATCTCTAGTTTATAAAATAAATATTATCCAAAATTAAGGATCGATTCGTTAAGAAAGTCATCTTGAAAATACCGCTAAAACTTAGAGCGTCCTTAACTCCTTATCGGAAAAGGCTCCTCGTTAAAATCCTCTTACTTGAAGAACAACGTGAACAAACAATCAGAAAGAAATAAGCATTGAAAAATTGTACAGAAATGAAGCGTCGAGAAGAGATTAATATTTGATACGTGCTAGAGAACAAAAGAGCGAAATATAGGATTACTAAAATCATTTCGGTTATAAATCCGATCTGAAATGCGACGTTAGAGGTACTATTAAATGGTCTATATGTCAGCTTGTTCAACAAATAATTGACTAAATGTAATTAGTAATCAACTTCCGGTAGCTTTTCTAGCCGTTCACTTAATTTTGAATAAATAACCCTATATAGAACAGTTCATACTTAAATTGAACTTTAATAGATCCATTGCTGTACCCCCTTTATAACGTACCATTACCCCAATGTGAGTTAAGTACAAAACTTATACAATAAAGAGGACAGAATTAAAAATTTACCATTTTATCTTATTGGTCACGGGCGCATAGACACCGTTAATATATTTCGTAATTCAGAGAATAGAAGAACCCCGGCATCAAAGTAAATTCTATCAATCAACAAAAAATAACTCATTCATTCTTTAACGATTAATTTAAACGTTAGGTTCTTTTTATTCCGCTTCATTTGGTTAGCTAAATTTAGAAATAAAATATTAATACTTTTAATATTTATCTGTTTAATATCTTTAGAATAAAATTTTATGGTTATCTCACTAAACGTAACATCCAAATATCTTTTTTCAGCGCCAGAGCATACTTTTCTTCAAACGTAGATGAAAGGCTGTTATAAAATTATATCCGCGTATACAATTTCTAAAAACATAAATGACTTCAGGAACTTAAATCAGTAATGTTAATAGAAATAAGTATGCCATTATCACGGTACTAGTGAATTAGTTAGATACTTAACTAATAAGAAAGCTCAAAGGTCAGATCGTGTTCTGATAGTGGCTACTCTCGTGTTATATGCATGCTCTGATGTAAAGTAGAGTATAGAGCTATTAAAATATAAATCTAAGAATATAGGAGAGCTGATATTGTTTATTGGAGATAAGTTCCTTGTGTACGTTCTGTAGCTACTCGCTAATGTAGTTTGAAGATATAACTGAGTTACTTCATATAATAATGAGAGTTCTAGATTTGATCCTAATGAAAACTGGTGAGTCTGCATTTAACTACAGCTTGAAGCAATTTTTGTATAAAAATTTGGTTGAAACAGCCATATAAATATTAATTTTCTAGAGCGATTTCACCAAATAACTTTCATTCAATAACAGATAAAATTTCAGTTCAAAACTCGATTTAAAATTTATCTCTACTTTATCCATACATTCATACAGATAGAAGAATTTTCAATTAAGTGATATAAATAATACCAATTGATATTACTTTGAATTATAAACAAGCTTGCATATTGCAGTTAGTAAAATTGTGGATATTACATTTTAGATTAAAGTCGAAGTATTAATAATTGTTTAATTAAAGATAATAAGAAATACCCAATTGCTACGAAGTTTTTTTGAAAAGCTACCATAACATAGCATTTATAAGAAAACTTGAGCAAGGATGCACTGACAACGGCTTTTCTACAAAATTTTTCGTGCTGTATGTATAAATCGGTCGATTTTGCAATACATTTAGCGTTCGAATTTATCTAGAGAAATGTAGTTTACTATAATCATTGATTATCTAATTATCAACAGTACAAGTCATACTTTACATAGATTTCGAAAAGGTAGAAATTACAGTAGGCTCATACCGTTAATTTTTCGAATAGCATTAACTATAGTCAGAATCATTTAGTTTGTCACATCAACAGCTAAGTCATCAAGTTGATTCATAAGACACTAAAACTAGTATGTCAAGAATTTTCATTTTACTGCAATTTCTAACCCTAGTTCGTAGCAACTAGCAAATGATGATGATAATATTAAGCAATTACACGATTTTTCATGCTATATTAAAACACCTATCCAAAGGGTACTTACGATACAAAGTAACTGATGCCAACGTTGTCACGACTGTAAGTTAAATTTAAATAATTCTCCTCAATTTTCACGCTACCAACGAGTAAAAACAAATAACATATTGCCAGCGAACAGTTGTATGACTTATTCAAATTTAAGAAAAGCCGAAGTCTCCTCTCTTTTTTTCTCTATCGTATTTCCTTTTCATACCATTACCCTTATTACATCAATACTCTATATTTGTAAGATAAGTTAATAAAAACCACGGCAACAGTAAATATGTTTTAAAATAGAATCGCACGACATTAATTATCTCTAAAATGATGAACATAACCAATAATAATCCTGAACGTGGAAATCAATTGAACATAACATAGAATATTGTAAAAATGGTGAAATAGCCAATAATAATCCCTAATATGGAAATTAATTGAACATAACGACCTTAATAAAATTTGTTCCGTCAACTTGTTTTAATTTTTAAAGGATACAAAGAATTTGTGGTCGGTGTATTTATTTCTTATTCTCTATTCATTTGGGAAGCTACGTGATAGTGCTAGATGCTCTGGATGATAAGTACAATATTTTTGCAACAGCAACGGTAACTCTTACAAATCAAAAGGCTAAGAACCAACCCTAAAGAAATGGCGTAGCTGCTTAAATCCACATTAAGCCGAATATAATATTTTGGCGATAGTTGCATTTATAGGCATTTAATGTTGCAATTTACTTTAATTCAACTTAGAATAAACTTTTCAATGTGTATATTGATCAATACCTGAAGCTAAGTTATCATACTAACTTCAATAGGTTACTACAATTTAAGCGGATCATGGATAAATCCAACAAACACATTTTGAAATAAGTAACTAGAATGAAATGATACCATGAAGAGTTATTCTTATCCTGAACCCTAAATATTATATTTTTTATTTTCTATAGACTTAGTGCAATAAAAAACATAATTTTTTTCACGTAAGCTTTATATTTAGCTATATTGACGCTTTTGATAGCATTAATAAATGAAGTAAACATGTAGTTTGCTAGTTCAGAACAAACCTTCACTTCAATTTCTTAGAAAATCAAAAATTATAGAAATCTAATAACTAGAGATGTGTCGAAAGTTTGAATTGATAATTGAAACTTAAGCATGTCTTACGTAATGAATAATCATTATAAATCGCTATTAAGATTATTGGCCACTAAGAGAATCGCATTTATTAGTAATATAAATTTTACTGCTAGGAGTCACTTGCTTCTCAGAAATCTTTTTAGCAGTTTAGTTTAGTGGTCTATGAGAAAATAATAGCTGCAGATATGAACAATTATTCGGTTATAAGAAGAGATCTATACAGAAGTCAATTCTATGATTTCTTAGCGTTAGAGCCAGCAGTAAGAACGGATTAAGAATATTTATCCTAGACTTTGGTATACGACCATATGATACGACTATAAGTATACGACTATAGGTATACGACTATAGGCATACGACTATAGGCATACGGCTATAGGTATACGGCTATAGGTATACGACTATAGGTATACGACTGTAGGTATATGACTATAGGCTATCATAACCTAGTCCAGTGTGTTTTTCGCGATATGATCAATAGTATATAATCTCTTTATTTAAATCAAACTTAATTTAATTATCCTACTAGCATGTGTTAGTATATGCTTTAATTGACCTCATGAAGCCAATAGTAGAATTTTGGGAAATTAAAATTTCATAAGAAGGATATAGTATAAGACCAAAGTGATCATAATTGCAATTCATATTATGACTAATAACTAATTGTAAGGTTTTATTGTTTCTACTGCAATAATAGAACTTAACGATTTTATTTAGATTTGTCTCATTACCTTCTCTTCCTTAGTATGTTTTCGTAGGTTGAAAATCAAATCGCCAAGTCAATGTGTTCATAATGACCAAGATTTTTCTGCCTTGATATACGATAATAAACGATATATTTTAGAATATTGGGTTATGGCATCTTGAAGAAGTATATAGTAGGTACTTGCAAATGTTTCGGTACGTCATAAGATTTGAAATACAAGAGTAGAATTAGAAAGAATGATTCAAAATTTGTACTATGGCAAAGAATAGCACCTATCTCTTTTAGCTAATTATGTGTTATCAAGATAATTTTTTATTCAAGCTTTGCCAACATAGAAAACTAGGATGCTACAAAAATGGAGTTTTCTGAATTAATTAAATTCTGTAATCATGCAATATGGTTTGTTGGCGATTCCATTAATCCTAGCGTATCAGCTCTTGGAATTTGAATCTATAATAATATAAATAGATGTTATTAATCCAATGATTCCGTAAGTAAATCAGAAATAAAAAATTAAAATCAATTGAAAGATCTTCAAATACGTTCTTGTGTATTATTTCACACAATTTTCTACGCCTACAGTACTTGTTCTTGCCAAGAGCCACCTCCCTCTACGGAGCCTAAAACTTATTTACTTATTGCGTTCTAGTTTGTAAACAGTGATTCCGTTTACAATCAACGTTATCTAGATCACAGCTGTCTTTCATTTAAGGTGCTGGGACCTACCGGTACCACTTTCAAAATGCCTTTATTCCAAAAATCTATTCTATTATTATTGAGTATTCACAATTCCTACTCTTCTATCATTACATTCGATTGCATATACTTAATTGGACCAGCCATTGGCGTATGAGCTATCTCGATCTGAGCTACTATCATGTAGTACATGTATATGTTATACAATTTAATTTATATAATCCCTGGACTGGCACTACCATTATGTTACGGTACGAACTACCGTGAAGAAATAGCTATCTAAATTTGGTAAATATAATATAGTGATATTATATTACAACTAGTTATTTACTATAGGAATTACTCTAATTATAAATGTGTTACAGTAAATTTAATGCTGTGCTGTAATGTGCACTGAAATGATTCTGTGAATGGACATATTGTAGTCCGACTGTGAAAAACTAGTTATCTCACCTAAATATTTTTATAAGATGACTTGTGAATGTTAGCTGCTGTAGAAGGGTATATAAGCCCGTCAGATAGTTGAATAAAGCAGTTCTCAATTGAATTGTTGTTTTAACGTAGAATCAAAGGCGTCTAAATTCTTGTGAGGTAGTTAAGGGATACTGAATTCCGGAAGACTATAGTAATTTAGAGATTTGTTTTACGTTATCCTTGTCACGAAGTTGGTTTGTGACACATTAGCATAAACGAATTCTTACAGTTAGTCGACCAAGGTTTGAACTCAAATTAATGAAAAATCTAAGCAGATATATTTTTTGTTAGTTTTTATTTAAAAGCAGAAATATAAGCGGGTAAGGGCAATTTCTTTACCTTTTCAAGACGTTTACACATATATATTATCATACTGCAGGCATTAACATCAAAGTACTGTACACGTAAATATACGTATGAATATTTTAATCATGTGTTACAGTTTACAAGAACTGAACGACAGTCTGCAGAAAGGGTAATATTGGGCAAGGTTAGCCAATAAATTTAGCAAAGTAGGCTGATTATGGTGAGCAATAAATAAATCTTCGCAAACTAAACTACTACCAAATCCCGTCGGCTATTACAGTGCAAACTTGAGAATCTCTAGTTGTACCAAACAGACATATAAGAAACTAATTAGAATTTTATAGATAATTCTTATCTCTTTTTTTAAAGTATTGTAATGTAGCAAAATTTGGGTGCTAAATGCTAGATTATTATCTTAATTAGCAAAAACCATTATATTCTCCACTCCTTCAAATTACTTTTGGAGCTTAATATGTTTCGCAGCGTCAACAACACCTGTACCAGAAGCATTTATAGAAAAAATAGCATTAGATGCAACTGAATGATTTGTCCTCGTGTTATTTTTGTCTATCTTTCGCGAGCAACTACCTTCTGTGATTGGTTTCCAAATACCTAATTGTGTTTTGTTTAGCTTATATAACTTATTGATAACATCTTTTTTTTCCAATACTGAATGACCTCTTTTTTCATTTTTGCTTCCTAGTCCAGTTTGATAATTGAGTACGCCGCCTTCAGTCACTCTATAAAATATGTCATACCAATCTTGAATGGATGATTTTTTATATCCAAGCCTTGTGACGTGAAGATTAAACTTATCAGCATAAGGCAGATTGTATTCTGAATTATTAAGATACTCTTCAATAGTCATATTATTTGTCAGTCTGCTCTTAAGATCATCGACATGGATATGTTGTACCCAGTCTCCAGTGGTACTAGTTGCCAAGGTTTCCTTATATATGGCCTGACCATTACGAAAAACTTGGTCATGTCCTAGTGAACAATATATAGAATTAATGGACGAATATCGGTCACTACCATCTGGTGTTATTTCCTTGACAGCGACTGCTGTTTCACTGCCTGGATTAATATAAACAGAAGCTAGTTTTGTATTAGCTCGGTACTCGAATTTGTCAGGATAATGTAACTGTAAATATTCAATGATCACTTCCATGATATCAGGATAAAAAAAGCCATCACCAGGAATGAAATATGCGTGCACCGGTTGATTTTCTATATCAAATAAAGTTCTATCTTTCAAGAACGCATCATCAACAAAGTAAGACTCAATGCCTAGCATTTTCCATGAATTTAAACCATGTTTTAACCTTGGAAGATCCTCTGGAAAACCAAAATATAGACGTCCCTTCCGCTCCATAATAGATTTATTCAAGCTAGCCCTTGTCAAATAATCGATGTAAGAAAAATTCTCCAACGACAGTTTTTGCCCTTCAACCACTAATTTACTCCTTTGTGTAACATCGAATCCGGCCATACCTTTCTGTTGAAGAAACTCCAAAAAAAAATTTGTGTAAGAAATCAGTTTTGAGGTACTAGGATTGAGCATCGGAATGGAAAACGACTGGTAATTAGATTTTTCAGGATCTCTAGAATCGATAAAATTGAACGAGAGAGCTTTGATTAAATCTGATAATGTATATTCATCGTATTGTGTGGGATGTTGATGTGCCTGTAGACCACTGCGATCCATTATTGATAAATGACTATCTGAAGAGAAAACGACTTTCATTTCCGAGCGGTTATGCAACAATTCGAATGCTTTTAATAAAGCAGATAGCCCTCCAGCCGTATATGCTACAGTTTGATTAGTCGAATCGGTAAATTCTGTAGCTGTGCTATTAACAATTTGTACAGCACTTTGCTTATGCCATTTAGTAGAAAATTTCACTTTTGTAGCTTCTCTTAACTCGTCCAATAGCCTAGCATCACCAAACGCTTGAATTTTTGACAGCTTAAAATCGGAAACAGATATCTTTTCAAGAATACTCTTATAGCATTTTATTTTTTCTGAAGACCATCCTAAAAAAGGAGTCGTTTTTTTGCTCTTAAATAACTGATTAACAGGTTTCGCCACTTTCATAGTTGCCATTCTTGTTCACAATAAAGCCACTACCAACTTAGCGAACGAATAATAACCAATACAATTTTATGTAATTATATTTTCAAGTGATATTAGAAATCGCTAGAAATTACTAAACTAAAGGAGACAGACCCTAAACCGATGGATTGTTAGTTACCAACATACCAAATGATGGTTAATGCCAGAGAGAGCTAGGTTAAGTGAAGAAAGATACGGATACCGCTATAATCTGGTACGCAGACTATAAAGATTCTTTAATAAATGGAATATCTTATAAGTACTTTAAGACCATGGTGGGCGTTGCATCTCTCGTAATCATTTTTGTTCACAAATTAGATATTTCGTAAAAGATACCACTTGTTGAATATTAATTAATGTAAATTTTCAGAATGAACGAGTATATATATATACATAAATGTCTTGGTAAAACTTATAGACGTTGATTTCCTTAACAAATATTTACTATGTGATAATGGCGTCATTTTTTCAAGTGATCAAATAGTACTCTCTCGTGATCAGGATATTGGTCAGGCCATGGGCGAGTTGAATGTAAAATTGTACCCATTATTCCATTAAAGTATAAATTTTAGTACACGTACATGACTAAGCTTCTATGTACCTTACACTGTATAGTATGTTAAGTTCATACTTTGCTATTATTGTTATTGCTAATGTACTTTATTGTTTGTTGCATCATAGGTCATCGTATAACTACACTACTGTGTGCTAATAAAGAACATAGATTCTTCATATTTGTCGAAAATCTACAAACAAAGCCTTTGAATTCTTATTCAGTATCAGTAAGTGATAGATATTGGACGAGGATTACAATTATTAATGTGTGCATATGTCAATGGGAGAGAAGTTTATCTTAGACAGCATCTATACCGTTATATAACGTGAAACGTATCGAAATCTTAGCTTACTTAGGCGGAAGTTCAGTGACTGAATCTGTAACTTCATATATAAGTTCATAAGTATAATACAGATATAATATGAGAATTACGATAATGTATTTGTACCATACGTATGTAAGTCACATATAACAAACATTGTATTTAAACTATTACATAATAAAAAAGATCATCAATTATATCTCACTACCTTTGCATAAATAGCAATCTCTGAAGTCCATTTTTAAAGGGGTGAAGCGCAATTTTTCTTTTTTCGTTTCTTATTTTATTTATGCAATTGTCGAGAATGTGATTACTTTATCCTATGCATAGCTTTTGAAAAAAGAAAGAAACAAATTTAATTCAGAGCTATGATTAGTGAAATTATAAATATGGCTGGAATGATGTCTGAGTAGAAACAAACATCCCAGATGTTAATAAAATATTATCAAAGCAATATCTCATATGGTTAAAATTCGATGAAACAATAAATTGTAGAATACCCTTATCCTATATTAGATAAGGTATTGTGTATGGTATTGTAGTAAAACGACCAAGGGCCAATCGTTACTTAATTAATTGTTAAGATATTAGACTGTCTTTTTAACTTCGAATTGATATGATAATAAGCATATTCTTTGCGAAGAAAATATTGAATACGATGAAAATATTCCGAAAGCTAATCCGTAAATTAATTGATCGCAATATCGAGCAGGACCTTCTTAATAAGTGATAGTTCTATAAAAACTTCTTGACTAAAAAATTGTAATACTGCGTTAGACCTTGTCGATACGTTACGAAATTTTAAATTAGAGCTATAAAATCGGTTGATAATTCAAACAACACATTGTTTTTCCAAATTTTTACTATTCAATATTATTTTGTTCATGAATAACAAATGGATAATTAGAAATACCTGCTAACTAATAATGTTTAAGTGAGGATTCAAAAATTGTAGTCGCCTCTTTAGAGCATTTTATTCTTTATTATAGCTCCGATTCATGATAAGATGCTACGGACATCTTATCTCTTGTACAATTTTTAATACTTTTCACGATATTAAGAGTTACATTACATTATTATTCATTCATTTTATAGCAATGTTACTGATTTAGCCTCGTCATGTCTTTCAAAAATTTTATAGATTTCTGCCAGTATTGCTTATTATTTGAGAAAGATATTATAAATTCCCCAAATTGGTAAAATTATCGAACTAATTTGGGAACAAGTAAATTTCAGAATCTTAAAGTTTTTATCTACTTTACAGTAATTGGGTATCTATAACCCAATAGACAGCCTCTATGTTTATGACGTAAATCAAATACTTATTACTAAACTTTTACTGTTAAGCATCATAACAGTTTTATCACAGGTCTACTTAAACTCTAAAACGGATCTTAATCAGACAAGGTTTTTAAACTATTTAAACATATGGCCTCGTAGCTGCAACAGAAATTTCGGTTGCAGTTAGACGTAGAAAAGATTTTCGACTGTATTTAATCAGATAAAAGTATTGCTAAAATCAATTTATTTGGCAACTTTATTGAACTTAATAAAGCACGGTTATTAATAATTAATTCATCAAGATTGCAAACTCTCACTTTTAGCAAAGAGATAAACTCGATGTAGTGCTTCATGTTTTCATATTTTTAAGTAATTGCAAGCCAAGTTCTCATTTGAAGGTTTAAAAACAATTTTATCTTAGGTCAGCTCAAGCATTTTATAAAATGGAAACATGTTCAGAAGGTAATCATTACAATTTAAAGTTCATTGCCCGTTATCTACGAACAGAATTAGTATCGTACTACTTAAAAGCTAATGTGCCGGATATAACTAAACCATTAAAGACATTTTATTGTCTTGCAGGTTCTTTTGAACACTGTCTGATTTACAAATGTTTTCTGAAAGTAAAATTTTGTTATAAATCGTATCTAGCAAATTATGAGTTCGGAATAATAATAAACGGTAGCAAAGTTTGCCGGTTAATGCAGGCGCAGATATAAGGAAAACTTTTTATTATTGTAGTGGATTAAACAACAAATTTCTTCCTTCATATTCTAGAATAAAAATTTTAATCACTATGCACTCATATTACTTTCCTAATATAGATTGCACAGGTAGAAAATGTTTCTTTCGATCATTTATAGCAGCCTAATTAAGTTCAAGATTGAGCAACAATTTTCAGTGTAGCAAATATGCAGCTAGCTTTAAAAACTACTTGTGAAAAAAGAAATAAATCATGTTTAGTAGACAGATTAAAAGGACGACGATATCGTGTGAAAATAAACTAGTTAGCAAACTAGACCAGATGGTCAACATGTTGCATTAAAATAAAAGACAAGTAGATTCAGCTTTAAACAACAATTTATTAATGCCAAATAATAGCTAGGTTTCAGTTTTACAAAATGGTAACCAGATGTTATTGACGTTAAATTCATTAAAATTTTAGCTATCCAATCAATCCATAATGAGTCCATTGCAACAGTTGCTAATCAATTATTTATTCTTCTTGATGATGAACAAATTATTATTTTACTTGTAGGTAGAACATTGGCTACAAGTAACAATATCATTCATTGTATAACATACAATAATAATTTTGTTGGATATACTGCAAGTACCCACCCAAAGTTGATATAGGAATCAGTTTAAAAATGACCGTATTTAATTAATTAATATATAAAATGCTGTCTATCCATAAGTTTGGCAGTTGATTTGATCGTGTCTAAAGTAAATAAATTACTTCATGCAAGTTCAAGTTGATTTTTAAAGCAAATTCAAAACATGTGCGTCCAAATGATACTGCTAATTTGATTAATAACAATAGCAGAGAACAATATTACTGTTTTTTATTGTCTATCAAGATAACCATTCAAATTAATCCAGATAATTAAGGTAATTAACAATCTAATCGGATGAGTTCGATTAGCAATCCAATCCTTAGTATCAGCACGTTTTCTGACCTCTTTGATATACCGTAGCACGTGGCTTAATCATACAAATAACCACAGCTATCCAATTCATCTGCGCCACTTCATCAACATTACGATATTCAAATCCTTTAATAACTAGAAAGAATTTGAATAACTAGATTCTTAGTACCGGTTATCAAAATTAAGTATTAAACTTCTCATACTGATCAATCATTTTAGAGATTCTCATTGATATGATTATATAGTTTATTTAGATAAAAATCTTAAACTTGAAATCAAATCTTCTATATCATGACTGAGAATGAATTCATTAATGGTGACTATTTCACCTACCTTTCGTGTCAGTAAAATCATTACAAAGCTACAAAATATAAATCAAACAAATTATGTAAGTAAATCAATCAATCATTGGCAACGATGCAATCTATTATGACTTCTTTTGGAGCTATTGAGATAATCTGCATAATAGCATTCCAACATGGAATTAATGCTTTTGTTTATGACATAATACGTTGTAAGATCTTATTGTGTTTATCAAGTACATATAAAAGTGAAGTTTGTCGTCTTCGCTCAAAATATTACCTATTCAATTGGAGTAAAGTTAGCCAACATTACAGGCACCTTGCTGAGCTTATTCGATTAAAAGATCTACTTGTTACTCTTCTTTATAGCACAATATTGGAACATGGTTACTTTGCCTCTCAACTTGAAATCTAATCACTTTAGATGGTCAGAAATAATTCTTTACATGAACATTTTTCTCCTTTTCCTTCATAGTACAGGTAAGAAAAGATTTAATTATCGCCTAAATGATTTTTACTGCTATAAAACGTGTAACTTAGAAAGGTTAGTAATTACTGTTGATTATCCAACCTAACAAATCACGGCATCTCTTATGATAAATACTTCGAATAAAGTCATTTTTCTCCAAGTAATTAATAATTAGTAAAATGTAACAATATAACAATCTGCACATCTATGTCAGTAATAAATTGAAGTCAATTTCATTCATTGAAGTTTTATCTCATCGTATTAAACTGTACGCCACAGAACAAATTAGAGCGATGTTTGACTAACTCACACTTTTATGGAAATATGGTCATAAAAAATCGAATTAAACTCTGTAATCTGAACAGATTATGAAATCTGAACTGCAATTGAAATTATTCACGTTAATCGAATATTGATCGCCCGTCTTTTAATTTACTTAAGTTAGACTGTAAAAAGTAATACTAGCCAGTGCTAAAACTATCAACTACTTGTTATAGAGGTTCTACTTTGTTTAAACTCATTGAAATGCGATTCGAATTTGTTCGAACGCTAACGGGCTTTTGTTAGTAGATACAGTTTAATCTCAATCTATTTCAGGCTATCTTAAACAATTTTCCAAAATCTATGCAAAGGAAATGGCCCATACTACCTATAATGACTGCAGAACGTTCACACTTGAAAAGGAATTTATGTAAAAAGGATATAGACAAATACAAACTTTCTTGCCCTGTAAACAGGATTTTGATTAGAATTAGTAACAACGTCAATAACTGCTTCTTTTGAAGTAGTTTGTGACGTTAACTAAAATATCTATTATCGAATAATGACAGAACGAGTCAGACTGATTTTATGACTTAATATTAATGTAAAATTAAAGGATAGTTTCTATTAACTTTAATAAGCATATTAACTATGATAGTTTACGGATTTGATCATCTTTAATAATTTAATACGTTAAGAAGTAAGCCATTATTTGCATAGTAAGTGGCTACTCGACATTAGGTAAACAAATGGCCGTTACATTCAAGTGCTTGACAAACAAGTAAAATGATTGCCCTCATAGGCGGGAAAATCAAGCTTGATTAATATTTTAAATGATATTTACTGACAAATTTTTTTTAGAACCAATCCGACGACACACTAAATGATATACATCATTTAGTGTATCAAAATTTTAAACTAATTTCAGCAAATAAAACTGAGCTTGCGACAGTTACACTTGTCAGTACGATACGATGGAGAAGAAAATAAATTGATACAATGTATCTTCAACTTTTCATTAAGGTAGACTTTATTGTCGTAGGCGATAATAATAAAGTCCCTAATGCTTTTATGCGTAAAATTTAAGAGCCATAGATAGAAAAAGATCGAACTGTTTGTCGAAAAATTATAGCCGCTATAGCCTAACGGCAAACTATTCCGCTTTTGTTCGTTTTCTATCATTTGAAAAGACTTCAAGAAATTTTGTATTCAATGCCTCAGGCTATTTAACAGTTAGCGCATTACCAACTTGGATACAATAAAATAATAATGTCGAAAATAACCAGTAACGTGAACGTATAGACAAATATTTCAAATGGAATATGTAAATTTAAAAATCAAAAATCCACGATAAAGCAAGTTAAATTTTGTGAAGAACACAACTCCAATTTTAATTTGAATTTAAGAGGCAGATGGGATATGAAACTATAACTGACGCAATGTTTTCCCCAGTTTTGACAGGCAATACAACAACTCTACACGTATATTTCCCTAAATTATTGTCCGACTTAATCCATCTTGATTTTATCATTCCTTTAGCTTCATTATTCGAAATAAATTCGTATAATGAATACAAGTTTTTGTCATTATGATAAACAATAGACAGCTAGATAATCATCTAATTCTAACAATAGTTTAATTACGCAAATCATCATTGATAATATAATTAATTAATCGAAGCCATTAAAATAATCGCGTACAAAAAAATACGAAACTGCTAAAAAAATTGATACTATAATAAGGAAGTAATTTTTGACGCGGCAGATTGAATGAGATGTTATTGATGATGCCGAAAATGGAATGATTTGAAATTTGCTTATATTATCAGCTGTCAACGATTGTTATCCTCTTTTACAGCCGTAATTTAAAAAGAAAAAACTGTTAATTTCTCATTTTTAATGAATACGGAGATAGAAATGGAACTTTATATCCTTACAGTCGCTCATAATTACTCAATCACTCCATTACTCACGTCTTCCTTATAAGCTTAACAGCAACCAATAGCAAATTATCTTTATTAAACTAATTTTAGGAAAAATTTGAACAGATAACGATGAATCCTCACTTTTATTAATCTGTATAAACGACTTATGCTAACTGTAATAGATCGAAATAGTATCGTAAGATAAAAATCACTGGCACTACACCTATATTAGTAACTGTATATCTCCCTAAAATGAACAACCGTTTCTCTTCGACTTTACAAGGCACGTGTATTTGAGACAAATTAAATAATGTTACGTGACGAGATCCTTAAAAAACCAACAAGTATCATTATTCCTTTCCATTATTCATTTAAATAGAATGTTGAGGACATAATCGCTAGCCACAAATGAAACATATAACATCAATTTCAATTTTTACTTAGTAAATAATTGCAATTATAGTAGTGCAGTGTTTCTCAGATACAAAAAGTCTTTTTCCAGTGGTTGTCAATTATTGATTTTATTTGTCGTACTCTGGACAGTCGTTCATCGTGCAGTTTATTCTTTCATACATTATGAAAATTAATGTCAAAATTATAAAATCTTTTGCTAGCCATATTGCCTAAATTATTTTCAGTATTCGATAATTATTACGGTACTAGTTCGAAATTTAGTATTTGTCTAAAGATTTCGCCTCTTATACATATAACATAAAACAAGTAATCACTAAAATGATCATGCCGCCTTCATCTGCAAGTCAATAAAACTAACTAAAATACAATCAACAAGCATAAGCCAACCGAATTTTGCAAATTGGTTTTTATTATTTAAAAAAGAGTTTATTCGACTCAAACACAATATTCCGTCAGATTATTTCATCACCTTATTTATAAGGCTATGTACAACGTCACCGTTAGGCAATTCACAAGTAATTATAAAGCGTCAATATTATTAAATGTATCCAAGATCTTTGACAATCTCTTAAGACTTTTCATTAGCGTAAGAAAGCCTTTACTCAAACAAATATGACGTAACTAAAATAAATACAACAAACATTGATGTACTGACTCATTCTGAGTCTATTAGCGTTCATTGATGATGTTCAGTAAAGTAATTTTATCATGCAACAAAGCTTTACTAATAAATGACTATGAAAGCATAATGATTTCTATCAGATATAATTAACAATTGAGCCTTTTCTCTATAACCTTTAGAGGCCCAAGTTACAATGGTAACTTATGATAAAGCCATTTATGCTACTCGTGGCCATTCATATTACTTTACGTGTATTCCATATAATAATTATCGAGTCTTACATTGGATGATCAATAAAACATTGATCAACGTTGAATACTCTAACAAGCATTACGATTTGGAAGAAGGAAACACACGTTTGTGGATTAACAATGTCAACTGGAACGATGAAGGAAGTTATACTTGCGTGGCCATTAATAGTCAAGGCAATCGATATGCACGAGATAATGGTGTATTACAAATTTCAGGTATAGCTGACATATCATACTTTTAGTAAGGTTTTTTCAAGTTGATTATTGTTGGAGAAGAAGTACAGTAGAATTTGATGTTGCTAATTAGAAATTTATGACTAAAATTTACCGTAAAAAAGGGATAACGGAAAGATTTCATTTCCTCTATTTCTTGTAGTGCCGATGAGAACAGCTGCTCCTCCAAATCAAATTATTCCGATCGATATGCCCTATCAAATCAAATGTGATGTACGCGGTAAACCTAAGCCAAAAGTGACCTGGTATAAGGATGGAAAGATGATTGATTTCAAAACCCTCGGTCGATTTCGGTTACAACAAAATGGTTCACTGTATATTAACCCAGTCAAACTGGATGATGAAGGAAAGTATGAATGTCGAGGCAATCAACGAGGGAACATGATTCGAAAAATGATCAAAGTCACTGTTGGAGGTATTTGCAAACTATGATTGCTATTATTAAATTCTAATTTAAATTAAATGAATGACATATCTATATATAAGTATAACGAATTATTCATTGAAATTATGTAGAGTATCCTTATTTCGTCATGGATCAAAACAACGTTCAACAACCAAGTAATGTTACAGCAGAAGAAAATAGTACCGCTAAGTTTACTTGCTTAGCCAAGGGAAAGCCAAAGCCAAAAGTTGAATGGTTGGATCAGTACAATGTGCCCTTATCTGGAGAACATTACGACTTAACTGAACCAAGTATTTTAGTAATTAAAGCTGCAAATCGAAAAAAACATCATTCATTTATTTGTCGGGCTAGTAATGTTATTGCAAGCGTTGAAACGAAAGTATTTTTGCAAGTCTATGGTAAGATGGCAATTAACTGCGCTGATACTATTGTTTAAATTAAAAATTTCAATACTTTTAGACTATTGGTCTATCCAATTTTGCTCAAATAAATTTAGTACATATTTTTAAAATATAATGCAGAAACTCCTAAAATTATATCTCTAAGTGGTCCAACTAATACTAGCAAACGAGAAGTCGCTGTATTTACATGCCAAGCAACTGGATATCCTATGCCTAAAATTGAATGGTATAAAGACAATAAGCCCATCCAAACTGTGAGCATGAATGAAAAAATCGAAATCAATGTACATGCAACCCTTCTCTATTTCTATTTCGCTTATTCTTACTAATTTCTCTTGTTAATTTGCCATTCCAGAGTTCTAATGTAGTTACAACTGGAGCCTTTACTGATTACGCATTCCAAAGTTCATTATATCTGTTCTCAGTCGAATTATATGATGCTGGCACCTATGCCTGTTTGGCTAGTAATGGTTATTCACCTGATGAAGAGAGACACTTAGAATTTATAACTAACGGTAAGTAAAGTTCTATATTTCTAGGATAAGTTAATGCAGTTATTCTGCAAATGAATATTGCATTAAGAAACCTTAACGTAAATAATTGCTGAATCAATAATTTATGGTATCTTTTCCAAAATTATCTTACCAACTTTTCAAAACAAATTTATGAACAATTATTCGCGACAGAACCTGCTACTTTTCTTAAATCATCAAACGAGAAAACCGGTCTCCAAAAAGTGGTTTTTGATGTACAATCGATCAATTGTACCGCTCAAGGAAGTCCATTACCTCAAATTATTTGGATGAAGGATGGATCACCATTGAGTGAAACAGAACAAATTAAAGTTCAAGTCAATCTATTATCAACGGTATCTATTAAGTCAACTTTAAATTTTTTATCTTTACAACCAGCTGATAGTGGATTATATAGCTGTCAAGCTTTAAACGAGTTTAACGATGCCCAACCGCCAACTCAATCATTCAAATTAGCAGTTATTGGTAAGTGACCGATTTGCTACATTATAAAAATAGATAGGAATAAGATTTAAATTCATTCGCATTGTCTTGACTATAGTAAGTCAAGATTGCCCTCTAAATTAACTCGCTTACAAGAGAAAGTGATTTCAAATTTATGTACTAACCTTATGTATCTCCTGTAGACTTTCCATCAAGTCCAAGAGATGCTAAGCTAACTAATCGTTCCTATCACGAATTACATCTTAGTTGGTCACCACCAATTAGCAACGGTGGTGATCCTAACATCGTCTATACCATAAAGTATAGGCCTAAAATTGGAAGTTTCCCATGGTCAGTCTTTACTGTCATAGACACCAAATGCCAAATTCACAATTTGCAAAATGGAACAGAATATGAAATCCAAATTTATACGGTTAATAAAGCTGGCATTAGTTTCCACTCGCCTGTCTTGGTCTTTAAGACAAAAGAAGGTAAGGTTTTATGGTATGTGCCAATAAAGCAAAGTTAGATTTGCTAATATTCATCAATTTTTTCTATCATAGTTTCCACTGCCTCTACTTATGCCTATACTACAGTCATCACTACAGTCATCTCTTCAGCTTCAACAAAATGTAAGTTCCCATATTACAAAAACAACTGTGATACAAAATCAAGACGAAATAGGAAATAACATTTACTGACTGTAATCTACTTTTACTCGTATAGCTATCTCTACACAATTTACACCAAAGCATAGTGTTACTAGAGCAGAAATACGAGCAACCCATTCATCGATAGGTAAAAGTCAGAACTTTTAGATTGTTCCTTATAATAAAAATTATTTTATATGGTTATATTAAAATTAAATATCTAAATAAAACAATGTTTACATATTTTAACGATAGAGAGTACAACAGAAAGTAGCTCTTCAAGCCGAAGTGAGTTTGTCAACAATATTTATATGAAATATTTTATTTACTGCCTTGAAAAAGACATTAATCGTAGTGCTACCGCCCATTTTCACTTCTATTTCTGATTACTTTTTAATTTGGTCATAATTTTTAGATGCGTTCTCATCGTTTATATTGGTAATTGGCTTGATAATATCAACTCTAATCAACATTTGTTAGCCTAAATAAAATAATTGGAGAAAAAGATTGTTTGAAGACGAGACATACAATCCTTTTCAATACTTGAAAAAATTAAAATGATACAGTTGGAACGTAATTAGAAGTAATAAAATCATGCAACGATGACTTCATGCCCTTATTGTAACAAGCTTTATGATTCTGCAACTATGTTGTACTGCTAAATTAATTAGATTTTGTATATTCTATCTAGAAAAGTCTCCTAGAATTTTTTATTGGTAACTGCTGTAATGTTTTATATCAAACCAATTTATCTTCAGTAGCATTCTATCAGAACAACCATTTTTTCATTAAATGCAGCATTAATAAGATTAAATTTATTCTTCTATAAACTTTTAAACTACATTATTTACAGTAATAGCTTTAGGCCTATAAAGACAAAAAGAAATGTAATGATCAGTATATGCGTACTAACTATAACTATTACAATAATGAATAAGTTTTATATATAAGATATATATATTTCAGCCAAATATGGATATTGGATGTAACCCATATATTTTGCTATGAACTTATACTACTGTAAGATCGATGATGTATTCCATGCCTTGGATTTGAAATTAGTATATAATTCTTCGTTTTACTAGGCAAAATAACTTTTTTCGATTAATACCAAGTAAAAAATATTTGCTATTCGGTGATGCTCAGAACTATGCATAAATTTATCACTGATTAGCTAATCTCTACTGAACGACATATATGAGTATTCGCAAATACACTCATAGAGCATAATTTTTACTCTTCTGTGCCATTCGTGACTCAAAATGATTCAATAATAAAGCATTTTTATTACAAACTAAACAAAAACTAGCTATTGCATTGTTGACGTAATAAAATACTAAGGTTTCCTCATCGCTAAATTATCGGCAAAATTTCATTCGCAAAGTCAATAGAATATTACGCCACTTTCAACTAGAGGAATAATTGTTACAAATTTGATATTTGATGACGGGGTTGATGTCCGCTTAAATAGTGTAACGATTCGTCGAAATCTTAACAAAAGTATCCATAAAATTTCAAACTATACCAATTTTTCTTATTTCATACGTTTTTCATTGTAGTACTTCGACTTTTACCAGTAGTTTTAATGTCAGCTATCAGTCAAATTCATTACCTTGTTCGCTATGTTTACGAATAAAATTTAATTAAAACTGATTATAACCAAAGTAATTTAGAATGTAATAACTGCAGTTCTTACAAAATTTTCTGTTGTTGTATTAATAAATTACGGCCTTTGTTGCCTAAAAAGGCACCACTATAACTAAATTAATAGGCCAATACACAATTAATACTATAAAAACATATATTGAGAATTATATAATCTCGAAGTTTTTGTTCTTCAATCGTCCAGAGAAGCCAAAACCAAAGCACGTATTCAATCATCTGACTTAAATCAGCAATTTTTAAGAATTGCATTATTAAATTTTAGTAGCACTTATTTAATAGATTATCGGTATCTAAAAATCAAAATATATTTAGCCATGCTATCTAGCTAAAAGTACAAATATTGGCGAGCATTTTAATTTCGCTACAAATTTCTCAAATAATACGGTAGTTATAAAAGCTCTATTAATGAGAATATAATTAGGCACCATTAACCAATTTGGACTATCATTGTAGTTAATTCTCAGCCTTAAACTGATTTGATATACCACAATATCTAACAAACCTAATATGCGCAATTTTTTTTACGATATAATTTGATCTGGTATTTATTATCGATCACCAATGATTTCTTGAAGCACTTATAAAGCATTGCATTTTACTATAATTTTTCCCTACTAGTTGCAGATTATTCGAAGAGATTTTTAATCTAGGACTGCTTATTGAGCATGGATACTGATACTTAGTTTGAATTTACTCTCAAATTACCGCAACTCTTCGCTTAGCGGCTCACCTTGCTAGCTACGCATTTAGGTTATTATTAATTTTTGTTTTACTTTTGGCATTTTTAAATAGCATGCTCTTGAGACTTTGAACTCTTCAATTGCAATGACATCTTGCAGAAAATCTATTTTTATTTTAAAAATATAATAAAAACATATAAGAAAAAATTGCAGTAGCTAACGAGAATTTGTCATGACGTTTCAGCTATATCTTGAATCTAATATCATAAACCGGCGTTTGGCAACATATCAAGCACAGTTGCTCCCGTTTAGACTGTTTACTATACTTAAAGTGTAGCCCTTGTGCAATTAAATAAAAGGATGCAACTATTTTTTCAGTTTCCATTAATTTAACTAAAAGATTATCAAGAGTCACTGTATACATTTATATATCCTACAAGGAATTATTTACTAAGAACTTCGAGCTTGGATACTTTTAATTGTATTATTGTAATAACATCATTAGTGTCTTTCGTTATAGCTACTACGTTTCTACTCTAATTAGTCTCCATAATTAATAATTGCTCGAAGTTATGTAAGATCTTCGATTTTCAGTAACTAGCGAGAATATACTGATTTTTTTACTAACTGGTTTGTAATAAATTATAATACGTTCAGGGATATAACTGAAGAAGCGCTAATTTATGGATATAGGATATTATCAAAAATCTTAAATAGCATTCAAGAACACATTTAGTTGAATTGAGTTTTAAGTTTCAATTTTGATTCATGATCATTATATTCCATTCATGTATATTTTTGTTTTAAATATGAATTGAAAATAATTTCATTGCTGAAATCTGTTATCATTTAATTTATTTCATTTATACCCAGCTAATTCTTCATTTTATACGCTAAATCTTATTTATCAAACCTTTAACATGTACTAACTTGTACTTTAACATTTACCAACTAAAAATTTTAGAAATATTCCCATAATTTCTATCCGAAACAACACAATATCGTATAAGTTGAGACGACATAATAAATGTGCACATAATTCTACATCTTATTAATCCCCATAATCTATATAATGAAACGGATGACTTTTATGAATAAAGCTGCCTTATAAAATATTCCTTTATCGTGATAATAGCCTAATCTGTAAACAAAAGATCGCATTCGATCGGATCATGCATATCCCATAGTTAAGCTATTCTCTTTTTATCGTTGTTGAAGCGTAGTGATCATTAATAAACATTTATACAAATAGAAATAAAGAGATCAATGTCTTCATCCGGCCAGCTTAAATTTGGTGATGTGTGGCTTTAAATAATTCAAAAATTCAATTGGAAACAAAGGGTTTAATTAAAATTAATGGAATTGAACTTTGATAAAGAAAAGTAATTCATGAAAAAAATTGTTACAAAAAGATAAATCAATCTAAAGTTCGAGATCCGAAACAAATTCTCGACTAGAAAGTGATCAACAGCTGCAGTAGTATTATAATAAGGATTTTTAACGATTTATTCACACGTATGCTCGTATATTCTCCTACAACATAGACTGTTATAGTCCTTCAAAAAAGTTCGAAAAAGTCGAAAAAAGAATCAAAAAAGTTCGAAAAAAGAATGTACTAATACATTCCTAGTTTATCTATCAATTGGCTTTATTACCTGTTTAAACCATCAACATAAAATTAATGGCTGTGTTAACTGAACCAAATTCTACTTTGTCAATTAGCAATAGCAATGGATTCAACTTTTTAGTTTGGGAGAGATTAAGCTATACCGATCCAAGATATATTATTACGGTAACTTGTTTGGCATTCATCAGTATTATAGCAGTTTATGGTAACTTACGCAATCTAACATTGATCCATCAGTGTCGAAGACTACATGATGTAAACGTTTTATGTATCGCTAATTTAGCCTTTATCGATTTTCTTACTGGGATCATAGCCATACCTCTTGCAATCACTGTATTAACCCTAAATCCATTAGAATATCCCATTTGCCAATTTCAAGGATGCGTTACATTACTCTTATACATGACTTCGTTAGTAGCTACATCCCTAATAAGTGTCGATCGATGTAATGCCGTTGTGAATCCTTTTGGTTACGATAGTCAGATCACAGCAAGTAAATGTGTCTTTATCGTAATTTTGACTTGGCTTATACCCTTCATTATCGCTATATTACCTCTACTAGGTCTCGAGCGATATGGTCTTGGTAAGATTTATCTCGAGCTGCTTTGTGGTATCTCATTTGATTATCTACATGAAAATTTCATAATTTCATGGGTAATGACGGCATTTGTGATTATCAACATATTAGTAATCTTTTTTAGCTACCTAATTATTTTTACTGTGGCATATCGAAAAACAGTACAAGATTTAACCAGAAACAGCAAACTATCAAGATCAATTCGAACCACCAGTTTAATCGTCGGAACAAATTTTATTTTCTGGCTTCCGTACATTATCTTTCTGGGACAAAAATTTAGCTATAATATTTCTATCCCTCCATTGCCCAAATTTTCAGACTATTTTACAGTCATTGCAATCATTATGGTAATGAGCAATCCTGCCATCAATCCAATTATATATGCAACAACCAATGCTCATCTACGAAAGCACTTTATCATAACCATTCCGGTACCACAAGCTACTGATCAAAACTAAAGTGAAGCACTTTACATATTTATGTTACTACTGAAAAACTAACGCTATATATATAATTTAAATCCACTCTTTTTCTCTACTGCTAAACCGATAAATTTCATCACTTTATCTACTTTTATTCTATTTCATTTAACAAACGAATAATGTTATGTTTTAGAAGTACAAATATAATAAATTAAAAATATTAAAAACAAAATGTATTACCGTAGCTAGTGAAATATTTAATAACAGAAATTTGTAATAGTTTGCGTTATCCAATACACCGCGTACTTACTTCCGGATTTATGCTTAGATAGAAGAGAAATTACAATAGTCAAATATTATTTAAATTTTAAGTCGTACATAAGTATCTGAATTCATTTGGGTATATCGAACACGTTATTATCACAAAACATAAATGTTACGGAAAGTAATATTTTAAAGGCAATAAAATGAAAATAGATGCTCTAATTGGAAGAATATTATTACTATTCCCATTAATAGTATCGTAGACAATTAATCATATAAGATAGTCAATTTCATAGAGCATTAATTTAACAATTAGCTGATACAGTTATCACTAGGTGACGAAGAGGAAAGAAATCAGAATGGAACTGTAAGAGTCAAGTTGATCTATAAGGCAACGGTAATTCTTTAGTACTATCAAAACATCATACTTAATTATGCCTAATGCAGAATTAGGCACCAGTAATATACTAACAGATTGAAGCTGTAAAAGGAAACCAGTTATATTAAAATCCATTAAGTTATAGCAGTTTCATGTATTCCTTATAAGCTCTTATGGTGTAAAGGTGCAGTTAACTACGTGTGCTTCGACTTTATTATTGAATCAAAACATGAAGCTGCATCCATACTCGAGGAAAATCACTTCGCTATATTAGCTCAATATAACCCTAATTGTTCCTCATTTTTTTATAAAATTTAGCCATAATCTGTTCATCTTCAAAAATATAACCAAAATTACGTGAGAAAAGGAATTTGTCTAAGTTGAATAAATAAAGAAATTACAGTAAATAAGATTCCGTCCTGGTCATAGGATTTTTCTAACCTTTAACCTGTCAAAAAAATATGAAAATGATAACTAATAATATAATATAAGAATTTGGTCTAGGCTGCATATTACCGAACAAGACCGTATACCAAATTTAGATAAAATGTTGCACCTTACAGTATATATCCATATAGAATAATAATAGAAATTATAATCTTATGTTATACTTGTATGATGCATTTATTGCTGTCTATTTATTATCAAAGTCCAATAATAAATTTTGCACATCATCATATTACTGTACTCAAAAATTATCAATCTGTGGTGAAGCTTTCAATCGAAGTTAGTACTTAATAATTACAAGTGATTGTAGCGTAACAATTTTTGCAAGCTAAAGTCCTAGCTGAGCTTAACCATAACTTGTTTTACGATATTCAGGCTGATAAACTACAGTACAAATTTAGTCAAAATCTTTTAGTATTAACAAGTCCATCTAGAAGTTAGTAAGCGATGATTAGTCTTCTATTCATTTGCATCGAATGGCCTAAGCAGCTTTTCTCACAAGTCGAGCATCACTTAGATGTTATTTGTTCAAAAGCAGAAAGCTCGTGGACTCTGTAATGGATAATTTCCGTCCACTATTTTAAGCCTGGGTATACAATTTAAAATACTATTTGAAAGCAAAGTAAAATTTAGCTTGGAATTTTAAATTTTTATCACATGAAAGACTTGAATATAAATTTAAATTACGGTGAAAAGTTTTATTATCAATCAGCAAGATAAAATTAATTACCTCTCCATTCATACTACAGCTAAAGATGGCAAATATTTGAAATTAAATATCAGTCTAACAGTTTGGTCTAGTGACTCCAACATGTAAACTGAATTTATTTTGGTCGCGAATAGCTCATCATTTAGAAACACATTAATCGAAATATACTGAATATAAGATCTGCAGACGTTCTTACATGGATTAAAATACTAGAGGTACGCAACAATTTTGTTGCAAATGAAATCTTGTAACCAGATTGTACAGAGGTATAAATACGAGTCACTTGATTGAACTGAATTTTATAGCATATCATCTACTTTTCCACCAATCCACCAATTAGTAGTATCATTTAAATGAGAAGTACAAGTAAATTTTGTATTAATGTTGTTGTATAGACCAAAATTCGTTTCGCCTACAGTAGTTTCTGGAAAGTAATCGTTGTATTGGCATGATTTTGTCCCTCGCAAATGTGTATGACGGTTTCGATCGCCAATTAGAAGTACAGATCTTTTCTCAATCCAGTATCCGCGAATATTAAGGTAATCCATATAAGAACACCCCAAATATCCTTCACTTAAAATATCTGTTCTGTTGAAATAACTGCGCATGTAATCTACCGGCTTGCTTGAATATGGAAGGGTTCGTGAATTAAAGTTACAAGTCGCTCGCCACATAGATTTACAGGTAAGACTATGATCTATTTGGACTAGTTGCTTCATTTGATCTAATTGCAATCGATACAGTTGCCAATGAGAATACTCTGGTACCGTAGGAAAGTGTTGGTTATATGAGAACCCACGAGTGACCAGACTTTTCCAATTCAGAGCGAAAGACTCAATCAGCGTCCATACATATCCTGGCTCGGAGTTAAAATCGCAATATACACGCCAAGGCGTTCGTGTTCGATTAGCCAGCTTATTCCCGCATTCAGGATTTCCATATATGCTATAAAACCCATTGGGTAAATGTTTCTTTTCATTAAGCATCAGTTCAAGACAGGATCTTACCTTGGGGATTTCTACAACTCGAGTATAATCATAAAGCCATATAGAAAATCAAATTCTAATTAAATGCATTATTGATCGTCTTAATGCGATATTTGACAGTAAAATTAGAAAACATCTCATCATTAGCGGAAATAAGTGCTAATTTCCCAATATTAAAGGCTAGGTAATGATTAAATAATTGCACGCTATGTAGTTCTCCTTTCATTTTATGCATTTCAGCTGCTTCTTGAAATATATAAAGACTAATACTAGGAATTTTGCAGGAGTACTATACGAATCTACTAATGATATTATTTTATTATTTGATATTTATTCGAGCTAGTTCTAAATTTTTTTAATTCGCTAACCTTGTTCACAGTGACGTCCTGTATAGCTTGAAGAGCAATTGCAGAGATAGTCACCACCAGGCTGTAATGAGCATCTTCCATTGACACAAGGATTGGAACTACATGGGTCTTTTTAGAATCATTTTCATTAAAATACAGTTGTTAATTAGTAAAGGATTGTTATTTAATAATGTATATCTGTTTACATCTTGTTTAACATCATTTTATTTTAATACATTATGCTAATTAATTAATAAAGGATTGCTACTTAATAATTTAGATCTTGAAATTTTTATTACCTGTCAAGATACCACAGTGACTTAAATAACATGCAGACATAGAATCAATTTTATAAGCATCATATCCAGAACAGTGTTTAACCTTGATGACTTTAGCACTTGAACATAGAGGGAAGCCAAAGTGAAAGCAAACATTGAATTTATGGATATTGTCACCATCGACGTCCCTAAAATCTGAATTCCATTTTCAGAAGTTAGTCCTTATCTCTTAATAATAAGCCTAAATCTAAAATCACAAGCATAGATACGCTAATTTTCTGTCATTATCAATAAATGCAATTAGTAGTATTCTAATATATATTCCAATTAAATATCTGTTACTGACCCCGAGCATTGTATAGTCTTTTAGCTATAGGAAAGCATTTGATCTGACGTTTAATTCGGTACCATTTCACCGCGTTGTCCTGTATGGTATTACATCGATTGACCAGATCCGAAATATGATTGAAATCAGGAATTAAATCTCTGGTTCTACTATGTAATCCAACTGTGCCATTCTTGCAAGGATCTTTAGATTTAAGTGAAATACCTTACGAAACGCCGTTTTTGTGTTCTCGCATACAGTATTCATTATACAAGATATTTCTACGGCGAGAATAATAAAATGACCTACCTATACATCCACGAAGATCATCCTGTAGCTCAAAATTACCAGGACATGAGCAAAAATAACTACCGTGAGTATTAGTGCAAAGTCTATTGCATCCACCATTTTTGATCATGCACTCATCAATGTCTATCCAAAAATTGAGAATAAGCATATAAATTCCTTGCTTCCTCTCACATGTACATACTGTATTCCTTGTACGCCACATGGCATCGTTACATTAATTATTCTGCTCTCTCATTACAACTAAGACTATTGCAAATATTTAAAGGATTATAGCAATTACGATCATGATTTTATATGCGATGCAACCTTAGAGATACTACACAGTTTTAAGATTAAAATCTACTAACAAAAATATCTTTTAATCACACTTCATCGCCTACTGATCCTATTTACAACAAGGGCATACTATAAAACGTCCTATTTTCCACTGAAGTAAAATCTTTGAATTACTAACGAATGGATATAGAATTAGTAATATTAAATTTACCTTGATCACATTTAATTCCTGTGTATCCTGATTGGCAGTGACAGACGTAATCATCTTCACTTATCGTACAATTACCGTAAACACAAGGATTGGGATCGCATTTATCTAATGTTACACAAAAAATATTTAATAACAACAATGCCAAAACTTCTCTCTTGATCTTTGCTACACGAACCATGATGGATATAGCAACTACTCGAGAGCATCTCAAATATTTCAATACTGAGGTAATACCATCTTCAGAACATTGCTAAAATAGCGCATAGCTTGCTCGAGTTCTAGCTATACCTTAACGCTTTTTGAGGTATTATAACTAAATCAATTCAGAATTACTGAACTCGAAACTACCATAACCTTAGTTCGCATTCTTTCTAACCGAATCCTCTATTGCATTGTTGTCATCCTAACATAAGGTAATACTACTACAAATATAGTGAGAAAACACCCTCTATGGCACAATTTACTGTAATGCTGGAGTTAAGTTGACTATTAACCATAATAAATGTTCTATCAGTCTATAATACCAACTTACTTGCTTTATCGGCACAATATCTTTTAGCAACTTGGCACTCTGTTATCGGTTCAAGAAAATAACTAAAATATTTGCCACAATTTTTAATTTTAATCTGCTGAGACCACGAGCAAATTCTCTTAAAGTTAAAACAAACAGTTCTTTGGACGATTCCATCCGTAACTAGATTGAAAGATGATCTTTCTATCAATAGCTTGTTCGAAGAGACATTTATATAATTTTATGAAAGCTTGATTTGTGTAGAGAGGCTATATTAAACGTTACCTGTAGGATGGTTTCCGTTTAGCCAGCCCGTTGAAATAGTATGACATTGGAGCATTTCTACTGGATGAGTTACAAGCATGACCGACTTTGAATGATTTTGAAGATGATACCAAGCAGGTGAAAAATTAACTTTATCGCAAAGGATCGAATTGCTATCATCAGCGCTATCACTATGCCCAATCAGTCGGGAGGTGGCGTTTAGAATTAAAGAATCGATGCAAGGATCTAAAAAATAAGTCTTAGAGTAATAACGCGTCCTTCCAATAAAATTAGAGTAGCTAATTTGGGAATTATACGGAAATTAAGAAAAATGAACGGTAAGAAAAACGGCAGCTACTGCCTCTAACGTTATCAGCGTAAATACTTCATCAGATTTCAGAATGGTTTATAGCGATATTGTCAGTTACCTATTTCGCAGTTTCTTCCTGTATAGAATTTCTTACATCGGCAAACATAGCCATTAGCCCAAATTTGACAACTTCCGTTATTAAAGCAAGGGTTAGGCCTACAATAATCTGAAAAAATGACATCTTATTAAGAGCCGGAATTAAATAAGGGAAATACGATACAGCTATGGTTCGTTTAATTCCTCAAACCTGGCTTCGTTGTGCAGTATCGAGCACAAAATGGCAGAGATGCAGTTGATGGTAATCGATAGATGTAATAAACATCACAATTTTTAACTTGAACGGATAATTTTGAGAAACAGCAGTTGTTGTAGAAATAAAAACAGACAGTTCTATTAACCACCGAGTCTGAAACTAAATAAAAACAGTCAATGTTTGATCGTAGCTGGTAAAACGATTCTATTGAGGTAAATCAACTTCAGGCAATTTTCAGGAAATTTGTGCCTTTGACAGTAATCCAACCTGCTGGATGTTCTTTGACCATCCATCCAGACGATAAGGTCAAACATCGACCATATTGTTTACTGCAGCTCTCAGGTAATACTTGAGAATCTTTGCCTCCTGTGAAACGATACCAATTATTATTTAACGCTTTATCGCACTGAAATGCCTTTGGACTCGAGGTGAATAGAAGCCTATTGATCGATGTTGATGAATCTATTAGCTTCTCGTATGCTTTACATGGATCTGTCGCATAATTTATTAGTATAATGGTTGTCTTAATAGGCAAAATTAAATCATTTATCCTTCAAATACCTGCAATAGAATACCTCGAAATAGCCAAGACAATCAACTATAATTTCAAAATTAAATAAATATTAGTAATGTCTTTAAATTTTACTCTCATAATAATGCTCTACTGTCTATTCTTAATTAATGAGGTTCCTTTTGCAAAAACTTACAAGAGTAACATCGCTCGAATTTAGTTCATAGATTTTACGTCCCTTATACATTTTGGCAGCAAGCGAAGATGACCTTATTTAGGATAAGTAAAGAGGCAACTGGAAGAAAATTTGAAAAAAAATATCATGAAATAAATCTAGTCTACGTAAATCATTTGCACAACATCTAGCTAAAGAATCCTCAAGCTGACCAATATGGGCACTAGTATAAATTTTAATCTTGACTATAAATCGTGCTAAAGATTGTTTAATGCTACTCACTAAAGGTTTTTATACTCACTTTTGGTGATAGTAGTCAAACAGCTAATTTCCCTTCTCTATTTCAAGATTATATTTAAACCACAATCGGATTTTTCAGTTTCTGATAATGTGACGATAAAATCTCTTTCGCCGTTCTTTTATAGCAAGAACCTTTGCTATAATTTCACCATAACCGTAACGAGCAACGATTTTTCAATCAAAGATATTAAACAAGGGAGACATATCGTGCACCTGTTTATTTTTAATCTATATATATAGTATTATAATTAGTTCGTGAAAGTTCCATAAATACCTCTTATATTTAATGTTATAAGTGTAAATAAGTAGGTGATAATTGACTAGATTTTTACTGATTTATGATTATTAAAATTTATTTTTATTATTCATCTAACACTAGATACAAATTAAAAATATGAAGTAAGCCTGACATCTCTTAGATTTTTCGTGCCAACTAATATCAATCCGGTGCAGACATGCAACGTTTAACTTTTAAACAGTGAATCAATTCCAGCGTTAGCAGAGGCAAAGCTCTAATATGTTTGCACTACTGAAGTGTTCCTAAAATTATCTACAACAAGCGTATACGATAACCATACTCTCTTGTGAGAAGCAAATTACGAAGCTACAATACCAGAAATTATTTATCTTTTTATAATCTGCAGCTGTAGAGTATAACATACATCATAATAAAAGACATGGCTGCTCTAGAATTTAAAATAAAAATCATGACCGTATCAATATAATTTGCACTCCTGGCTATCATAATTCATTGACTATTGCCAAAACTGTCGGCTATGTGTTATACTTGATTAATAAATGACTTAATAATAGTCTGGCATAATTTCTTTATTGTAGTGATTATTTCGATATATCGAGCCCTTGAATAGATCAATGGCTTTAGTCTGTGCAATCTAATCAAAATTGCTTCATAGAGCCAATTGAGGGAAACTGCCCGCCTTCTCCGACCATTCACATCATTTTCAGACTTTATTAGCTAATGCTAGCCACTTTTTCTATTCTTGAAGGCTGTATAAAATAGCTGTTAGATCACTAAATTTATAAATAGACAAAACCAACCCAAAAACAAATCTGAATTTGAAGGCAATACTCATTCTGGTAGTTACCTTTATCACCAATGACTACCATCTCATAAATTCTTTAGTACCAATCATTTATAAATAAAATTTCGTGAAAGACGCATTATAGTATTAATCTGGTAGAAGATGAACAGTGATGAATGTTGCATAATAAGTACTTCCACTCTATCAATGCCACTAGAAAGAATATAGATTTTATACTAGTAATAATTCATTAAATCTTCAGTCAATGCACATGCAGAACCCTACGTTGCAAAATCTTTTGCTATAATTAATTTACAACATCTACGGCCTAACTATAGATCTTCTATTAAGTTATAAAATGAAATATGCCTTATGATAGCAATACCGTAGCATTAAAACTATTTGGAGTATATAATTTTCCTTTTAATATAAGAAACTTCTTGTACTAGGATCATTAGTTTGCCTAGAACGATCCATTAGGTTTATTTTACGATAGTTGCTAAGACCTTAGGGGTATGGTTAGGGTGTTATTATTTTACATTGTAGTAGTAATTAGGTATAGTGCATTATTGCCTAGGCATACCGAATTGCCAATATGGATTATCGCAACAAAAGAAAGTTAATAATTCAGGAACTCAGCACAAATTAAACCTTATTATATTATGGTAGTAATCATGAGAAAAATACGATATAAATCGTTGTTGCGCGATAATAACTTGCACACGGACTCTCTTAAACATTTACTAATTAACGATAAAACGGTAAAGGATTCAGTAGTACTCTATTAAAAGCTTTTATTACGTTGTAATAGTAACTAGCTCTAGTAATGCTTATACCACTGATTACCGTGAAAACGTTAGAATAGAATTAGTAGCTGTGCAGTGTTCTTATGCGTATGTGCTCGAAAATATTTACTAATAGGAAGGATTCATTGATACCTCAGTTAAAAAACATACCGATATTGGCTGTTGCAATAACACTTAGTTAATAATTCAGAAACTGCGCATAAATCAAATCTTATTATGTAGTAGTAAGTAGCTATTTTGCTTATGCAGCTGGTTAACGTGACTATGTTCGAATAGAAATAGTATAATCTTCAAAACGTTTACTAATAAAGGATTCAGTATACTCCAGTAAAACTCTTCCAATATTGAATATTCCAATAAGAATTAGCCAATAAAACTCTACTCTTCTCAAATCTGGTTACGTTGCTTTAGTAACCAGCTCTAATGCCGATATAGTTGGTTATTGGTGAAAACATTCGAATGGAATTAGTAGCTGTGAGATGATTCTATGTACTCGTATATGATGCACTGGCCGCAAGGTTTACAAATAAGTAAGATTCAGTGTACTTTAGTAAAACTCCCCAATATTGACAATCACAACAACATAAAGTCAATCAACTTTGTACAACTTCAATCTTATTACATTACAGTAGTAGTTATCTGTAATATATTGCTTACACAATCGATTATAACGGAAACGTTAAATAGAATTGATTGCTGAGAGATAATCATATGTACATGATGTACTTGGTACTCGCTAAAATGTTTATTAATAAAAAGAATTCAATTTACTCTAGTAAAATTCTCCCAATATTGACTATCTCAATTTTTTTTTTTTTTCCCAATATTGACTATCTCAATAACAAAAATTCAATCAACTCTACATAACTCAAGTCTTACTACGTTGTAGTAAAAAATACTAACTAACTGCAAAAGATTTCTTACACAATACAGTTTAGCCAAAACAAGAATTTAGCCGAATTCTCCTCTGCTATTATGCATAATAACTGGCTAAAGTCCGAAATTTTAATACTTTTACCTTCAATTTGGGCTTTAGCCAGCTAGGATGCATACTTGCCGGCTATTATGCATATTAACCGAGATCGAGTTTTAGCCGTAACGTATATACCGTATATATGTATATTACTCAGAGTATCAATTATTGTCTTCATTGCGTCCACTATTGATAAATTATACAACATAAGCACAGCTTGAAATAACCATTTTGAAAATTTCAATGAAAGATCATGCTATTTCAAGGATTCAATTTAGACAATGATCATGATTATTATTCAAATTAGCGCTTGGAACAAATGAAAAGATGATATTTCCATAACGAATGGTTATAGCACTAAGTTATTATGGATAAACAAGATAAAAGCTAGTCGTCATCCATTTGCTTTGCTTCATCACTAATCCAATCAATTTACGTCGCGATAGTTTTAATTCAAGTATGTTTTCAGTTGTTAACGGAGTCTGGTGAATGCAATATCTGATTATCACCTTACGATAAGGCTTAACCCTAACCGTAACCCCAACCCTAATCCTAACTACGAAAAGGTAAAACATTTGGTGTAAAAATCTACTCACACGAAAATTAATTAGATGGGATTCTATGAGTTATGACTGGATAAAATGATAATGTGGTATAGGAGGTAGAGGTGAAAAAAAGTCCCGCTATGATTTTACTCGACTGTATAATCGTTGTCAACCAATGTCTTGCTCATTTACTTGCGTTGAATCCGTCCATATTAGGCGTATAGCCAGATAAGGAGGCTAAAGGAGCCCGAGATGATGATCTACTGCACGATAAATTAGTTCAAATGTTGGTTGGCCAAGATTATCCAATCTCGGTAGTCGGTAACGTTCAAGCGTTGTAAGAGAATAAATTGAATTACAGTAATAATTCAGTCGATTTAAGCTTCGGGTTAGGGATCTCCTACGCCGTAAGATTATATTACCAGGTCATGCATGACTCACATCTAATTAATTTCCATTCGTATATGTAGGCTTTTGTACCAAATTTTTTACCTCTTCTTAGGCAATAATTTGCCATTTTCGACCTTCTTCCTACTGTGAGCCATGACAATAGATTGTTCCAAATCGATATCCTACTAGTTCACGGAGATTGATAGGCTAGCCGACCATATGGGTCGAATCTATCGTTGTTTTATTCAACATTGTATGTGTCTTTCCTACATAATTATGGACTCCAAGTAGGTAGTTTCTTTTACCCATTCTCTCCTTACTCTCTTGTTGTTCTTTGCGTTGTCTGCTGTCACTATTGTTACTTTTAACACGTGCTGGGTTGGCTTTAACCATATTATTTCCATTTATTGTTCCTTGGCCTATTGATCGAATAGACAATTTCTAGAGAGGAATCAATCGTTACATAAGATCATTTTACTGTATTATCTATAATGAAATTCTTTTTATGTTCAGTATACAATCCTTTCTGATCGTAGATACACTATATAGAATAACTATTTCGTTAAATAATTAGTGGATAAATCCACGCTAAGCTAATTAAACGTCATCAATCATGATCATCAAGGCCGCGATAAAGCCTTAGTCAGATTCATCTACGCTGTTGTTAGTCAAACTTGATTTCAATTGCACGCCATTAAATGTAGACTTTCTTGATTATTGCCATACTGTCTTCTAAATCTGAACATTTGGTATATAAGAAAAGGAAGTACAAGATTTTGCAGCGATTTTGTTTCTGTAGCCCAATTTTTTACAAGCCGAATTGTAAGTAATCTTTGCCTTTATTAAGTGAACAGTGACTATTTTCAGCTTGATGACCGTATAGATAAAATAACTTTTAAAGTCTTCATAATAAGGTTATGATTGCGATAAAGAGTGTTTGTTTGGATTACAATTTTATATTCAACGGAGAAAAACTTACTTTAAAAAACGGATTAGTAACATTACTATACGCGTGCAAATAGAACAATTCATTTGATTACTAAATCAAACAGAACGAGTTTCATTTTGTGACAGCTTTCAATTTTATTTTCTTCAATTAGCAAGTATACTTATACGACTTATTTCACAGTAATAACATAGCGCAGCCAAAATAGAGAGCAACTTTCTCATATAATCATTATCATGCTATTTATTAGTGTAATGGAATCGAAGATTGAATTAATTTGTCTAAAACTATGGATAACTTTAGCCACCGTAACTAGCATCTAAAATTAATTATAAACTGGATTACTGCGGAATACGGATTCTTATTTTATAATAAAGTAAGGCTTTAAGCCATCATAACGGGGTTATTCGTTATTCCATTTTACTACAGATTAAATTGATCAGATGCTATGCTCTTCATGATCATGTTTCATTAATAATTTACCGCGTCGCACTGCAATGCAGGCTTTTCAACTTCATATTCTATTATTATTTATAATCTTCTTGCTGTATTCCAATAACAGAGCGATTGTGTTCACCTTTCGATCATGTTATAGCTGTCCAAGCGTACAAACATTGCATTTGATTAAGAAAAAACACAGTTTCTATTCGCTTATTCACACTTTAGCTAAATTTATCAGAATTTATTCAAATCTAAAGTTATACCAATAGAATGTAGATTATTCAGATATTTTTACTATCACTACTAACAATGGTAATTCCGCTGCCATAAAATTTGGCTTTCGGTGTCATGATATTGGCCATCCAACAGCTTCTATTACTTCATGTACTAAAAGGCATTGCTTTCTAAGATAGTTAAATCCAATTTGTCTACTTCTGCAATAACGGTCAACTTTCAATCTTTCTTCGGCATACACTAATATGATTATTTACATCTTGTATCGAAAATAATATGTTGTATTTTGCTGCTTTTCTTAGAATCATATTATGAAATGAATGTCATGCCTGCCGATCGATCAATTTGGTTGCTCTACTATCTATGCTTACTCTGCCTCTTTAGGACTATAGGTAGAGTTGATTAGCTCAAGTTTAATCTGTTCTTTGCCTTTTCTAATCTAAATATCTTCATACTCTTTACACCCAGTCTTGCTACTTTAAATTGTCGATCAAAATTCTGTTGAGTTCCGTTTAATCCCTTCAGTAACAGATGAGTTCTTCTATATCTAAAATTGCTTCGCCAATAATCGGAAAGTTTGTGCACTAAATTAGAAATCGCAATTTTTACGATAGTTCTTTCCAATCTTTCCAATATATACAAGCTGCTTTAGACGTGAAATTGCATTACTAATAATGATCAGAATTTTTATACTTTAAATTGCTAATGACAATTTAATGATAGCTGTTGTAAATCCATTCAGTTCAGTATCCGATCTGCTCTAGGCCTATCATTAACGTTTCTAACCATCATTTCGTAGAGTACAGTACAAAATACCAGTAGACCACAAATCGTAGCGATGATGATATGATTCTGATCCACTTGTTCCTAGCATAATGAAACTCCATTTCAAAAGCAGAATAACCGTTTTAAAAGTATTAGGGCATAAATTACAAAGAGGTGGAATATGTACTTTAAACAAGTTAACCTCTTAAGTCCTAAAGATCTATAAGTAAATATTAAACCACAGTAAATTGAGATTTTATGCCAACATTTTGCATAAGAGAGTAACATCAATCATGACAGTTTAAACAAACCATAATCCAATTCTTTTCTAATTCCTAGACGCTCAAGTAGATATCACACAGCCGACATCTTCTCCATTTTCCGTCGAAGGTGGTAATAACATCCGAGTATGTTTTCAGTGTACACCAACTAATGGCTATCGTGTACTCGGCTGGAATCATAACAACACTCGGATTGTTGCATCAAATCGAATTTCCCTAGAATTATCCAATACAGAATTGTGTATATCAGCTCTTAATCCCGGCGATCTTGGCGATTACACCTGCGTTGGCAATAATAACGCTGGCCAAACTAGAACAGCGTCATTTGTTTTGCTTGTTACACGTAAGTGAGAGCACTATTTTCAAATCTTACCATCTTTAATAATTATCTTCGGCATCAATTTCTAGTGGCAAGGCTAACAGACCAAATAGAAAATTTACCCATTCGACTCTAATTAATTTACAGCTCTAGCCAAATAACGTACGAATACTTTGTGAATAGAACTATCAAGCGAGCTTGTTTTAATGCTATATCAAATCTTCGGATTAAGTTTTAGTGGAATTATTTGAAAGACAAGACTTGTAGATTACATTCGCGATATTTAAAAGATCCAGTTATGTCGATCTAAGCATGCTGGAATAAAGCTTTCTATGTGTAATCTTGTTAACACTAAACGACAATTAATAATTTAAAAGATAAAAAAGGGCTACGGTTATATAGCTATCCCTTTAAATCATCAAACTCAAATCAATTGTAAATCAGCAAAATACGATCATGAACCGTAGTATTTCTTAATAGTTAACATCCATAAATTCGTCCAATAGTAATAGATTAATTCTAGCTTTGCGTATTATTTATTCAAACTTAAAATTGGTTTATAATTTCGATAACCTGTGATTATAACAGCGAAAACTTCCTCCATATTTAGCCAGTACAAATTTATCCAGCGCTAAATGAAATGTACATTATTCGTTAGTTTTGCGCCTCTACTAACGGTAATACATTTCGTACATGATAGCTTTTTATATCATATATCATCATATGCACCCAAATTTCTGGAATATAGAATTAAATATATTTGGCGACAGTTAAATTATCAATCTCTCTAAAAATTGATATTTACTACAGTACTTCACGTAGTTAGATTGTCTATATAGCTTGTCTAATAAGCTCTTTTATCATTCGTGTATTTAGTGGGATACTCGATTGAAACGAAACGTCAACAAACTATTCCTTTCTTCCAAACTGGCTTAGTGAGTTGTAAAGTGGCTGGTTATCCTCCACCAAACATTACCTGGCGATTAAATGGCACAGAAATTGATTTTTATCGCTCTAACCGCCACCGGCTTCTAGGCAATGGGTCGCTTTTGATCTATAACGTCAATCATAACGATTCTGGAAGGTATAGAATTACAGTAATTCGACCGGGCCAGCAAATTCCTCTAACAGAAAGCATTAACGTAAATGTTGGTGGTAAGGCTAAGAATGGACATGCTTTTCAAGTGGAATCCTGTGTCAATTTTATAATCAACATTCTTACTTCCTTTAATCTACAGTTTATCCGAGATTCTATCGCTATGGACGTTATCCAGGATATCCAGTTAATGTAACGGTGATATCTGGTAGTAATTTTACTTTATCATGCAATGGGTTAGGTACTCCAACACCAAATATAACGTGGCTAGGACCTAATCGACTTCCGGTCTTTAATTTACGCTATCGTGTAACAAATGGTGGCCGTCTATTTCACATTTACAATGCGCAGCGAAATTTTGATAGCGAATTCACTTGTAGAGTTAATAATACCATCGCTACTATAAGTGGAACTGCACATGTTACCATTTATGGTAAGTAGAAATCTAGCCTATTACCGCAAATATCAATACAAAAACAAGATATAAGATACTTTATCGATTTAAATTCCAAATTAATTGTACTACAATTCAGATATTACAATTTTTAAGAAGCAAGCTTGATTTTATAATAATTTTAATATTGGTTTCATAATTCTTTCGCAACTTTCAGTCCTAATTTTAACCATTTTATCACTCTATTTTAATATCCTTAACCTTTGGTAACTTTCATTATTCAACAGAAAAACCAGTTATATCATCTTTAACTAATTCACTTAGTATTGCTACTGGTAGCGCTATTTCATTGCGATGTATTACAACGGGCTATCCAAGACCTAGAATAACATGGTATAGAGATGGTCAATTTGTAAATATAGTAAGTACTTGTCGGATTTCGCCTTATAACAGTGACTGTTACGGCATTGGTAATATAAGAATTATGTAATCTGTTCGATAATAATTGAGTACATTACCTAGTCGTATTTTAGTAGGTGTGAAAGCAACCTAAAAATAAATATTTTATGTTGATCAGGGAATTGGTGGTGCCGTTAAACAAGACATTGTTCGAGGAGAAACTGTTACAAGTTATTTGAATATGACTAACGTTGGTCTTAATCAAGCTGGTATTTATACCTGTTCTAGCAGCAATAACATACCTTTCACATCAAACAGAACTACACAAATTACTACCAATGGTAAGGGTGTGACTATAATTTCAATATCAATCTCATTTCAAAATATTATATTTAGAAAGCGAGATTACTAGGTGATATAAGTGAATTTAAGCTCATTCTCCTTTCAACGTTCAATTCTAGTTAGGGCTCAAGTAGATAGTTCTTTTGGATTACCGATCGTACGTGGAGCTGTTACTGGTAAAACTACTTTGCTTTGCCGTGCTTCGGGGAGTCCACGACCATTAATCTATTGGTCTAAAGATAATATTAATATTACTCGTCAAGTTAACCCCTCAATTACCATCACTAGTAAAAACCTATCTAGTATTGCTATTTTGAGTAATTTAACGATATATGGATTAAATAGAAGTAATTTTGGCAATTATGTATGTTCAACTTATAATCGAATTAACAGAATGCTGCACATCGCCGAATTATCCAACTCCAAGAAATAAGTGAGTTGAACTGTAAATATTCTGTCTTATAGACACTGGGTAAACAACTTTAACAACATGGCACATTTTGTAAACTAAACAAATGCCTTAGTTGTCAGGATAGTAGAATATTTACATATTGAAGCAGATTAGCTGTACCTGACGTGTTTGATATATAGACATTTTGTAAACAACTTTGGAATAGAGTAAATTTTGCAAATAAAATAATTAGCACAATTTCTACAGCCATGAAACAGTTACATTATAAAACAGATTTTTCAATAACTTTTTTATTTATCTATTAACAGGCTTTCCTAGTTTTCCTAGATCTGTTACGGTTCGCTCTACAACGACGCACTCATTAACTATAAGTTGGTCATCTCCAATCAATCAAGGTGGTGGAATTATACAAATGTATAGAATTGCTTATTATCGAAAAAATTTGAGAAAGCAATATCAATATACGCCAAGTAGCCAAATAACATTAAATAATTTGGTCGATAACACTGACTACATCGTCGAAGTTAGCGCATCTAACGAAGCAGGATACGGAAAGTCAGCTACTATGATATTTAGAACAGCAAAGCCAGGTAGAAAACTGATGTTATTTGCTGCCTAGGCCCATAACAGATTATAGACGACTGTTTGATTTAAATTTTTTTGCTGTCTGTACTATACTTTTGTGCATAACTATAGTGGCTACATTTTCCCTAGGTCTGCCTAGCCCGCCGACCAATATCGAAATTAGGCTACTATCGAAAGATTCTTTCTTGATCAATTGGCAGACTGCAATAGACAACGGAGGAGTTCCTATCATAAGTTATATCATCTCATATAAATTACATAGCTCTCGATACAATTGGTCGGAATTTTATGTGCCCAGTTACGAAAGATCCCATACAATCTACAATTTACCGTTTGGAGGTCAATATGATGTTCGAATGTTTACATATACTAAAGCAGGAAGAAGTAGTCCTACTAGGACCTGGAATGTTACACTATGTAAGCTAGTCTACATGAAATGCAATAAAATAGAATAATGTCACAGCCATCAAGGCACCAGAAATTATTATTTTAGCATGGTATTAACTCTTTCATATTCATTTTTGTACTACATGCAATCTTTAGCTCCAACTCCTCCACCAAATGGTAATCATACATATTAGCTAATGGATATCACTTATTTATTTGTTTATGTATTAAAATATTAAAGTTTTATCTCAAATATCGGAAAATTTGCTTAGTGTAGTACATTAATAACGTAATATGCATGGAGTAAATTAGATGCAAGTATCCAAATATTCTTCAAAAATACGCATATTTAATAAAATGTATTAGTTAAATTATTATTCAATATTTACGATAACTTATATTTTTTTGCAGCTCAAGCTCAGCTTTCCACATCCCAACTCGGTGCTATTATTGTAGTATGCATTATCTTGTCTCTAATTGCCTTCGATCTTGCCGTCTACTATTTACATGAAAAAGGATTAACAGCTGCTATCATAAATATCTGTTCTACACCTAACGATACGGAAATCATTAAAACAAGCCAAGGTAAGAATTTAGATTTTCGCTTGACTATAGCGATAATTATATACCTGTATTGCCGTATCCTTGTTAGCTAAAGAAATATTACAAATACGATAATCTCTCCTTTTACTTTTACTATTAATCGATTTTTTTCCACGCAGATACTACTATGGTAGCTAATACTAATGCCACAAGAAATAGCATTAAAGAAGATCAAATTTCAGGGTAAGCATTGCCACAGATTAATTTACAAAAACGGATTTTTTTCGTTATAGAAAATTGAAACTTGCCACTAAAATCTGATGTGAATAGATTCGCTATTTTATATGATTGCTATTTGCTATTACATCCATCAGTGAACTCATATCACCTAAATGTTTAACTATATTATTTCTCAGATTTCTCAAATTAAGTAATTCTACTTTCGATATAATTCTGACTTCTTACAATAGTGAATGGATCTCTGCTAATGTTTCCTATAACCATAGAGTTAGGGTTAGGGTTAGGGTTAGAACATTTCCTATAACCATAGACTATCCATGTATAATTAATTTCTAAGCTTAGATTTAAAAAGTATCAATTATGAGATTACTATTTTATAGTCCTACGAAAATCGCAATCACGTCAAAATTTCATGATATCAGCTTTTGAATAACAGCATAAACGTAGACTAAGCAACAAGGCAATATTGGTTGATAAGAATCAAAAGATTTTTGTTGGATATCCTATGATAACATATAAATTATAATTCCTATATTCTATTTAATTAATTCTATTCACATATGCATTTCCATAAGTTGCTAGAATGCGATTTACATATTGAGCTATGATAAAAATTTAGATTACTAATTGTTTCGATTTTACCGTTAAGGATGCTGAATAATACCATTGAAACAGGAAGTAGGGTATGAAGTACTTGACATGAACTCCGTTTCTCCATGCTTGATATCTTACGAACAGATATTTTATTTTATTCCAAATACTTTGTAATACTTATAGCTGTCGATTTTCTAACTTAATACGTTTGAAACAAATTCTATGAAAAGCTTATATTGCCATCGTGATAGAAATATGTTAAGAGACGGTCTTTTTTTAAATCAATTAAATTTAAGTGAAGTATTAATTTGGCTATATGTTAGAACTGGTAATACCATATTAATCTCTAAATTTAAGGAGTAAAGCAATCTCATGGATATAAACTCAAATATGATCATTTCATATAGAAATGGGTTATTCCAGTATAACATTTAAATATAATTCGATACATTTTTGGTTTCTTGTACATGCAATTGCTGCCCTTTTACAAATGTTATGAATAAATGAAGAATTACTGAATTAATCACGATCAATCATATTTATTGGCTCTATCTTGCCGTCGAATAGCGTGAATAATAATATTCCATAGCCGATATTTCTACTATCAGTTGAGTAAAATGTAAATTGTACCTATCAATAAAAATATTTATCAAAAAAATAGTTTGTTTTTAAAAAGCAAATATCCAAATAAATTAGTAGCACGTGTGAAAATATATATAGTAATAGTTATGATCTAAGTATTTCGAAATACTTAACTTCAGTCAATGTCATTCATAATGGTATCAAGATATGACTTGAAATAAATTAAAGATAAGTAATAGAAAATACCAATGATACGTTCAGCACGGTTATTTAATTATGACATTCATAAAAGAATTAAATACAACATTTTTAGCTGAACAGCGTTATGAATGGAATTTGGTAAATTACTTTATGATCTAGTTTCAGTTCTGATAATAAATAAAGGTATGAGGTAATCATACCCCTTCCTAACATTTTGGTCTTCATGGTGTGCTGTAATACTATTTCAAGTACATACTTGAATTGACAGAGAAGCGATAATTTAATTATTCATCATGCTAGGTACGTGTGAGATAATAGCTTTTAACAGTATTTACTTATTAACCGCTATAAATCGCTGAATTTAGTTATTACATGAGCAATTACGGCATCTATTGCACTATAAGCCCGCATTAGCAATCGACTACAGATTTTGACGATAAAAAATATATAAGGTTTTATTGAATCCATATGTTGCTAATAAATTACTTGTCAATGTTTTAGCTAGTACCTCCATCAATGTTACTGTATACTTAGGTTGCAATATTGCCTTTAAGATTGATTGGCTGTTAATATTCCAAAACTAATTTACTTTTAGGAATGAAATAGCAGCATTAGCTCATTGAAAATTCCAATAATATTCAAAATCGCAAGCTTTCAAGATGAATTTTAAAGAATCTGCCTCGTGGACTTTGTCTGTATTTAATTCAATCGCATTAAATATACATTTATCACAATAGCTGCGATATAAATTTAGCTCCATTTCGTTAAAGTACTGCAAATGTAATCGTTTATTATCAATCCTTATAAGAAATTTCATTTATAGAAATTTTATGACTACTTTTAATTGCTTCTGTAAGAGAGAAAAATCATATTATAGTGACAAGCCCTTACAATTACAAAAGCTATAATTAGTCTCTATTTCTTCATCTTTATCGATCTTCAAACTAAATGTTAACGATCTTAATAGACCCTTGGTATTCTACATCTTGATGATTGACAATTTACATACGGTATGATAATGTTGACGTATCTTTTAAGCCTAAAAATCATCCTAATATTAACGCTGGTAGCCTTGATTACACTCATTTCTTATAGTATACATTCGCCCAATGTTTATATTACCTAGCTGTTCTATCAGTGTTTCATAGTACTCAAGCATAGCATCAACAAGAAATTTAAACTTGCCTGTAATACTAAATTGCAGATCATTAACTGGCTAATTATGTTAGCTCGATGATATCACTAGCAATGTTATTCAACACAGGTCCCGGTGACTAACTCTGTCTATAAAAGCTTGCATCGCCTAAATCCATATTAATTCTGTGTTGCAACCCAATCCTTACCTGAAGAGTATTAGCTCTCAAATTGATTGGTACTTTATGCAATTTTGAGAGATCAGGAAGTAGTAAGATTTTGCTCAAATCGATCAGATAAGAGATATGCAAGTTAATGCGCATAAGGGAAAAACTTGACCATTTAATGCCTTTGTTCAACATTTTCAATTTTTATACCTCATAGTGCTATAGTTCATACGATAAGACGGTAGATCGAGAGAAGGTATATATTGTTACTTACTAATTACGCGGAAACAGACTTTAAGGTTGATCAATGAGATTATATGTATGCGTAATAACATAGAAATCATCTCAGTTACCACAGTTAACTGCAATTTTCATCAAAATTTAAATGGAAATGAAATAAATTCGATACAATAGAACTAATATAACTATAATTTCTCTTACAATAGAGAGCCTAAACAATTTCAATGAAATTTTTTTTGACACGAGCTCGCAGAACTTCAAGTATATCGATTCTTAAACTAATAAACACTTGTAACTTAAATATTTCAATCTTCTAATTGATAAAATTCCTAACTTTTAAATTGCATTTAAACTAATCAAGTGGAATGTTACAGTTAATTCGCAATTGCAAAGTAAAGTATGTAGTTGCAACAATTGCAGTTAATCAAGGTGCTACTGTGGTTAGAGTGGCATTTCTATATGCCCACTCAGGGAAATGTGACAGATTAAAAGCAGCGATTCCCAAAGTATTCGTAATAGCTACCAAAATAAGTATTCCAATAAAATTCATCATTAATCCGGTTTTGACCATATCGATACTACGTACATATCCACTCGAGAAGGCAATGGCGTTAGGTGGTGTTGCAGCCGGCAGCATAAAAGCAAAGGAAGCTGCTACAGTTGTTGGTAACATAAAATAATAAGGATTAACATTCATACTTTGCGCCAATTGGCCAACTAACGGTAGAAAGATGGTTGCTGTCGCGGTGTTGGACATAATTTCGGTAAGAAAGCAGATAATAATACAAATTAATAATTGGACTAAAAACGGAGCTAGACTAGAGAAGACATTCATTTGCTGGCCTAGCCAATTAGATAATCCAGATAATTCACATGCTTTAGCAAGGGCAAAACTACCACCAAGTAAGAGGATAACATTCCATGATAAATTACGTTGTGTTACATCAAAAGTTAAAATTCTTCCTACACGTTTTGGAGGGTTAAAAAAGTTATATTTCCAAGGTGGTATATCAGGGATCATATGAAGAAGAAAAGCAATCAAGATAGCTGAAGTAGCATCGGAGACATAACCTTTGGGAAATAATGCTGCCCAACCGGGAATAAAACCTGGATTACGAGTTAACCAAAGAAGAACAAGTACTATACCCAAGATGCCAACAACCCATTCTTGGTAGGTCATTTTACCTAATTTTTTGTACTCGATCTGTATTACTTTCCTAGCACTAGCTGTATCCCACGATCTATCCGGTCCTTCCTGCCTATAAACTCGATTGCAAGTGAAGAAACGAATGATACCTCTCCAACTGTGATCATCATAAGCGAAGAAAAATACTAGCCACAACCAGGCGACAAATAAGACAATGATCATCGTTGGGCATCCGTAGACAAACCATCTGGCAAAATCGATTTGTGGAGCTTTAGGATACATATCTGAAGCTATTCCACTTAACACTAAGTTAGGTGGAGTTCCTGTTAATGTCGCTATGCCACCAATATTAGCTGCGTAAGGAACACACAGAATTAAGCCCTTAACAACTTTATCAAACTTCTTTTTACTTAAGACAGGCTTATTTTCTCGATTAAACGTTATTGAGCCTTCATCGTCGCTATTTGCTTCGCCCGAGGCTGCAACTTGTACGGTTAAATCGTTGGAATTACGTCGTAACAATTCTTTCTGTTTTATGGAAGTACCTGATTGAATCGCTTGGTCACCATCTTTATCCTCATTTTCTACTGTTGATTCGTTATTATCATCAGTACTGACATTTTTAGATAATTCACTAATGACGGCGGTTGCGATTGGTATCATCATTGCAGCAGTAGCTGAATTACTAATCCACATAGATAGAAATGCTGTGACAATCATAAAGCCCAAAAATAAAAAGTGCGGCTTTGCACCTAGTAAGACTAAAACGTACAAAGCAATTCTTTTATGAAAATTAGTGTGCTCGATAGCTACTGCTACAGTTAATCCGCCTACAAATAGCCCAATGGTGTTATTAAAGTAATTGGGTACGACATCTTTCGATGGTAGTACTCCTAAGATTGGAAATAAAAATATCGGCAGTAAAGCTGTCACAGCTAACGGCACTAACTCCAAAACCCAAAAGGACGCGATAATAATAACTGCATAGGCTGTGCTAGCAATTCGACTTTGTCCGACAATAGGCAAGGGCAATAATAAAATCGGTATAAGAATAATTAAGACACTTTTACCGAATGCTAGATACCATTTTAAAAAAGCCTGGAGTTTAGTTAATCGGCGTCCTTTCTGATTTTCGATGGTTTCTTTGCCATTTATTTCCATATCAGTGTTGTTGTCAGCCATCGTTCACCTTCATCGATGTATAATGAATAAATTCTATAATGGCCCGTATAAATAGGTTTGAAAAAAAATTTTTTTGTTTACTTTCAAGCAGTATTTATTTAATGATTGTATTAAATTATAATATGCTATTCAATACACAGCACACACAAACGATGACAGCAGAGCATTGATCCTTATAAACTAGTATATACGAGTATACTAGTGCGTTCTTCCGTTGATATTAGCTTATTATTTTTTAACAATGTTAAAAAAAGGCAATGATTTCTCTCAAAGTACGATAATTAATGCGTACATATTACACGTATAAATGGTAATAAGAATTCGAGGTAGAGCTTGCCTTAGTCTCAAAGAGGGAAGAGTAACCTAGTATAGCATTGACGCTGAATAAGAATTACTATTAGCACGTAATGAGATCATTTAGATTAGATATAGCTCTATGAAGTACATAAAATTAAAACCTGTTTGCATTGCTTTTTTTTTTTTTTTTCATTAGTAAGTTGCAAACGATAACAATCTCTGGAATATCATGGAATATAAGATTTACTGCTTGTAGTGCCTAGTATCAATTGCCAGTTTACTTTAATATATATGGCAATATGCTTACTATGCGATCGTGATATTTCTAAAGTACATAATGGAAAAAAATTCGATTTATGTGCATAATGTCAAGGTCATAATCTCTGCTATAGACAATTGTACATACATTAGACCATGGGTACTTTAATTAAGATCAATTCTAATTATCATTGTTACCTTATACTGCATGGTTTGTATACGAAAGATTCCTGTATGATTTTATTTTATGCAATGATAGGTAAATAACGTATCGGGCATGATTTAATGGGTATCTTTCTTAAATAACAATAAAGAAAGCATAAGCTCATCTATGGACAGCTAATACTTGCTAGTTATGTGTTTACATTTATTGTCAATGACTATATAACAGCATTGCTGTTATTAGATACAGTTGGTTGAGTTGTTATTCAACTTTCTTCAATCATTTAAACTACGATAGTATGTAAAACACTCTAGATTTGTACTACGCCTACCCTCGTTCAACACGATGCATTGCAGATTAACGTAAAAATGTTCTGTAACTGCAGAATCGCTGAGACAACATAACATTGTCATGCAATTCGTAGAAATTCTATCGACATCTAGCAAACCGTTGGCAATTTACTATGCTTGATTTTGTAAAGGCGTGAGAATAATTTCAAACATATCGATGTCTTGCAACAAGTTTGAGGACATTGGGATCAAAAACACGCAGTCAATAATGCTCAGAAGTCATTATTCCAATAAACTACCAGATGTCAACACATTGAATCCTAATTAGCTTTGCAACAAGATTAATGCTTAAAGACAGATAGCGTACTGTTCGTCTTACATAATAATTTATATTAATTATCATTCAAATGTTCTACCGGTAGCATTTCCTATAACATTTCATCGCGCTGTTTCAAGATTAAAATTTTTATCTCATCAAACTCATGATATATTACTGGAATGATTATATCTATTCTATTCTAGTAATTTCAATTATTTTTTATTTATTGTCATTTTGGTAAAACTGCAAGTATGGTTTAACGTTGAGCTGGCAAAAATATCATCCGCATTTTTAATTTTTTATTATTTTTATCACGGAACTTTAACTGTGGTCTAATAGATATCAGTAATAAGTATTAATTAAGGAACCGTCAGGAAATTTGTTTATTTTAAAAATTGATTTGATGCAGTTGAAATTGTACTCTGCAAACTACATAGTAGACTAGCTAAAAAGGCATTGCAGAATGCAAATAACGATGACCTCTACGTGCACGTGATTTCACCTCTCCACATGTCATGTTTGCTTAATTTGCACAAAGTAATTTGCTTCCAATGGAGGTGATCTCGCTTGTTGCAAGGATCCCATAGAGTAAGTTATGTTTTAAATAATGTACTCAGGTATGGGAACTTGACGAGCACGTTTTTTTGTTAGCTTTCAGTTAGATGGAAGATCGCGTACATCCTAAGTGCCATACAAAGTTGCGTCTTGTCTTCGAGATTATTCTGTCAAATACTCGTATAGTAATGTTCTCAATTCGTCTAGAATGCGGTGGCATACTGTACTTGCACGTAGTAGCACCTTTTCATGGGTGCTCATTTACAGTTTCACAAGGTCTTGACTTTTATTTTTTATTCTATGAATTGGAGAATAAATGATAAATGATTAAATGCAAATCATTTCCATTGAATATGAGCTCAATATACTTTCAGTAAATAAATATTATTATGGGAATTACTGTTGTTACTATTATTTATTATATGCTCATTTTTGGTAAGGCACGAGAGCTCCTTAACCGAAAATTATTGTGTTATTAATAACAGGATCGTTTCGAGAAATAACAGTATATCGATACCAATGGAGGAAGTACTAGAAATGTTTCTGTTTGTTGTATAGGCGCCGAAAGGACAACAGACATATGTACGTATTTGTTTAATCAATGCTGCATAGTAGCAAGCCTGAAGACCGTTCCTATTGCAGATACTGAATGATTTTCCGTAAGTGGTAAAAGTATGCTACCCTTTAGAATAATACTAAATATACTAAGCGAGTAAGTAATGAGACAACTCACTCTGTTATATGAATTATTTAATTTAAACTATTTTATAATTTTATTGGCATAAAGAAGTACTGCTATCTAGCGGTAGATATGCGTAATTTACTGTCCCAAAGACTTTGTTCTCAATCATGCACTTCTTGTCTCACGAAGTGTTTGATAATTCGGGCAATGTGCCGCAAGTGTGAGAATTAAAGTTTGGTGAAATGCTATTCCGTTGTCTACAGTACAGTATTATAAACTTCTATAATAAATTTATTTATCCGATTTTGACGATGAACAGTAAGAAAGAGATACGGTTTCACTACAAATTAATCATAAGCAAGTATTACTACTCCCCTAGTACTATGACGGATTGCCGGCGTGGAGGCGAGGTGGGGCAGTACTAGAAGAAGACCTTGACCGATCAATCCCTCAGATAGGCGGACTTTTCTTACCCAATGAGGCCGTCAACATGGAAGAAGGATTACTGTACTTAGTATCCATCTTCCGTGTCTGTTTTCTAAATCACTGGTACTAATTTAAAGAACATCGACGATCTTATACAACTCTTTCCAAGCAAAACTTAGCAACAGATCATAAGATTCGACGTAAATAGTAATATTACTTCATTTGGAAAAAAAATCAGTCAGTTTGATTAAAATCAATCGAATCTCCATACTAAAATACGGACATAACGAGGTGCGTTTGGCACAATATTTGAATGAGATTAAGCCGAAAGTGATCAGTCCAGGTCTTCTTTTCGTAGTCCATGACACTAGCGTGTTGGAAGGGTGTGGTGAAATTCTATGTGCATGATTTCATCACTGGATAAAACGACAATAAAAAGCGTACAAAATCGTAGCCAAATGAGAAGGGAAATAGTAAAATGGACTACGTATGAGTAGACAGGATGGATGCCACTTGTCACAACAGATTGGCCAGCCTTTCTAACTGAGAGCCTTTTCTCATTTTTGGAGTACGATAGTTGATATTACAGGATCTCCATTCCAATACTAATACAGCCACCAGCTATTCCAGTTTACTGTACGTACATTACTGAACTGCAGATATTGATTACTGTATATATATATATACACACTAGTAAGTACAGCCTGAACAAATTCCCCGTGCCACCGTCATTACTATACTATATTAATAAATTTAATTCAATCCGATATTCAATAATAAATAAAATATAATCGCCCATTAAAGTAATTCACAGAGAGAGCTGGAAGTCCATGCCAGTGTTGACAGTGAATTGCGACAGTGGCACTAAGGTGCATGCGTAAACATGGTGTTTCGGTGTGAGTCAGTTTTGGTATGGATGTACGCGAAGGTAGACTGATCACCCTTGGACGGACAGACATTTTCGGCTTCATTTCGTCCCAATATTGTTCAAACACTTCATTATGACAGTACTTTAGTATACAGACGATCGATTTTAAATCGACTGATTTTTTCCTAAATTAATAGTAAGTAATATTACGTTCAATCTTACCGTCCGTTACTAAATTCTGCTTGGAAATAGAAATGGTTATATAAGGTCATAGATGTTATTTAAATTTGTACCAATGATTTCGAAAACAGACACAGAAGGTCCATTCTAAGTCAACTGCTACGTAGCCATTTTTCGACGTTTACGGCCTTATTGAAGTTAAAAAGTCCGTCTCTCTGGTTATCCGCGCGGAACAATCTTGATTACAGTATTTTCTGCTCGTACAGTACATAGTGTACTGTACTGTACTGTACTGTACAGTATATTGTACTGTATTGTACTGTACTGTATAAAGACCACGATTACAGGGGCGTGGCGAGCCCTCGAAAATGGTTGAAAGATGTTCAGCTGTAATGTGGCCTTAAATTCTATCTTTAAATTGTGAAGAAATGGACTTTCAATTAGGCTCCAATTCCATGCAGACAGATCAATACAACCTCGAGCAATTGGCTCGTGACATTTTGATTACTTTTTATGGCAGTATTGGATAATTGTATTTCTTTCAAGTTTCGAATACAAACTATCAGTCGCTGTTGCATGTTCGGTCGCTCCATCTATTTTACAATTCACGTTGTAATACCGCTTGATGTACAGTACATTGTACAGTAGTGTACAGTACTGTAGATACAGCTAGAGATTCTGCAGGGAATTCTCCACACTGCAGTAAAACATTTTTACGTGATTCTGGGTTGCCTTGTGTGTGTGTTCTCTTATTATCGAAATGGCTTAATTATATAACCGGTGGCACTGGGATTATTCATCACTGAACGTGATCTTGTTCTTATAGTACTCCATATTCAAAGATTGATGCCAAAAAGCTTGAGTGCGTTCAGAAATGGCAACGAACAGCAGTCAACAAAAGCTGGATACGAGCGAAATCATCTCCGACATCTTGTGTGAATTTTTAGAAGTTGCAATCCATACAATTTTATATATGCGTGATATCTATCCTGCTGTCATTTTCGATAAACGAAAAAAATACAATGTACCAGTTCAAATGTCTTGCCATCCTCAGGTCAACGAATACATTTTATCTGTTTTGCACAGTATTAAGCCATTGTTGAAATCGGATTCTATCCGCTGCCTTGCCTTAGTCATTTTAGATAAGTCCAAACGACCAATAGAACGATTTGTATTTGAACTGCAACCTCAAATGGCGTCCAATTTGAAAGATGATGCTTTATTGACACGTTTAGAAAGTGGATTAAGAGCTTTCTTATTAAAACTGAACGTCTGTGATGCGGTCTTAAGCACTAACCCCGCTGATTGTTCCTTTGCAATTATTGTTTACACCAAAGAATCCGATGCTCGAAAATTAGAGCCTCGCCAAACGAGTGACCAAGATTTTCCCTGGATTGTTGCTGATGAAAGTGAAGTCCAGATTAAGGGTGGCTGCATCCTACCTTTGAAATCTTATACCTCTGATTACTTAAAGATGCAGTTATACGTCGAGGAATGCACAAACAAGTTGGAACAGCAATAAAGTTTATTTTACGTTGGAATTCAGTGGTGCTTATCATGTCCAAGTCGCAAAATCATTACAGTACTATACAATAGATTTATCTACATCAATAGATGATTATCGATTATGCGAAGTTCTACAATACAATATAAAGAAACGGATCTATTAGTGTAATTATGAAACTGCACTGTATATGCGATTGAGAAGGTAGCAGCATTGTATTACAACGGTTATAAAGCTAGAGAAAATTAATTTCGATATTGGCTTAATCCACTAGTGAACTAATTTATTGCTGTAAAAGAATTAATAATATCGCTTAACTAAACAGTATTATATTTATCTTGACTTATGCCTAATTGGCATGATTACAACTTATATATTCTTGTACAGTACAAAAAAATGATTTACTCCGCAAAATGTTAAACCGTATATCCGAACACATAAAATGTCGCTGTAATGGAAAAAATGTTTGTCCATCTTCATTTTAAATTAAATTATCGATAGTCTTTCAAGTACTTACAATCAATACACTTCGTAGTTAAAGACTTCAAGCAATTTCGCTACAACTATCCAAACCTTCTATGAATTCGTAATTACCTACAAATACAGTGGAAATCTACCTGCAATATGAATCATGTTAATAAATTTATGAATTGACAGTAACAAATCTGTTATAGTTGGAACTATTATTAATTAGAAACCCTAACCTGATAATTCATATAAAAAATTAGTTCCTTACAACACACACGTATAAGTTACTGAATGGATATACAGTCCGTACGGGTATATCATACAAGTATTTACTACTCAAATATTACTTAATGTGATGTTCTTGATGTATATATAAGAAACAGGTACTCTTGAAAGCATTTAAGCATCACCCGCTAGTCTTGAAAACAAGTAAAAAGTCTTCCCTTGATCAGTACAGTAGCTATTTTGTGATGCATTCCAAGATTTTATACACGTACGTCAAATACTGTATTTCTGCTACAATTTGACGATGTTTACCGTATTCTACTTCCAAGAGAACAAATCATTATTGGAACAAGCCAATATTATTAGTAGAGTTGTCTATGAGTCGACCAAAAACGCTCAAACACCACAAAATACTCTCTTAAGCACTCGAGTGAAAAATGATATTCAACATTTTATTAATAATCGCAGCAATAGAAACTACGGTACATAACGCGTATATCCAAAAAAGTAAAAAATATTCTTTCACAATTCTCGTAAATTGTACTGCATTGTGTGTCGTAGTTTATCAATACCTCAAGAGTAAATACGTTGAAAATTCATCAAAACAGTCACGATGTATGTACAAAAAATGCAAAAATTATGTGCTCCTCCATTGTTACGTACAGTCACAGAATAATATTCTTAAAAAAACCTGTGAAATATTTGTTATACACTCAATATTTCATCAATCCGATGTAGTACACAAAGTAACAAGGTAATAAATACAAATTTAAAACATTCGGCCAAGCAATATAAAACTGATGTCTCTCAATCCTATAAATTAAAAGTAGGGTGGCTAAAACCACTTCGAAGTTATAAAAGTATCCTTTATTACAATTTAGACGTTATATATTTTTAAGCAAATAGTAGAACCTTGTTTCACAAGCAAAAAGTCTTTGAATTTGATCTTTCAGAATAATAAAACAAAATAATCGGGAAGTATTTACTACATACATATTATAACAGGAAATAAATGCAACTGCCAAAATACCGACTTAATATCGTTCATCTATTGTAATGTATAACATGACCACCACAATCATAGCGCAGTGCATATCATATATCATTGCGCTATACAGGAATTATCATCATGCTAAAATATGCAATTAATAAACAAAAAAAAGTCCCATTTACACAATCTTTGAATGAATAACATACACCCAAATAATTTAAAAGATAAAATCGTACAGTAGTAAAACAATTTAATATATTTTTTTCTTCCATAACAGTCGCACATGACGGAAAATATTGGCATGAATTAAGAAATTCTCTACTGAAACGACTTCATCGATGATCTATGTATAGGTTCTAGAATAGATAACTTGCATGACCATTGGCCAATATACAAAATAATATCTACTTTCGCGATATTTTATATCCAAGTAGGATCCAACATTTAGTGTCTAAAGTAAAAGCCACATAAGCCATCAATGGAAAAGTGCATAATCACGACGGGATCTGTTGGATACATCTACCAGGCAATTTCGATCCATCCGATGAAGAAGTTCTCCGAACAACATTCTTAGAAGGCTGTCCTCTTACGATGGAATTACTGGAACTACTCGTACTATCAGACTGATGACCAATATCATGAGGTGCATTACCTGTAGAATTAGTGTACCTAATGCCTGCAAAAAATGAAAATACAATGTTACCGTACGCATTACAATGTTAATAAAAATTTTGAAAAACTAATAAATCTTTATTAATTAGCTGTAAAACTTCAGAGTAAATTACCACTTGTAAACTTAGACCGATAATTGCGTTCGTTTATTTCTGAAGAAAAAGGATTATAACTGGCTATTCGATTATAGCTATTGTTTGAACTTTTACTCGATTTAGTATTGTTATAACCATTGAAATAGTTATTGCCATAAATTGAAGGAATATAGCGTTTAGTACCTAAATTCGAAGAATAATTATCTTGGGAATAGTTACTTGAAGAATTCGGCGCCGATTGCTTACTGAATTGTGTCTTTACTAGCGTCTGATCGGCATCATTAGAATAGCTTTGATAATTAGAATAAAAACTTGACGTTTGATGCGATTTTTGTTGTTGTTGCTGTTGTACATCTATTGAATGATGCCATGAATATGATCCATCACTACTACCACCGCTACTTGGTCCAGTGTAGCCAGAAGATGACTGATTTGACATTTGATCATATTCCTTGCTTACTTCTCCATTATGCAAATTTGATAATTTATGCTTTTGTAATTCCTCAGCAACATCGTGGTCTATCGCTACGTCAGCAGTACTTGTTCCAACATCTGCAGTTCTCTTAAAGAATGAATGTTGCTGAGCTTGATGGGGAGGAATTCTATTTCTGGGATTGTAATCTAGCATCCGCTGGATTAGATCTTTAAACTTTAAGTAATCATTCACTGTATGGCCAGCCTCATTTAGTCGACGTCCTCCAGGACCTCCAGTATTAACACCAAGAATGTCTGCCAATTTAACCGATCCTGGAGCACGATACTATTGACAAAAAAGTGCAGAAAACGTTTAGTAAACGTGCATGAAAGTAAATGCTATATAATGTGTACGTCCAATTAAACTATCATCATCAAGAAAATCCTATAGCTTTTATCTTAGTAAATGAGTTTATTGGTTTATAATGTCAGTACAGTATTACAAATTTAAAACATTTTTAATTTACCTTCCTAGAATCCTTCGACTTTTTAGGGACGTAAGTTCCATCAGGTAACTTATCGAAATATCTCGTAGTTTTAGATGCTCGATCCAACAAAGATACCGGCGGCATCCCGAGAACTTCAACTATTTTCATAATCTGATCAAACTAATTCAGCAAATAGATAGTTAATACTAAGTTATATTTGATACTACCGTGCGTCAACAGAAATGAATAGAATCTGTTTATATCAAATACGAGACAGATGAATGACATGGAGCTAATACTTACTTCATTAGCACCATTAAATAAAGGTTTACCAGTGTGCATTTCTACTAATATACAACCAAGGCTCCAAACATCTATTGCAAGATCATACGGAATCCCAAGTAAAACTTCCGGTGATCGATAAAATCTACTCTGAATATATTGATATATCTATAGAAAGTATAGGCATATTAGAGTAATCACCAGATATCATTGCATTATTAATATATGAAATCATTCAAAAAATAGCCAAGTAATGATAAAATACGTACGCGTTCTCCTAATCGGCACGAACTACCAAAATCAACTATCTTTATAGCACTAAGCTTAGAGTTAACCAATAGAATATTCTCAGGTTTCAGATCACAGTGAATTATACTTATTTCGCTGCTGGATAAGAAACACAAAGCTCTGCATAATTGCTGAGCGAATTTTCGTACTAAACTGATAGAAACTCCATGAAAATTCGTGTTTCGAAGTAACTCATAAAGGTTATGAGATAGCAATTCAAATACCAAGCATAAATGACTGCGATAATTGAAGTGGCGTAGTAATCGGACTATCATTGAAAAGGAAAATATAAGATAGGCTGTTAATGCATAGAAGAGTATACCCGGAACTAGTACCTCATTTATGTGAAATAGCCATTAAAATATTCTTACCAATATGAAAATTATCATGCCCTCCGGCGTTATTCATTGACTCTAGTAAACGAACTTCAATCTGAGCCTGATTATAAAACGGCTTTTTGTTCTTGATAATTTTAATAGCAACGTAATCCTTAAGTTGTCGATCGTAAGCTTTAACAACCTACAATCAATTACAAAAAATAACTTCATATCAATCTACCCTGCATACAGTTATTTGCCATACCCTAGGTATACAATCAATTTAAACAGTAAAATTTTAATCAAGTCTAAGATAAACTTTACTTACCACGCCAAATGATCCCTTCCCTATGAGAGAATGAATATCATACCGCTCCATCCAAACTTCATTATTTCGAACGATATAATCATTGTTTTCGTCATCGTAACCATCGTTAACTAACTTTCGTTCTTTTTTATGACTACTGCCACCTTCATTTTGTGCTGCTTGAGCTCTTCTTTTCTTGGTGGCATAATATACCTGTTAAAGTATTGTAAGACAACAATATACCGTTTTAAGATATTGATTTATTACAAAAGCAAACAAATCTGGGTTGAATAATAAAGTCTATGGCACGGTTATCATCGTCTACCAATATCTAAACCTCTTAGGGTTGTACAATTGTTATTTACGTCAAGTTGATAACATCACATCGAATTTGAGAACAGAAGTTACCTCATTAATGTACTTGTAAGTCTTAATTAAGTCTACGCTTAATTTTCGTAAAGGTCCATCGGAAGGATTACGTATGGATTGCGGCACAGTTTGTTCGTCCGCATCTTTCGATAGCGGCGCCGCCATACTTCGACGTTTTAGCTGATTCGTTGCTTTCACTTTGCTGGTGCTCTTAAGCAGAGCAAATAAAATACTTTTCAAATCCTTTACACCGTATCCAATTGATAGTCTCTAGACTTTCTTTTATCCCCTAGAAAACAATTGAATACAAATAGCAATGTAAGAGAATATTACATAAAACTATGGAGGGTAATTTCTTTCAATGATATTCAAAATTTTGAGATTATACCATACAAGATCTTATTAATCCTAATAGTTTTATTCATCGTAAATATTCATCCAATTTAATGTGGTAATATATCTGTGATTAAAAATACGGCCCCCGCTAAGATTATTAAATAATTTATGAAACCAGCCGACAGAAATGATTCCTTTAACCAACAAATTATCCATGCGGTAGTCATAAAATGATCATTTTTGCCCCCCCCCCAAAAAATACCTTTTCAAAACAATTTCAACCGCGTTATTGTTTGCATTATCACCCTCTTCTATCAGTTATAAAAATTAGTAATTCAGATTGTTTAGGATATGGTAGCCCGCTAATAATTAATAAAAAAAAGGTGTCAAATCGAAGTCTATCATTACAATCGATATATAGAGCAATAACTAAATTAAAAGCAAGTGCTGGTGCCTACAATACCATTTCATTAAAAGTTGGACAATCCCTAAAACTTTCATGATATCTTGATTATACGAATAAGTTCAGGTAATCAAATCACGTTAACATTCTGTTGAGCAATAATTATACACTACATACTAGAATATTTGGGATCATAAAAGGTAAAAGGGAAAATGTACAGATTACGCCGGCTCCACGACTTTCATCGTGAATCAATAAAATAGATTTGATAAGAAGAACACTCCAAAGTATCTTTTTCTATCCGCTTTTAGATGCAATTTTAGCCCTTCCATAAAACTCATTGTCTCGTTAAAATCAATAAAGTCCAATCTGTCTGGAAGGGCTGCTTGATCTTGTTGTATATTTAATATTTAGAAAAGTATCTGCTCATGTAATTGATTGATTATAAAAGTAAGGCACCAAAGTCATTGAAAAATCAATGAGCCTAATCACTTTGATATCACCGAGTTGGTGATTACCGTAGGATAACAATTGCTGGTATTGCAAAATCTATAAATCCAAAGTTGATATCAAATTTCGGAAATTCAGCTGGAATGCGAAGAAAAATTTTAACGAGAAAATTGATGCAATGTAATCTCCAATAATTCGATCAAACATTTATAGAAAAATCTCTAGAGAAAACAAAAGCTTGACTTGATCTTGTAAGATTATGACTGTAGCCTAAACATTACATCGAAATCAAAATACACTTAATCGATGGAAGATTTAGCTTTACATCAATCCATTCATCAACAGACACAAATATGCTGATAGCTTAAAATAATGATCATTTTCTGTACAGTGTGTGCGTCGTGACTCAAAATGTTTCTCTCGGACTATCAAACTACCTATTTAGGGAATGAACCTGGAGATGATAACTACTGTACTTGAATACCAAGCCTCATACTGAAACAACAACGACAGTCTTTCATAGTTATGAATAATATAATTAATTGCAATTCGTACAAGTAAGCGTAGAATATCCACGCCAATATTACACACAGTAGTACAAAAAAATTGTAGAAAACTGCAATTAGAGCCAGAAAAACTGTACAGAGCGAAAATTTGCTAGTTCATCAAATACAAAGCCAATATCATTCTGTATGTAATTAATTTCTAAGCTTGATTCTTCTATATGGTGTTGGAGTTTAAATCGGTAGTACCTAATGGAATGCCTGCTATCGAAGGGAAATGAAAATACTATTGGATAACTAACTAATCAACGGAATCCATAAAAAGTTAAGCTAAGCACTACAATGAGCTGGTAATATTTCTTTAACAGTTAATAAATGACTTTTACAAAGTATAATACAGTAGCTTACACGCTGAGGGAAGTATACTATTTGACTGTAGCCGATCCGATCTGAGAAATCCAATTTCAAAATAACGAAATCACTTGGCAATAATTGCTTTAAAAAATTATTATTGATACTTTTGGTTTTAACTTAAGAGTGTACTAGCGGTACAAAAGAATTTCATACCTTTTAACGAATACGATGCCGGTTTAATTTAGCACTAACTTACTGTAGAGAGAGCTGAATTCGTCTTAATAGGTTAATTAATCGGAGAAAAGGCCTTAACAAGTAACTGTCAGGATTACGTAAAGCATAGGGCACAGTTTTTTTTACTTTTGCTAACGACGTATATGAAATTTGGCAAAGTACTAGCATATATCGACCAAGTTTCTTTTTTTTTAGAACAGTCAATGTAGGGTTGAAACAATATATAGGTACTGCATCGGCTGAAGGGTATTCTTTCTTTTTTTATGGACATTAGCTACTCCAATTGAAGACAAGGTAAATTATATAGGTGAATAGTTCATTCTAATGTTATTGGTAGTCTATAAGGTAATGTTAAAGCCATTGTGCTAGCTTGCATTAGCCACACAACGTCTTTGGAAAATGTCCAATTTTCACCCATGCTATTGCTTTTCCTTGTGCAAAATGTAGCCCAAACTACTTGGTGATGTTCAAAATAGTCGAAAAAAGTCAGAAAAGAACTCCTGTGCACCCTACTATGCCACGACCAAGATATAAATTACAATTCATTAATGACAATGGTCATTGACGAAGGGAGAGGAAAAAGAAAAAAAAGCAAGATGTCGACGAAAATCACAAGGCCTTTTTCATGGAGGCACCACATTGATTAGCGTCATGGAATCATGCCATCAGCAGTGAAATCTTTATCGCTATCAGTGATGAAAATGACTATTTATACAGTATTACCTTAACAAGGGGTGAAAAAGCCCTTGTAATCAATAGCCAAAATTAGTTATTAAAATGAGCAGGCACTTACGAAAAGAAGAAAAAAGAAATGGTGGAGATGGTTGAGAGAAGAGGAAAAACTTGGTATTGATTGACACTCATTAATTATCCAAATTCAAGCGCTTCCTTGAATACTGAAACTAAGACTACCAGTGTGAATAGAGTAGAGTGGAAAAAGTAAACTAATCCATCGCCATTCTTTCTTTCTTGCCTATCAATTATGATGATTGATGGATAGTGCAATTGCAATTTGTGAATCTTTTCCAACCATTGGCAAGATTGATTTCACTGAGAAAAATTCACTGGGAGATGAAAATGGACAAGAAAGCAAAACGATCGAGAATATGGTAGAGAACTGGCTTGACCTGTACGGAGTGACCCATCGACTGACTCCATACTGTGTCATCTATTTCGGGTCGACACTAGCGCATGCGGGAGACGCCATGTTGGATTGTCATCCAGTAGCAAGCGTCACGCTGTAGCGTCGATGTTGTCATTGTTATCAGCGTAAACGGTCTAAGTACAGTACGGGTGGAGACGCATTGCGACATAGTACAGAGATTAATATGGCAGCGCAAGGTAGCAAAAGGTCGATTGGACTTGAATGGGAAACTGCATGCAGAGACGATGGATTGAATCATGATGGAAATTAGAAATGGAATGTATTCAAGTCAAGGAAAAGAGACCCATTCAACTATTCATTACTCATGCATGTATCGGAATGAATTTACTAACTGGTGTCAAAATAATATCAAGGTAGTGAAGAGTGTGATGAAGGAGACGGAAATGAAAAAGTAGCAACAATTTCATGGATAACATCGCCTACAGCATTGCATCATTTGGACATTCCACTTTCATTTACCTTCAACTGGTCAATGATTGCTAGCAGATTCTGTAATTTTAGCTAACCAACAACCAATAATATTACTTGATGATTGAAAATGGATAGCATAGTCATTGATTCATTGCAATATGAGAAGGGATAGAACCAAAATAGTGCTGGTAAAATGGAGAAAAATAATAAACCCGCGCAGATTTCGAAAATCAACGGAAGCACATGAGCAACGCGCCAAATGGTAACCAAGCCCCAAAAAATAGAAATTCAAATGATACCAATACGTGCACGTCTCCGACCACCAGTAGAAATGCAATCACTGTAAAGCCTTTTCGATCATCAATCCACGTAGGCAAGATAGTGATCAAAGTGTGACCAGAAATCAGTCGATCCGGCGTCCAACCATTGAATGGGGGGGGAATCAATCGTAATGCTAGAATGATTTTTTTTTTCGCTTTTGTTGTCTCACCACAACAAATGGAATTTTTGAAAGCAGACGTTTTTAGATGTGATGATCGGTAGTGAATGGTGCTTGCACTTGCAATACTGTTGAATAGACGCGCTCCACACTGCAATCCAGTGTGGCTCGGTCGCCCTCATTCAACTCATGCATTATTATCATTGTAGTTGACTTTGGGTACCCGACTACCGGGTGAGAGGGGTAGAATTTTCAGTCAGTATTCCCTGGTACCGTACCGTACTGGACAAAGTCAGCTCGGTACAATACCGTGCTTGTGTCCAGGACTTTACAGTACTGTACATTGTACAGTACAGTACAATAGGGTGACGTACTGTAGCTTACCAAGTCAATGTGGTACAATACTGTGCTAGTGTGCAGGACTTTACAGTACTGTAGACTGTACAGTACAGTGGACAGTATCTACAGTACTGTATGTACAGTACTGTACTGTAGTGCACCAAAGTCAACGCGGTACCTTGCTTGTGTTCCACACTTTACAGTCCATTGTACAGTGTACTGTACTGCATGTACTGTAGAGGGTATACTGTACTGTACTGTACCTTTGCCTACCAGCCGTTGAAGATAAAATCCAAATTGCGCCAAATTTCACTGTGATCAGTTGACATGGTTCTAGAACTGTCATTCAATATTCAAATATTGGACAGCACTGTAAGAACCAGTGTTGCATGCAATACAAGCAACTCTGGTATAAAGTCGCTTTACGGTAAGGTCGTAGCCATCCACTACCGTCGTCTACCACTACTGAATGCGTACGTACTGTGTGCGATGAGTCAGCTAACGCCAGTCACGGATAAGCAAATAAAATACTGTAGATTGATGACGCATCCAACTACACCCCATAACACAAAAAGGGGTGGTGTTCCATGGATGAGTCAGTGGATGAGTCATTTTTTCTAGTGATGATCCAGATCATACTCCACTAATCCACCGATATGTCACATGCTGACGTACAGTAGTAAGATTGTACGCAGGATGATCACTGATTCAGATCATACTACAGTGTACAGTATATTTAAAGTTCATCCACCGATATGTCCAATGCCGACGTAGTGTAGTGCTATAAGCTGCAGCGAATTCACGGTATAAAGCTATTCAAACTCTGACAGGTCTATCAAATGGTAATACTATCCGTTAAATGAGCACATTATCGTAAACCGTCAGCAAAGCGACGGGAGTTTGCACTAGTACTATACTATTCCACCGACATGTCAGATGCTGACTTAGTGCTGTAAGCTGCAGCTTTTTACCTTACAGTAACATTGTACGAACGATCATAGCTGATTCAGATCATACTACTGTATATTAATCCACCGATATGCTAGATGCTGACTTAGTGCTGTAAGCTGCAGCTTTACCTTACAGCAAGATTGTACGAACGATCATAGCTGATTCAGATCATACTATATTAGTCCACCGATATGTCAGATACTGACTTAGTGCTGTAAGCTGCAGCTGCAGCTGCTGCTTTAACTTACAGTAACATTGTACGAACGATCATAGCTGATTCAGATCATACTATACTATTCCACCGATATGTCAGATGCTGACGTAGAGCTGTAAGCTGCAGCTGCAGCCTTACTTTACAGTAACATTGTACGAACGATCATAGCTGATTCAGATCATACTATACTATTCCACCGATATGTCAGATGCTGACTTAGAGCTGTAAGCTGCAGCTGCAGCCTTACTTTACAGTAACATTGTACGAACGATCATAGCTGATTCAGATCATACTATACTATTCCACCGATATGTCAGATGCTGACTTGGTGCTGTAAGCTGCTGCTTTACCTTACAGTATCATTGTACGAACGATCATAATGGATTCAGATCATACTACAGTATACAGTACAGTACTGTATTCCACCGATATGTCAGATGCTGACTTAGTGCTGTAAGCTGCAGCTTTATCTTACTGTACGATTGTAAGAATGATGATGACAACTAGTTCACACCATACTGTACTACCGTATACACTGTACAGTACTGTAAATCAAGCGATACACAACGTCAGATGCTGACTTACTGTACTGTACTGTAGTACTTGCGATACTGTACAGTACAGTACTGTACAGTACAGTGTGTACAGTACGCTGTAGCTTTATCTTACTGTAAGATTGTACGAACGATGATGACATCACCTCCAGACTTTTATCCATGACACAGTACAATTTACGGTGCCTACTGTACATTGTACTGTACTCTACTCTATCGTCTCTAGCACTACAGACTACTAGAGCGGACATTGGACACTGTCTTGTAATCATCCCCTGTCATAACTGTACTGTACTGTATATCGATCGATTCGACGCTTTCGGAAATCTTGGCAAAAGTTGACAAGCAAATCTTAAAATTCGGGTCACTCAAAGTTGGGTAGTTTACAAATACAGTACTGTATGATCATAGATTACATAATTTGAAATACAGCCGCAGCGAAATGGTATAGCTGTGTAAGGATCATACAGTACAATGAGCACATACTACAGTATAGTGTACTGTTGATGCATTGGAGTCCATAAATGATTTATGCCATAAATCCCATCAGCAGTACATCACCTGTAGCATTTCACGCTTAAGGAATCTGAATGGCCTGCAAAGAGTACATTATACGTGCGAGTCTTTTACCCTAACAACCGAGTTATCCATTCATTTAACTCGCCCAAAAATGAATTTTCATTTACCACATCTTAACAAATGAAATATCATCTAGGATTACGAAACCCACAACAGACTAGAACGTCAAGACCTATAAATCCAACAGACATCCAGCTCAATCGTTTATTTCTGTCGTGCGTTGCATGGCCGGTCAGTACCATTCATCAATATCTATGATGGAAATTTCTCCTATAAACTGATCAGGTAAATGATGTAGTTATAGACTCATTTAGACTGAATACCAAATCCTCATTTTCCCTCAGACTGTCATGCTCAACTGCAAAAGCCGTTTAAAAATCGCTCTACTCGTATACGCGTAAATTAGATAACTATCAATCAACTTCGCATGCAGTCTCACTTTCCAAACATTAAAATTCGTACCGTACAGTATAATGCCATTATGATTCACTTCTAATGCGTTCAGTAGCTCAATTTTAAAGTTACGCAAGTCGTGAGATGATACCCAATATCGAGGTAAAATGGCTTGCAACAGCTTATTCTAAGTGCCATTAATCTACTGCGTAATAATATAAATAAGCACATGCATAATACAATAATATATATATATATATATATATATATGTCCTTTAAGCCTAGATGACGGTAATCGCTTAATGAATCAATCGTCGACCATTAGGCTGCTATGAATATTTTCATAAGCTACCTGATGATTCTAGACATAGATGCAAATAGACATAACTTCATTGATTTAATTTTAAGTACTTTACTTAGAATCTGCAATAAAACAATAAAAATTACCTTGATCGGTTCGTTTATCAGTGTTCTTTATTTAGCACAGTAGTATTTTATTATACATCATGAAAAGTACTTTGGCGTATAAAAAAGTAGCAGCTTGCATATAAGTATACAACAACCGAAGATATGTCTGGATGCTATGATGTACAGCAGCTGCTAACAATTAATCAAGTCACTTAAGTATTGAAACCAGCGGCAAACCTTACTAACGCCAACGGATGCCATTGATTGTCGGTGGGTGACATACTACGTATACTCCGGGAACGTCAATGTCACAAAACATTTATCTTAAGGGTTATTTTTTAGGAGGTGATCTATATCAAAAGATCAATCATTACGTTAGTAACACGCTACATATGTACAATTTCATACCGTAACATTATCCTTCTCTTAATCAAGCAATAACTATTATATTGTAAGTAATTGTAATAAGCCAGCTCTAACTAACCTATAAACACCAACTACTACAGCATGATCTCTTTCGTACGGCTCTAAAGTAATTTGTTCCTGTGGTTTCATCTTTTCTGTTTGCATTTTCTTAACCTCGCCAGCAAATACAGCAGCTGGTTCCGCGGTAGAATCAATACAGTTTGCCTAAAGAGGATTACATGTATAGGTTTAATTTCAACAATAAGCAAACTGATCAGATCATCTAGAACTAATAATCAGAATCGCCATAAAAATCGATGTTAATTTTTACATTTAACTTACTTTAATAGATATTACAAAGTGTCCTTCATTTTTCAAGAAATGATGTGCATTTATGGCAACAATTCTTGTCTGATCAGGCTGAGCAACATCAGCAAATATTACATCCACCATTCCTATGTGGTAGCAGCACAAGCAATGATACGTTACTCTATGACAACTATGAAAGTGTAACTGACTACTTCACATGACAAAAAACCGGACCTCGAACAGGAGGATGCATGAACGGAGATAAAAGAGCTTATTGCCTGTGTGTGTGTTCTACTTACCAACGAGCATACGATACTTATGAGGATGCCTTGCATCTTCTATAATTGGAATAATATTTGTTCTCTTTTTGGCAACATTAATTAAATCACGACCCGATCGATGAGAAAATTCAACAGCATACACTAAGCCATTCTACAAATTATGAATATTTTCCTTCATTAATTTCATTGAAATCCACGAATAGAAGCAAGTCATGATAGTTAGTAAAAAGCAAACGTACAGGTCCAACTATATCAGATACATGAGAAACGGTCGTTCCGGATGCAGCACCCAGGTATAAAACTTTCGCTCCAGGTTTAATGTGAATCTTATCAATTCCACCCAAAATTGCTGCAGCTAGTTTCGATCTAAAAGGATTCCAAACTCTATATTCGATTTTGGTTTGTTCTTCTCCTGACTACATCAGTCAAACCAAATGTAAAGTGGGAATAATTACAATGAGTAAGATAGCACGACTTAGTTTCTCTTTCATAATGGTGTATGACCACTTAGCATTTTAGACAGCATCAAACAAGTAATAGTTCACAATCTGCTTCACATTACCGGTGTATCTTCAACAGTCATACGTTTTTCGCCATAAACCGATTCTCCAGGAACTAAATTTTTCGTAACTAATACGTCCTCCTTACTACGAGCTATAAAGACACCTTCGTGACGATGGGGTTCTATCATCACTTTTCTGGGACCTCTATTCATTCCGCCACCACCACCTCGCATGCCGCCACGGCCACCTCTGCCGCCGCCGCGACCGCCACCGCGACCGCCACCTCGACTGCCACCACGACCACCGCGAAAGCTGCCTCCACCTCGGGGGCCACCGCGACCTACAGCAGACAACAAAATTGACTACTTAATCCTAATTTGCTCTTTACGAAACTTTGAAGCATAATAGAAATTAATGTGCACATTAACACAGTTCTATATAGATCGCCTATTGATAATCTTAAACCTGCGGTAGGCTATTGGTTGATCATTACGGAAAGGAAAGATTTAAAATTATCAATCTAGACAATGTATGCTCAGGATGCGCAAGTTTCATGTTGATATGTCGTAAAACTGAATTAACGTTTAAGCCGCAAATTAACATCGAAACGCTGCAACAGCACATAGCAAGACCTGATACAGAACATTTCCACACACAAGATAACTATGAAAGGGGAAGGTCTACTTGAATCCTTAAAATCTTTAATTTTAAGATTTAAGGATTGACCAAGGCACCTTTCAAAAGGAGTATAACTTGCAATCGATGGTAATGCAAGATAGCCAATGGATACTAATACACGTATATCAATAAGCACCCATCGGCATATACACCTTAAGCAGTAATATCAATATCCGTAAATTTATAGGATAACACCTTGAATTATCGGTAAGCAATTACGATCAGCCCATCTACCTCATGGCCAAAAGCACTGTCGACTCAAACACTTAAATTTTATTGCTCAAAAGAATTAAGTTAAGAAAGCCTGTAGTTGATATTCGTACAGTATAATATCATCAAGATGAAGGTTGACGGTATGTATGTATTACTGTAAATTGATTTGTTTGATGTAGCCATACAATTTTAATTGCAATCTTATACTTCATGGTAAGTTAGATCATTTGCTAAGGATGGTGACATCATGGAAATATAGCAGCGTATTTTGGTGAAGTAAAATAAACTACTGAAAGGACGTGATACTAAGCAAAGCCATCATCACGATGTTGAATACAAAGTTAATGAGATCATTTCTGAACATTACTTCATCTGTCGTAATTATACCAACGTAACCATTCGACATAGACGCCTTTCAAAAATGCAAGCGTAAGCGTTGGGAATGTGCTAAGGCAATGGAGGAGTGCCAAGCAGTTGTTGCTTCGGTCAAGTATATCTATCCCTCCAATTTTTATCAATAGTATGAGCATGCTTTCATCGACACATCACTCAACTCGATTCTACACATAGATTGATGTTGATCCTTCGCCATCGTTCAGCAATAACAACAACTAGGAAAAAGTGATGGATCCTTATTGAGGCGAGAATAGAAGGTCATTGTTGACTCTCGGTTTCTGTAGCATAACTGTGTACAATAATGCGAAAATCATCGCCTCAATTACATCGGTGAATCTTAAATGCAGGTAAGCAAAGAAATTCAAGTTGCACACCCAGAACTTGAAAGCGAGCGATTGATAGTAGTACGTGACATAACAAGATTCAAGTGGCCTCTCCTCAGCATGATCTATCCATTTTCCACTACGCCGTAACTCAATGCTACGATATTACCCTCACTACTACGTTGGTTTTCTACACTGTAGAATAATTCATAATTAATTATTCAACTTACCACCGCGGCCACCACCACCGCCGCGACCACCTCCACCTCCACGTTGGAATCCAAAACCTAATCAAGCAACATGATTGCGTCAACGTAGATCGACCTTGCTAACAGAATAGCTCAAACTTCACCTCTATCAATTCATACCTGGTCTACCCATATTCCTTCCTTACTTTATTATTAACTTAACCAAATGGCAGATTTTCAGAAAAAAAATAGCACGGCCAACAAATGAAATCCGATAGTTTCAGCGTGGCCTAACAGCGATTGTCAATCGTCGATTCTGTACTATGTCTTGCACACAGGCAGCCACTTGGACAACATCAACTGGAAGCACGAGGAGCAGGAATTCCTGCAACTGAAGGCATTGCGCATGCGTAATAGTGTGACTCTCCACTGAGTTGGAAAAGGGTCACAGTTCTGACACCCGGTAGAAAATGAAGCTAAAGCACTGGTACACTTCTTCTCCACCCATAATGTTTCATGAGTGACAACGAGTAGAACAGTTGAAGACTAGATTTACTTGGTACTGACTGGTGATACTGATGTAGTGAGCGCGGACTACTGTACAGTACTGGACATTGCTGTACGGTGTTCGACGTAATCCGAGATACTGTGCATTGGATATGGCAATTTTTGCATCAATTTGTACAAAATTGATCGCAACTGCATGGTTTTAATATGTAAAGATAGCTCTTGATTCTTGGCTAAGAAGTTTGATAACGATTGGTCTTTTTTCAAAGCGTTTTACCCATAGTTTTTTGCTTTTTACTATTCCAATATATCCAAGAAAACGGATCCTATTGTACTGTATTATGACGTAACTACAGTGTACAGTTTACTGTACTGTACCAAGGACTAGCAAAGACGGAAAACGTTTTTCTGTCAAACAAGTCTCTGACTGGACCTACGACTACTGTTCGAGTCTACTGTACGCTAGACCCATATTGTACTGTACGCCTCTACGGTTGTTTATTACTACTTTGCGATTCTAAGATGGCAAAGTGACAGAAATGAGAAATTATTCCTCTGTGCTTTCGTATTTTGACTGGATATTGAATCGAAAATTTAAATAATGCATCATAGGCAATTGAATCAATCAACATGTGAGCATATTAAAAATGGAGTTGTCTAGCGAAATATTGGTATAAAGTACCCTATTTAGACGTTACTGGATGTTCTAGTTTTCTCCAGCTAAAGACAAAATAAACGTAACGTACAGCGATGTGTGCAGTAGAAGATTTTTCCTAGCTACGCGAAAACCATGCATCGCACAGCAAACTTGCGACTTGATGGATGATGTAATGAATTCATGGTACAGCGATGTGTACACTGTACAGTAGTAATACAGTACAGTAGGAGATTTTTGCTAGCTACGCCAAAACCATGCAGCGATACGGCGATATGTACAATAGTAGGACATTACAGCAGCAGATTTTTGCTAGCTACGCCAAAATTATGCAACGCACTGCAAACTTTAGATTTGATGGATAATGTCATTAATTCATAGTACAGTAGTAGTAAATTACAGCAGCAGATTTTTGCTAGCTACGCCAAAACTATGCAACGCACTGCAAACTTTAGATTTGATGGATAATGTCATTAATTCATAGTACAGCGATGTGTACACTGTACAGTAGTAGTACATTACAGCAGCAGATTTTTGCTAGCTACGCCAAGACTATGCAACGCACTGCAAACTTTAGATTTGATGGATAATGTCATTAATTCATAGTACAGCGATGTGTACAGTAGTAGTACATTACAGCAGCAGATTTTTGCTAGCTACGCCAAGACTATGCAACGCACTGCAAACTTTAGATTTGATGGATAATGTCATTAATTCATAGTACAGCGATCTGTACAGTAGTAGTACATTACAGCAGCAGATTTTTGCTAGCTACACGAAAACTATGCAGCGCACTGCAAACTTTAGATTTGATGGATAATGTCATTAATTCATAGTACAGCAGTAGTAAATTACAGCAGCAGATTTTTGCTAGCTACGCCAAAACTATGCAACGCACAGTAAACTATAAACTTGATGGATAATTAATGTCATTAATTCATATGGACCACTCGATGCATCTAGACTAGCTCATGAAAATTTCATTCATGTTAAGGTTAACCATTATCCTGCTAAAGTAGCAGCTATGCTACTTGGGTACCGATAGTAATCAATGTAAAATTTTCTCAGAGATGGCACACACCAGCGAAAAATGCTGCATGTCCATAGGTAGCGTACACAAATGGGGGGTACTGCTCACGCACTGATTTTCAGGTAGCGCACATACAGTAGGTGTCAAGTAGATCTGAGAAAGGTTCAAACCGTTATGATCTATATAGTCAAGCTATTTTGACTGGAAAACACTCGCGATCGATTTGGCACATCTTCCAAAACGACAAGCTATTCAAACGAGTGCAATGGCCCGGTTAGAGGGTCTCTAAAAGGAGGGTGGATGGGGGATAATGTTCCACATAGCTTAAAATACAGAGTTACTATGAAACTTTACAATTTCGGTAAGTACTTGTACTCAACGCTCTGCACACTGCACAGTAGAAATGATGTCCGGCAGCCTTTCTCGACCATCGCGATTTAATGGTATATCATTTATTTTGCCATTTTTTAATTTGACACACATGTAGAAAATATTCAATTTCTACCTCAAATCAACGACTTGAATGGCTGTGTACGTCTCATGTCGCAGCGGTTAGTCCAGTCAAGTGCGTTTAATTTTGATTCGTACTCGGTACGTTTGACAATGGATTATAAGTGCGTACGGGGCTGTCTATTTTGAAGGGGAAAAATTTTTCTGTTGGTAATAGACAGCATTCTACAGGTGCTGTTGGAGAGATTACTTTACAAAAGTCTTCTTTCCTGCAATATTGCAATAATTATTTCATGCATCAAGGTATAAAATGAGTAAGGAAGTTTACAACACGAGGCTCGTATCGACCAAACTTCTTTACCAGTTTCAGTTTTATGTTGATACTAGGCTATGTATCTACTACAAGTAGCAGGACTGATCCACACATCAGATATGCATGGCAAGCAATAACTGACAATATATCTCTCACTTGAAATGCTATTCCATTTCTCCGTATTGGACAGGAAATCTATTTATTGCACCTTCATGAAATCACCTGCACCTTATATTGAAATGAAAATTTCAAGCGAATTTGGACAGTTATCATCTGTAGTAGTCCAGCATGTTGAGCAAAGCTAGTTTGACCCGGAAGTCATTCAACACCGATTATAATCATTCGAAAATAGTATAATCGGTAGTATAAATAACGAAAATGCATATCGACTTCTATCACTTTGCCACTACGTAAACCCTTTCTATTGATATTATCCTCATCCATCAACAAACACACGCGTATCAAATACTGAAATATTACGTAGTAAGCAGGTAACAAAGAAATGACAACAGGCGATAATTCATAGATGCACATAGATGAATTACAAATACATAACTTCATTGCCACTGTGTTCAAGAAAATGGACGAAAAAATATCCATTGGCAGCATAAATAATTGGATGTACCACGTGTACATAAATATTGTTAAAAATTCGTTTTTCGAGTATAGTTTATCTATTCTAAGGATAATATTTGAGTAGAGGATGTATTCTGGAGTTGCATGCTAAATTAGCAATGGCTAATATGAAATTGGTAAGAAACCGCTATCTTTGAAAGACAGTAATAGCTGAAGATGATTTTGATCAAGGAATTGTAACAGTCCCTGATTTGTACCAATATTATCCAACGTTTTGCAATTGTTATGATGGATCAAAATGAACTAGCGGTATAGGAAATAAGTCTAATTTATCACGCGCGCTAATAAACTCTTAGCTAAATGGATTAAATCATCGTGCGATCATCAATGGTAATATTACAATTTCGTATCAATCGATTCAATTAGGCAGACTAGCGCAAGATATAATATACGAGAACAATTCATTAAATGGTAGTGATATATTCTGGCAAGAAAGAAAAGAAAATGCTGTCATCAATAAAATATGTAATCTGATAATGCTGATAGCGGCGCCGTTATTTCTGCTTTTATACGCTTAGCCTACCACTGGATTTTTTTTCATGGCTTGATGATGTCTATTATCTCAAAGCCGATTATTCCTATATTATGAAACCTTTACAATTAAGTAATCTTCACTCATAAGTTAGAATGTTGTGTAACTAATGGCGTAACTTCATTAAATTGATCGGCAGTCGAGATGGTTGATCTTTCCAATAGGTTTTCTGTAGACGAGCTTTCACTGACATCTACTACCACATTCGGTAAATTATTGCTTGCAGAAACTGTTTCGTGACCGACTGAAATCTGATTGCTATCATTAGCATCTATAGAAAGCTTGCAAAGCGGGCAATTGCGCTTTCCTTCTACCAAAAACCAAGGATCGATACATTTGCAATGATAGGCTGCAATGATCGGTCATAAATCAGGTTAGTACAATTAAGTGAAACTAATTTTACAATTTAAGATTACATATAAGGTTGCATTCATCATTTGCTAACGTATTCTTATGTTATAGAGCGATTCAATGTTTAAAAGCAATCGTATCTTCATCGCCACGAACTAATTATCTTTAGCAATTTACCTTTACCTTTACACTTATACACTTTCTGACAAAAATAATTACTAGGAAAATTACAGGCAGCGATAAGTAACCATATACAGTATAAGTTATAGTAAGCATTAAGATAGAAAAATCAAGATTCGAGAAAGGGAAAGTTAGCAAATTGCCATGAATTCTATCCCAGTAATTTATGTTGCAAAACAAGCCAAACTTACCATGTTTACATGGCAATATTCTTATCCTATCTTTCAGCGCAAAGTCATCAATACAAATAGCACACATATCTTGACAATCTAAAGCTAATATAAATACGCATTAATTGTAGATTTTAGTTTTTATTATACGTAAGCAGTTTTTTAACAATTACTTTAAATGTCTTGCAAGTAATCTATATATGATACCCCAAAAATTATCAAACTATGTAATTGAATCGCCAAAATAAATTATAAATTTTCATGCCAATATTAAATTACCTTCTGAATATTTAAAAATTGGAACAGTTTTATCTAAGCGCCTCCGAGCTACTTTATTTTGATACTGTCGATGGCAAAATACATAAGAATACCTAATAATCTAGATGGTTTACAAGAATAGAATTACGAAGAAATCGTATTGAAACAACATCGAAGTAAGATAGATAGGCAGGCACCAGACAATATATATTAAACTCCCTGCTTGCAAGCCAATTTAGTGAATTAGTTAATTTGTAGAAATATTACTTTTCACACAGGTAGTATAAACTGTACATTGTACAATAATAATATACTAGATGCTAGTCTGAAACTGAAATCTTTCCAAAAACTTTTTATGTGCAACGAATTTAATTTATTCCAGGTTACTTACCACGCCTAGTACTATAGCAACACATGTGACAGCCACAGTCCCTAAAGAGGTTACATAATAACTCCAAGGAACAGGTAATGTTGGAGTAATTATAATGGTACTCCTATCGATCAAATGATATCCCAAAGCTAAATTATAAACATCTACCAATTTCATTATTATTTCTTCTTTTGTTAACAATCTATACTGATATTTATTACTATATGGATAAACAATACAACTATGCGTACATAACAGTCCTTAAATATTAGTTTTAAAATTAGTGTAAGTGCCAATATACCACCATTCATTAAGAAATATTTCCTTCTATGATACTTTCAATTCTACCTACTCATTATGATAGCAATAAAATAAAGTAGTTCTTACCTTGAAATGTAATTGAAGGCATCTGATAATTGGGCTCCGGTATCCTATAAAAATGTAAGTACGATGACAATTCTAATCGTCAGTATAATATCACCTGATATAAATGCTATTTTAACTAATGGATTTTAGTACAAAATTGGAGTTTAAGATAAGCTGAATTGTTAACATACTCATAAAAATGATGGTCTCATATTTTTATATGGAAAATTGTTTTTAACTTACCGATCCAACAAATACTGATGGGATTTGAATTTTGTTAACAACTAGATCAGTAGAATAGAAACTACTAAAATCAAGTGTCTTTGAATTATTATTTATATGAGCGCTCTTAAATAAAAATTGATTCTATCAATCTGAGTTATCCTTCGCAAAACTTACATAAAACACCGTTCATTTGGATTAGTTCATTAGAATCTCGATTAAATATTATAGCAGCTCGATATCCAGCTAATTGTGCGTTGTAAACTTTGGGAGAATAGGGACAATTACCCTGTCGTATTAGTGCAAACCAATTCGGACCAGTATATGGAGGGGGTTGAATAGGAGAACAACCATCCCTTGGTATGGCATTTACTATCGTTCCCTGTCAGAAAGGAAGAAAAGAAGAAAATCGCTAAAGTACCAACGGAAAATTATCATGTAGCAACGATACACTTGTTTGATTATCTTTAATGTTATATGCCTACGATGCTATTACAAAAGCAAATCAGCGCTATCTTCTAGTTCTCTCAAGGCCCTACTAAATATCTAAGCATATCTTTCAATCGAACAATAATTTCTCCTCACCGTTAAACCTTGTTTAGGTAGCCGATCGCCAAAATTTGCAGGAATGTCAACGAATGAAAATGTTTTGTTAGCGGTAGTTATCTACAACGATTAAAACCATAAACACATGATTAAAAGATCGATGATATTGATGCTATTACATTATTTCCGATAAATTACATATACTGATAAGTCGGTTATTAGTTATTAACGTCAAGAGCTAACCACAATAACTTCGGCATTGCCATAGCACAGCATTAATACCATAATTAAAGCTATAAACGCTTTCTTTGTCATTTCGATATCGTTATATACGCTCACTTATCCCGAGAAAAGATGGTGCATATAAATAAAAAATTGGATAAAGTCAACACGAAAGTCTTAGACACATTGTCACGAATTTAAAGAATCGCTCTTAAGTATCAGCTTCGTGGATTGATAGAGCTATTAATAGCTAAATCGAATCTTAATAGTGTTAGTATTTCACCACTATTATCGCGTAATAACGGTTAAAACATCAATCATGACAGCTTGCGAGCTATAAACTAGAATCTATCAACATCAAGGCTACTAAAATCGGGGAACTTCAATAATGGCTATTTTTAAGATGACAATAAAATGACGACTAGAATAAAGCTGAAGCTAGTTCTGGTACTAGCGTATAATGAGGTACGATTATTTCATTTTAATTTACCAAAATCAATTGATTCTAGCCTTAATTTTTTATTTGGAAGAAAAGTCTTCAATCCAGGTAAACTAAGCGCAAAATGCTTGACAGCAGGTTGTATAAAAGATATATACTCGTCTTACAGTCTAAAATGTGCAGAATAATGAAGATATTATAACTCTGCGAGCCAACAGGTAATACTGCAATCATTACCGGTATGAGGTTTGGGTGTGAAAAAATGATTATTATAATGGGAATTTTATTTAGACAATCATAGAAATTAATAGATTGTCAATTATACTAGCCATATGTTCTTTTATATTGTCAATATGCCTGCCAATCGGTTAATTTCATCATTATTGTAGGCTATTTTTAAATATTGATACCGCCGGACTGTTGCTACACGGAAACATGCCCTTCTGACAATAGAATGTGCAAATAAGGAATAGTATTACGAAATTGCTCGATCTCAATGATTTTACAATAAAATATTGACAAAATTACGTGAATTTTCATTAATTTTTTGCTATAGCCTCGTTTGAAAATGATAAAAAATTCAAATATAAAATTACACAAGGTACTGAAAGCAATGGTATAATACATTCAGACCTTAGATTATGTACAATATCCATACTTGACTACATCTGAGCAAATTAGCGTTCTATGAAAATACTGTACCATAAGAAGACTACGTGAAAGCAATATTGAAATTTTAATTTATGTATAAGTTATCTGATTGGAATAATATAGTAAGTAATACGCTTAAATACAGTATAACAACGGTTACGGTTAATACAATATACTCAGTACGAAGCAACAGTGCTAATGTAAAGTAAAAAATTCAAGTACCTACAGCACGTCAAGTATAATGAGTGTGGATTCTACTACACTTATTATAAGTAAAGTCTTTTTTTTCTGTTTAGTAATTTCAGCTAATTACAATAGTAATTAAAACACGGTAGCATTAAGAAGTAGAATAGTCTATTATGCTTACAATCTCGTGTCTCGTTAGAGATTTGCTTAATTTTAAGTTAGACGATTGCGAACCTAAGGGATTGTAAAACCCAAGCACTACATTCTGATACGGATTAATTAAAGATGTAAAGTGTGATGCGAGATCGTTTTTAGCCCTGAAGACTTATAAAATTTAATTTACACCGTTTACAGTGATATCTATTAGATACTCTAATTTATCAAAAACCTTAAAGAGCTCAAAAAATAAATTTACAAAACAGTGGCTTAAAACGTAATCATACTATTTATGACGGTTTGAAACTGGCATAATATATGATAGAACGACTATTGCTGATATCACTGAAATATTTCTTAAACTTATTTATTACATTTCTTCATGATTACAATTATATCATTTTAAATCATATTCTTTCAGCATTACTATTAGAATTCTACAAAATTATTGATACTTTCTATTCTATATCATAATTGTTGACCACTGTTTAATTTAAAATTACGTTATTATACTATACTATACATTATGCTCTACAATTCTAGAGGCCCGCATTTATAGCCTTGTTACTGCATCATCATCAAGCTAAGGCTAAAGTTATATTGCATTATAGGAGTAAGCTTCATTTTATAAAATAGTAAATAGCTAATTTTAAAAATTAAGATTTGGAGACTCATATTAGTTTTGCATGGGAATAAAATGATTTGTATTCGACATGGAAAGATTCTATCCTCTCTAATTAATATCTAAATTTAACCTCATGAAGATTTAATTGAAATCTAATTGGCTAAGAAGATTCAGAATTCATTATAAGCAGCTACAGTAATTCATATACAAAATTGTCCTAACTAAAATTTCGATCAAGGGGTTCACCACAATAATCAGCATTAATTAAGATTATTTTGGAGAGTCAGAAAGAGTTGGTTCAGGTTGTAGATTATACAACATTAGCGGTGTCGATTCAGAAGTGCCAGTGGCTCCCAGTGCCGCTTCCGCGTCCTCGTGATTTGTAATTGCTGATGCTGCATATTGGTTAGGTTCTGTTTCTTCCTCTGTACGATTGCATTCACAATCTGTTTGTTCCGCTTTCTTGTTAATAGGCTGCTTGCACAAGGGACAAGTGCTTTTATCTTGGCCTAATATCCAAGGATCAATACATCGAGCATGGAAAGCTAAAGTAGTCAAATCATATGAAACACTATATTATTACATTGAAGCTTGACTAAAATGTTTGATGGAATTATTGTGAAAGTTTCACAGTGCTATAGATTTTTCAAAATTTCTAAATTCTAGTCATGGAGTCCATTACGAATTTAAAATGCATGCCCATTTACCATGATTGCAAGGCAAAAGTCTCAGCTTATCATTATCTTCATAATCTTCCAAGCAAACAGCACAAACATCGTAAATTTGATCGTCTCGACCTAAAAATGCAAAGACAGCAAGAATTGAGACATTACATTTTTGGAATTAATGATGCAGTAGTAAAATGATATACCATACAGTAATGTTTGGGGAAATTTTTACTATTTAATTATGGTTACATAAAGGAAGAACAGAACCAGAAATATTGTATTTTCCATATAGCTGATATTTAATTGATCTGATCTGGCTTAAAATAATGTTTCCTTTCATTTATTTGCAAGGCCTAAAATGTCACCGGTGATGCATATTCATATTTAAAAACGTATTAATTAGAAATATTTCAGCCTTCTCAATATCTTAATTAATAAACTTTACCTATCTCTATTAATCATTCAGAGTATTAAAAGAAACTATTACTGGTTTAAGAGAATTTGTATTCAATTGAAGTAATATGAAACAAGAATTGTTCCATCACCCTCCCTGAAATTAAGAAAATTACTCAAGTCAAATTTATCCCCTTTACTATTATTTATAAGTCAATGAGTTTATTTTGATATTGAAAAATTATGTAATGAATCATAACATAAGTTTTCACCAATATTGTACAGCATATATACTTATACGTTGTATGCGTGCTATATGAATATCGGTGTAGTTCTATAATACATCATTCATTATCTCCTTGTCAGTTGTCCATCGGTTATATAAACTATCCTGTTTTCGCCTAGAGTATATTGTAATTTTCTCTGTCTCAATAAATCAGTTCTTCTTCGCTCTAACTTGTCTCTTGTATTTCACTGAAAATTAATTCATCAAATCCCAGTAAACATTCTAACCTCTTACGATATAGATATGAAGAGATCAATCTTCTGCATATGAAAATTAGCAAATTTAGCCCTCAAGTCAATTAATTGCATCCAGTTTCATACTTTGCAGAAAATAGATCCCTAAGTATGGCGCGATGATAAATAGTAAGATTGCGGCACTAATCCGTAGGAGTTTCAAAGGTACTATATTTAGGTACAGAATGGTCAAGGGCTATTAATGAAAAATTTAGGAGTGACAGCCATAGCCTTAAGTGAAAATGTAAGGCACCTCTGTTGATGGCATCAACGTGTCTCGGTAACTAGTACAGTAACTAGATTATGATCGACTTAGAGTGTAGGATGGCAATTACGCTGGCTTGCAGTTCCTCTTTCGAGGCATATTAAGTATGGAGCTGGGTAAGGAAATCGATAGCCTGAATTAGATTAAAATTTGAGATGTTTGGAGAATAATTTGGTAAATATGTTTGTCAGCATGTTGTAATGCGGATATATAAATGACTGATTCCTATCGGGGGAGTTTAGTTCTAAGATCTAGCTGCGTCCGGTATAGATTAGGTTATCTGAATTTGCTACTATAATATTTAACAATTAAATTCAGTAATAACTTGCTTTATCCGCAAACATTATATGCTATTCTACAATAGGCTATTTAATACTATGCATAACTAATAAATTTGGATTAAAATTAGCTGCTTATGCAAGGTGCTGCATTTGGTAACAGCAATCTAACAGATAGCTAATTGACGAGATTAAATGCTCTACCTTTCTTAAACTTTTTAGTTGGTAAAGAATCGACGCGTCGACGAAGCCTGTTTCGATCTCGATGCTTCTGAACCATCATATGTAAACCACTGATTGCCTTTTTATTACAATCATGAATAGCAACGATTATAAATTAAAATTATTATTTATCTTATCAGGAGAAAAATATAAATTGAGATAGTTATTGTGATAGTAACTTTTTAAGTTCAACCTGATCAAATATCTACTTTGGAATGAAAGCATATAAAGTATACCGTACATACCAGTCCTAATAGCATCAGAATACAAATTACTCCAATCATTACAAAAGGTAAGCAGTAAAAAGTCCATAATGATGGAAACGTTCTAGCCAAAACTATTGTCGCTCTAGTGACAAAAATTAGAAATAGACAATTCAAAATAAATGCCTGAATCTCTGGATTAATATTTGCTTCTCTTTTATTTCGATTAGTGAATAAATTAAGGTACCCCGTGGCATAAAAGAAAGACTCTCGCAGAGCAAATCCAGTTTCCTAAAGTCATAAAGACACAATAAGCCGTGCAAAAAATCCTAAAATTCAAACTGATTTGATTAATTAATATTTATTATCTTCATTTTCATTTGGGAGTTCTCATTACAATTATCATGCACTAGAGTCAAATCTACATTTAAAAGCATCGGTAAGTCCTCAGGATGAGAGTACATTGGGTATTTCCCTAGCTGTTAAATTTATTCATGGTTCTGACTAATTTGACCAGTAAATAACAACAACGATGGTAGAATTATATTATTGACAGAGAAATCGATTACATCTGAAATTGAATACTAATGAACTTTAAGATTAAAAGTTTTAGCCTCTATTTAATATAAATGTATAACTAGATATGCTGTCGATTACTTAAAATGCGAAACCGTAGAAAGCACCTGCTTTTGATCACACTAAAATGATGAAAGGATTAATTTAATGGTTAACAATTTTTTCCTTTTATAGCTGCTCGTAGATGGATTAATATTAGTATCTACCAAAATAAATTTAAATACTCTTAGCTTAAGTCTAATATATGGATTGATTTAACGCTATTTCTGTATTTGAAATATAGTAATAATGACTAGATAGCGTAACTTTAAGTTCTAAAATTCTGTATGAATTAGTGATGAAATCTTTAGCACTAGCTGATATTACAAACATTTCTAGCATAAATAGTTCTTTACTAATACTGCAAATCAGTACCATTTCGTTTAAAAGATCTCCGTATGGTAAAATTTGACGTTAACTTTGTACTAAATTAGTGAGAACAATTCTCAATGGCTAGTTTTAGATAAAATGTAGCAAAGATGCTTACATTTAGAGATTCAGTGTTTGCTATTAAAGATATTTGCTTAGTAATATGATTATTGGCCAATTTTTGCAACGCTTGGTCTACTCATATAGAATGATGTGATTACGATAACGAAGGCTTTAGTGAACATTCTAAAGGTTTAAGTTATCTATATTTTGAAGACTCATAGGTAGATTTCTATCGTGCATAATACAATTAAATCTGCTCTAGTACAGCCAAAATAATGAATAGCTCTACTAGAACATTATTCTTAGTCAATTTAGAACTGGAATACGTATATATTTGTTAATTGTAAGACTTGATGACAATTAAATGTAGAATTTTCTGTTGATAGTATTTTAGTCTTAGAAGTTAGTCACAATTTAGTCTACTCAATACTAATATTAAAATTAAAAATAAGACATATAATCAATCTTATCATCAAAATATTCAAACTTACTTCGCCGACAAAAATTGAAGGTATCTGAACGACTGCGAAGTCTAAAATACAATTAAGCAACTATCGTTTATAAACGATCGTAATATAATAAATGGTGAATAAAACACGCAAACTATTCCCCTATTCCTTAAATCAGAGGACAATTTTAATATCTTTCTAATAGAAATAATTAAACACCTGGTCCACCTTCCATTCGTGTTATTTCATTGGATCCACCATTATTATATACGATAGCGGCAGCGTATCCAGCCTGTTGGGCCGTATAAACTTTGACAGAAAAATCACATCCGCCACGCCTAATGACCACAAACCAATTTAATTTAGATGAATTATAAGGCGGCGGACGAATTGTGGAGCAGGCATCTATTGGATTAGCTGTATTAATAATGCCCTGAAATAGAATTTTCAGAGTTCAATTTAGCAATAATCTTAAATTTACTCATTTATTAGTTACATAAGAGCGCATATAAGTCGGATTTCATAACCACTATGCCTTGCAAAACTACATTTTAGAACAGAAACGCACTCTCAGTCCATTCATCGGAAGGCGAGGTCCAAATTTTGCTTCCAAACTTGGAAACACGAATGTTACGTTGGTTGCTGTGGTCTAAAGATAGAAATTCAATAAGTAACCTAATTTCGTTATTTTAAGTTAGTTATATCATTTAATCTCATCATCCTATCACTTTTCTACGTACGACTGTAACTATGAATTGGACTAGTACAGATCAAGGCAACATTATCTCAGTCGAATCCAAAGCAAGTGAGTCAATTAGTTTTTAATAGTATTTTACTTACCGCATAAAGCTCACCATTGACCTTGTGTAGCAATAAAATTAACGCTACGGTAGAAGCAAGATAATACTTGACCATTAATACAGACATATTTGCTAGAAAGAATGGCGCCGTCCTAACTATATATAGAGTACCCAAATGAGTAGGAATGGATAAGTTTTCTTACGAAAGTATTATATTATCAAATTAATAGAAATAATGCAATATTGAGCGGATCGAGAGCTATATAGAATTAAATGATCGGGAACAGAGGAAATAGACACTATTTCACATACTGTAGGGTTTAAAATAAAGAGAATTAATATTCGAAAGTTAAGAGCTAATATCTCAGGCGTATATCCGCGTATGAAAAGTCTACAATTATCCAAAACTTGTTGTAAAACTTGTACCATGAACAAAAATTTAGAGTGAGTAGTTTAGGCGATTATACAATTAATTAATAAATGATATTCAAGCGTATTGCTCTATATCTGATATTTCTATTCACATCATTTTCTAGTATAGCTAAAAATATGCGTAACATAATACTTCTCGCCTAGATCAGAATGCAATATTTACTAATTATTGAAATGCGTTAGTTTGCATTCTTTAGCGATAGCAATCAATTGTAATGGACGTAAATGAAAACTTAGAAAGCTAACGAAGTTTATTCCAAAATACAATTGACAAAATTTAAGGATAACTATCATCGGAGACTATTGAATAAATATTCAACTATTCTTTCGTGCCAGAACTATATTGTAATAACTTCTACAATCGGTGGTCGAAATGTACTGAAATTACTTATCGTTGTCTACTTGCTGTCTGATTAAATTTAAAATTTTGAACATTTTCAATTCCATATATAGGTAGAATATTTATAAAACACTTCTGATACACTAAATGGCCTATTCGATAACATAGCCATACCCAGGTAGATCATAAACCATATTGGAATTGCACTTGTTGGTGTGGAAAGTACCGCAATGCTTGGATTAAAACTGCTATCTTATGTAACACCAACGGGACAAACATAAGTGACAAGTCGATAAAAATAGGAATTAAACGTCAGGCAGCATATGCTTTATAAATACGCTAAGCTTTATCGCTTGCAATGATCAATATAAGTATTATACAAGGACAAGAGTGTGTACCGTATCCCGTGATATATATATATACACAGTGTATGAGATTTAAATATGCAAAAAAGTGACGTTACATTCGACCACTTTCTTAATATTCCAGATTGCAAGCATTATGAGCTAGGAATAGCCCTAACTTGCAACAAGGATTGAGAGGATGATTTCTATCCTCTACTACTGTTATTTGGAATACCAGACAATTGGTATTCCAAGGCAGTTAGGGTTTAACACAAGGAGACCTTCAAGACTTACTAGAAAATCACAAGCTAATATATTATCGGCGAACTCGCCGTTATATAGGTTTCGGACGTAAAACCGGTTTAGCTACAAAAGTCACCTCGTCTATTAGAAATTAACCAAATTAATACCCAAAAGAGATTCTATCTGTACAGATTAGATACAGTCTAATCCTATTAAATTTACTGTAACAGTATTAAAATAATCAATGCTTTATAGATAGTTTAACAGATAAATATAAAGCTATCCTACTAAGACATTTCCTCTAAAGAATTGTACTTTGAATCTGAACAACCAAGGGGGTGATACATATAATCCAGTTTAGCTGGTTGGCAGTTACTATTTTAAAGTCTATGTAATCCTAAATTAAGGATATCAACTGTTAACCACTAAAATTACAATTAAGGAGACCGTAAATCATTTCTGAGATATAAACACATATAGAACGTAACATAGAAATAAAGTATACGTCACGAAGATTACTTTCGTGACACAAAGACAACAATAAATTTTATTTTGTTTAGGAAAAGAATATCAATATACATTACATTTCAACCCGCTTTACTAAAGCGAAACGTAAGTAAGGTCGGGTACAAACATTATGTACAATTGGACAGTAATTTCAGAAACACAACTGAAAAATCATTATACCTTGGGTCTATTATTTAGCCAATTTTAACGTAATAATCAACAGTTAAGGGAAGAATATTGTCGTTGAAAACTTTTCAATAGCATTGAATACCTAAAGCTACCAATTTTTAAAACATACATTTGGATAAAGCTACATAAATTCTTCTCATCCCTGCATGCAGATGTCAAAATTTACACTACGCTTTGATGATATTCCATAATGATAAGAAATATAAAATTACAAGGTGAATGATATCAGTTGGATTTACCAACATCATCTTGGCCTTTCTTACTGCTACTATAATGCCTATATTCGGGTTTTAACTCCCATAAATTTCGATATCGTTTTTCCTTTGTATTGAATTGTCCAATTTCGTGCATAATTCCTTTAAGGTACATCTAATACGGTAAAATCATACATTTAGGTTGATCAACATTGGGATATTGTTAAAAAGAGTACAAAATTAGTGGCATTTGATGTCATACTCAATTTGCTATTGAGTCGTGTAGAAACGAGAGTGGAATAACTCTAGCTTTTACTTACCACAGGTTGTTGCGTAATGTCTGCTAAACTTTTAAGACTATAATATTGATGCTTTTCAAAAGCGGCAAATAACATCTCTTTTACGTGATCACGATCAGCACGAGCTCTCTTGCCTTCTTCCTTCTTCTGTACAGGTACTCGAAGTTCAACATGATCAGAAACTGGACGATATGTATTAACAACTTGACTTAAAAACTTAGGTTGACGACGAGGAGATTTTGCAAGTTCTGTTTTTCTACGCTTGAGATTCAAATACATTCGTTCATTAAGCGCCCTTAGGTCAATTTTTCGTACAACTTTACCAACAATTTCTGGTTCTGCATGGAATGTTCAGTTTGAGATAGTTGGTAAGGCAATGCATCAATTTTGGGAATATTTTTGCTGTCACAACAGTAAAAGACTACGGTATCTTTCAGAAACTTACCAGTCGATGAATCGGCGGCGTTGTCTATTGCTGAAAGGGTTATGCAACGTATTTTAACAGATTGTCATAAAAACAGAGTAAATGGTTAGTATTGATAGCATACAATAGATTATACACTGAACGATTGATTCATTAAGGCTTGCTACGATATATCAAGCATGATTTAGCTCAGATTTAGTTTACCACTGATTATTTGTATGGATTGAAACACTATAGCACCTTGGTTACCAATACTATTACTATGTATACTTGGAAATGTCTAACACTATGGCCATTCATAACCGCTATTCCAATTATAGCATGCAATGAACAAATTTAGCTTGAAATACTTACACAGTGATCGTTTTAACGCTACTTGATATTGTCCACACTCATTGGAAACTAATTTATATTCCGTAGGAATATTTGCTTCGCCACTTGAAGTAGCTGTAGTTAAGCTATTTTCCAAAAGAAATAACATCTACATTGCAAAGATATATCATCTTTTCAAATTAATCTTGCAAAAATTCACCCTATCACATAACAATGCTAAAGAAAGGGAAACTAACCTCTTCATTGGGGCCTTTTCTATGTCATTACCAATTTAAGAATAAAACGTATAAATTCCAAATTAGGTATATTTGTGGTATCCTTATATCATACAACTCTTTGACGCATTAAAACCCTACAAATAGACCGCAATATAGTTTTGCGTAAACTTACTTTTGGATCTTGACGGAGCCTACCTTACCACTCTCTGACTTTTGCCAGGCCTGCGATACAAATTTAGGAACCTATAACATAAAAATTAGCAAGACGAACAACTTGAAAGGGTTCATTGCATTGCCTACTCAATTCCTTTATAATTTTGTAGAAATTAGTGAGACGAACAACTTTGAAGGGTTCATTACATTGCCGACTCAATTCCTTTATAATTTTGTAGAAATTAGTGAGACGAACAACTTTGAAGGGTTCATTACATTGCCGACTCAATTCCTTTACAATTTTGTAAAAATTAGCGAGACGAATAACTTAAAAGGGTTCATTACATTGCCTAGTCAATTCCTTTATAATTTTGTAATAACTGTAAACCAGTCATTACTTGGATTTGCTGAATGCGATATTACACTGGCATCAGAGCTATCTCAAATGCTATGTTGTCAACGAGATTGTCAATAACTTGGCATCGGCAATCGTTAACAATAATAATAAGAGTAAAAGGAAACGGGAAGAGTTCTTCTAGGCAATGAATTGGCTGAAAGTCTACATTATAGAGTGAACGATATACCAACGGAACTCGTATGCGTCAATTTGCCGATAGCTAAGTCGATATTTAATAATAATACTGCAACAATTGCTATGGCATGTGAATAGTAAATTAGTAAAGTAGACGCAATTAACTCTTTCGTTACCAATTATCAGTGACGTGTTGCAACATCGATTGCCTACCATACGGCAAACTACTGAGAATCTTCAAGCCTACTGTAAGCAGACATTGCCATTTGCTTTAGTATTGCCGACTAATTATCAACTAATACAACGTTGGAATAATGGATAATGGTACTCTAATCAGCAAAGGCAATATCAAGCGAAAACCATGTCAGTCAGAATAAGTGTCTTGTATCGCCTATCTACTGTACTACGACAGATTTTATTGCCAGAGTCATGGAGTTGATCAATTTATAATTCTTCATTAAAGTACTCTACTCGTAAGTAGTGTATTACCTTTAGCAACCAAACACTTTGATCGGCACTGGATACGTCCACAGATTCTTTACCATCATCCATTCTATTATTTCTATGTATCGACTGGAGTATAATCAACGCTGTTTTATCCTAGAGATGGTTTCTGTGGTATGATCAAAGTCAAGAAAAAAAGTAAACACCGTTAGCAGAGTTTTTTGTAGTATACGAAATAAGTCGATTGCCAAGTTTGACAAAATTGAACTATTAACGCAAAGACAGTATTTTAATCGATATTAAAGTGGAGAGATGTTGATGGTAGGATTGCAATACGAGCCAATAAAAGGAAAATAAAATGAAATGATCCTGTCATCTCTAATCTTCCCGTAATAAAATGTAAGATCGACGCTTCATTATTGCTAAGAGGGAAATTGATTTCATTTTGTCATTTGATGGTTACCATGTTGTACGTGAAAGTATCGCCGATCGAGTCCTCTGGCAACCCTAGCGTTGGATGTCAATCTCAATCCATTGCTAAGAGGGAAATTGATTTCATTTTGTCATTGGATGGCTACCATGTTGTACGTGAAAGTATCGCCGATCGAGTCCTCTGGCAACCCTAGCCATGGATGTCAATCTCAATCCATTGCTATGAGGGAAATTGATTTCAGTGAAAGTATCGCCGATCGAGTCTTCTGGCAACCCTAGCCATGGATGTCAATCTCAATCCATTGCTAAGAGGGAAATTGATTTCATTTTGTCATTGGATGGCTACCATGTTGTACGTGAAAGTATCGCCGATCGAGTCCTCTGGCAACCCTAGCCATGGATGTCAATCTCAATCCATTGCTAAGAGGGAAATTGATTTCAGTGAAAGTATCGCCGATCGAGTCTTCTGGCAACCCTAGCCATGGATGTCAATCTCAATCCATTGCTAAGAGGGAAATTGATTTCATTTTGTCATTAGATCGTTACCATGTTGCAAGTGAAAATATCGTAAATCGATGGCAACCCTAGCCATGGATATCAATCTCAATACGTATCCATTTCAGTCGAGTCCACGAAGGCTACTCGCCATCAAAGTCAATTAAAATCAATCCCAACTCTTGATTCATCCATCGTCTGCTTGATGGACTGATGATGATATTGTAGCAAGCTGATGTTGTACTTTTACCATGACATGGACAACGAATCAAGTATATCCTAAAATACATATCAAGCTCATCCCCAACGTTGAGTTGTCATCGTCAACTGATTGGACAGGGTACTACATGAAATGGATCAACGGATCAACTGATTCCTACTCAGTAGAAATGATCCAATTTTAAATTATTAGCATTACCTAGGCCTAATAAGACAGCAATTTTAACCTCGGCTCTTGACTTGATCAACTCGATGGCGAAAATGGCTGCCGCAAGGAAAGCTCCAATTCAGCGCAGCCTTGTTGCAGTACTTCAACTGCTGTGCGTCTCATCCCAAGTCAATTTCGTGGCGAGTCCAGTAGACGCTTTCGACTCCAGTACTGTACACTGTACACTACAGTACTATACACTGTAGTTGGCCATCCATGGGATCAAGGGCACACCGTGCTTAGTACTGTAACCACAATCCTTCCTAACTTGGAACTGTAGCTTGGGGACTGGAATACGCTGGTGATATTGACCAGGACGGTGCCCATGTCGCCTACTGTATACACTAGGCGACATGGTCTACATGGGTAGTTTAAAATACTTTATTGACTGTGGCATGAATGCGCTAAACCGGCAAAACTCCATTTTGTCTACTGTACCTCTATGACCGCAGATATTCACCAAAATGGTGCCCAATCCATTTCAATGTCAAAACTCCTTCTTGTCTACTCTATGACCGGAGATATTCACCATAATGGTGCCCAATCCATTTCAATGTCAAAACTCCTTTTTGTCTACTCTATGACCTGAGATATTCACCATAATGGTGCCCAATCCATTTCAATGTCAAAACTCCTTGTTGTCTACTCTATGACCTGAGATATTCACCATAATGGTGCCCAATCCATTTCAATGTCAAAACTCCTTCTTGTCTACTCTATGACCGGAGATATTCACCATAACGGTGCCCAATCCATTTCAATGTCAAAACTCCTTTTCGTCTACTCTATGAACTGAGATATTCACCATAATGGTGCCCAATCCATTTCAACGTCAAAACTCCTTTTTGTCTTCTGTACCTCTATAACCGGCGATAAAACTACTTTTGTCTAGCGTACCTCTATGACCGACGATAAAACTACTTTTGTCTAGCGTACCGCTATGACCGACGATAAAACTACTTTTGTCTACTGTACCTCTATGACCGGCGATATTCATCATAATGGTGCCCAATCCATTTCAACGTCAAAACTCCTTTTTGTCTACTGTACCTCTATGACCATTGATATTCACCATAAAAATAATGGTGCCCATGTCGATATACAGTATGCGACATGGCCTACATGGGTAGCTTAGAATACTTTATTGACAGTGCCATCAATGCGTTTAGAAGTACAAAAATACTTTTGCACTTGAAGGGCAAAACTACATACTTTTATGACCAGTGATATTAATAGTAAACTACTTTCATGATCAGTGATATTAATAGTCCATACTTGATTGAAAAAATACTTTTTGATGATTGGTGATATTGATGATACATACTTGATTGAAAAAATACTTTTTGATGACCGGTGATATTAGTAATAAATACTTGATTGAAAAAATACTTTAGATGACCGCTGATATTGATCAATAATACAGTAAAGTACTTGATACAGTATCTCGACCAGTGTGCTGCCTACTGTCTTCTGAATCCTGCTTAATTTGGAACTGTAGCTTTTGGACTTGACCAATCATTTTTGTACGGTATACTGGACCTCTATGACCGGTGATATTAACAACGAAAATAGACATACTTTATTTCTATCTCTAGGACCGAACATATTCAAAAGAAGGACAAAGCGATGGGTTAAAATGCGAGTAGGTTCCAAAGCGAGCCTTGCAACAAGAAACGACTGAAAAATAGTCCGCCTTACTTCGGTGGCAAATAGACGGCACTTTATTCCACTACTCACTCACTTGAAGCTGGCATAAGCACATTATTGGACAGTTTCTTTCATGTCGATAAGGATAATATTTTAAACAGGTTATTATTGGACAGTTTCTTTCATGTCGATTAGGATAATATTTAAACAGGTTATTATTGGACAGTTACTTTCATGTCGATATGGATAATATTTTAAACAGGTTATTATACGCTATCGAATTACAAAACGACAACTCATGCAATATGTCGCCAATTCTGCACCAAACATGATTTCTGTCTAGCGTTGTCAATGACTTGAAATCCACAGTACATACAGTAAAGTCAATCTGCTCAATCATTCCCAGCAGGATACTCTGTTGTAACACTAAATTATAGCATGTGCAACGCATCAATAAAACTTTCAAAACGCATGAATAGTCCGCTTACTCTTTTCTTCCCCATATTGCGTAGGAAAATCAACAAACAGATATTACATATCCTTCCAACTATCATCAACTACTATTAGAAATCGAGAGAGTTTTGAACAAGAATGAGTTGCTCCATTTATCATCATCGAATAGGCTTAACAAACAATTATGTAGACGATGTAGTTATAAAAGTAGGCGACTATTGAATATTTCCATTAGCATGAAAAGCAACGAATAACATGGACGACACGTGATGTTGGCGATTTCTAATGATCTAGATAATCATTGAGGTTGGTAAATCCATCCTATCCCTAGAAATACAAAACCAGCAAAAGTACAACTTAATCCAGTAATATTGATACGGGTATCCAATGAAAGTATATAATATGATTGCATTACGATAATAATATTGAAAGGGCTTGTTGTCCTAAACAGATTAATAACGGCCATCAATTTTCAAGCATAGTAAAATGATAATATCAATTTATCAGTAATGAACTTAAGGCGGTCCTAGCAGCTAGCAAATTCAAAATAAACAGATTCAAAAAATACGACGTGAACTTTCGCGAATTTAAAAATTCCAAGTAATCACTCATCCGTCCATTTTCGTCATTATTCTTAGACAACCGTAATTTGACGACAGTGATTTTTTTATTTACTATCGGCTTTTCATCATAGATTGAGATCAGCACGTTGCTATTTGCTAATTAAAATCAAACTACGTGTAGTAAACAATTAAATCTGTCACTTTGTTTGAATGGTTGCTTGGAATCTGTCTATAAATCTATTGGTATGTTATCATACTTCCAACGAGATTAGGCAAGCGGGAAGCTAAAGCTAATTTCGATGTCCATTGCTACTATGCTTTAATAGTTTCATTCTAATTTTGTAAAACAGCTCGATTATGCACGGTTAAAATATAAATGATATACTGCGCACTTTATTTAAAATGACAGTACATTTACAAAACGAATACCTAGGTATCCTGACTAATTTAACCACAGATTACAGAAATTAAAATGGACAAGAAAATAACAATAGTCTATATTACAGAATATCATAATTGTCAGTTATACCTCATTTATCCGTTAGAAATTACATCTAGTTACAGACTAGCAGTAAATCTTAAACTCTTAGCAATAAATAAGCAACCTGAAATCAAGGGTATCTAAGTAGGTGTAATCACATTGAACGGCGTACAACTCTAGTACATAATCTCCTAAGATAGACCGCTAGAATAATGTTACAGTCATAACAGACTGGCCTTATACTTTCGCTACCAATCATCAAACAAAAGTGGAATAATGCTATTTTACAATAGTTTTGCTACATTGATATCTCGTATTATTTTACAGTATTGGAAATGCATTTCTCAATCGCTAGACTTAACATAATATGATTCTTTATTGCAACCTGAATAACTTTTAGTTAAAAATAAAATAGTAGAGGGATCAAAGGTTATAAAATCACGTAAACATCATTCAATATCGTATGTTACTAATTTTATTCTATATCAATCAAGTTTATTTCATTTCGAGCCCTTTCTTTGCAATAAAACCCAAAATTGCCGGTAGCTCATATCAGCAATCACGAAACAGGAATTTCAACCGTTAATTAGTTTCAAAACAATGCAGCTAAAGCAGCCTAAGTCAACAAATTGATATCTGCCTGTGTCTAATCACCAGATTATAAAGGTCCGTATTAGTTACAAAGAGAGTTAATACAAGCTGTAAACCCACCTTTCTAAATGTTGTAGACTCTATATCGTCATTGCAATTCTTTGGTAAAATCCCAATTAAAACTAATCATTAGAGTTGCATATATATTAGTATAGTATTGTGTGATATTATCAGAATGCATTTCTAGTTACTTCTAGAGTAATGTAGACAATTTACCGTAACGTCCAAAGCGGTAGGTGTAAATTCATTTTAAATATATAAATTATCGATATCTGGCAACAAATTTGGGAAATTTGAATGATTCAAATTGGAGTCATCATTACCCTCCGACAATTTAGACAGCATGCTTTCAGGAAATGTTATTGCTACTTATTACGCAACTACAAGGTGTATACTTCATGATTCTGATTTGAGGCTTAAATGAGTACATTAATATATTATGTCGCTGTCATTAGATCACAATCATTTAGGAACCGCTATACACCTAACTTTTTTCAGTTAAAGATTCAAGAATTAACAGTGGTGTAATATTATTTCCTACAAATTACTCATTATACCGGTTACGAATTGACCAAATCATAATTTATAAATTTGGTAAAGAAACCAAATAAAAAAACAATTCTGATATCCGTCTTTGTTCTCTTGCGCATCTGATGACTCAATAATTTTAATGGTCATTAAAATCTTAAGTATAATATAGGGTATAAACATAAATATCAATAGATGTTTTGTCTATGCACATCATAAGGTTAAAATCGATAATGCCGCACAAACGAGTCCAGATAATTATAATCTACTGACTAATGATGGAAGTGATAGAATCGCACCCTTATAAATGAAGATTTGGGCAAATATTGAACTAAAAGCATACTGTGAGGGATAGTGAGTATATGTTTCAATATTCTACTTTTCAGAGAAGAAAGAATAATTATACAGTAATAATCGCTACTCACTCTATTAAAAGCAATGGTACATTTTTTTCTACGTCGATTTCACCTCATTAATTTTCTATACTAACAATTATTACCGTAGTGCTCACAGATGTAACGCTGGACGCTATTTTTGCTAATACTAATCTGATAAAATTTAGCCTAATTCTTTTAATTCATCATGACCATAATGAAATTTGAAGTAATTTTGAAGCTATTCAAATTTTACAGACATCCATTTCATGATAAGATGATTGATCATAAATAATTGTTTTAATATATTTTAAAGTCTGTGATAGAATTATTTACAATAGTCTCAAATAGACAGAGTGCAGCTGAGTATTTGCCATTTCTTATCCGCAATGATCGCTTTTATGATATACAATCTCAGCTCCAAATTGTTCTTTACTTTAAAATTACAGTATAAGCATATGGATGGATATACATCGGATACGCTATTGAAATACATATTATCCTTCTTTGTTTCTCAAAATGCAATACTATGACACGATACACAGGTAGATTTAAAATTTTATCCATGTCTGCACAAACATTAAAATCGTCAGCCATATTAATGCGTCCAGATTGGATAGTCTGCCTCCATATTAATGAACTTAAGCATTAATGCTTTATTGATATTAAAACAAAATTCTATTCTTTCACGTTTAATTACAATTTTAAAGCAGGTGTCATGTAAATTGAATTACGTATGTATTATAGTCGAGACTAGAATAATTTTCTAATCACATTTGCTCAAAAAAGCTTTCACTGTCTACTAAGGCAGAATTGAATGAGTATTACAAAGATTTCGGGAATACAATCTCAAAGCCATTACTACAATTTGCCGCCATATTTTGGCATAATTATTATAAAGTCCTTCTCTATCTCATCGATAAAGAAGACCAAGCTGCAAATGATCGATTTAAAACAAACACTTAATTGAAAAGTTATTCTCTCGTCTAAATAGTATCTAATTCTAGAAATAGTTAAAGCATTCATATTAACTTCATTTGAGTTCAGACCGTGCAAGTACATACGACATAAAAATCATCACGTACGATGAAACTAAGACTGATTTACCTTCATCTTAACTCTTAAAATGAATTTTTAGACTAACTATCAGATAAAATACGCTTCAAGAATGATTTGATCATTTACTATCAAGTATTTAAAGTATGAGAATATTCTCATTAACGTAACAACGTATAATATAGAAGATATTTTACTCATCAAGATTTCTCATAGCCGCTAGTTTTGATACAATACACGTAACATTAAGATCATAATCAATTTTTATATATTAACATTGAATAAGAAATCTTAAAGTATAATACACGCATCTAATATTTCTAAAACGAGAACTAACATTAATGTAGATTCTACTCAAAATAAAAAATAATTAGCTCAATATTCCTAAATATATTTAAGACATAGTATTCTATCCTATACAGAAGGATGTAACAATAAATCTTTATTATAGGAAATTTTCATATTCATCATTAAAGAACAAAGCCAAGTCAAATATTCAAATGAAATCCTGATCATATTTGATTTTTTACCAAATTAAATCGGCGTTATTCGCTTTAAGCCCGGCTAACCATGAATTAAATATTCGACTTATTCATTCTCTTATTAACAGTCTGTATTCTAATACGGCATTATTTCAGGAGCGATTTTAACCAATATGCTTTATTAAGGTAAAAACCTTGATGTTTTCTTCATAGTTAAGTTTTATGGCCACTTAAGCAGGATAAAAATTAGTACAGCGGTCTTACGTAATCCATTTTATAAAATAACGGGATCTACGTGGTCTACGCAAACATATATAAAGTATTCTTTGACAATAATCAATAATTGATTATTTCCCAAATAAAATTTTAGTTTGTGCCTTCTTTCTCTTATCTATAAGGAAATACAAGTCAATATACATATCATTTGCATGTTTTCTTTATTCATTCACGACAGTAAATATTATTATAATACATTAGCTAGCAGAAACTTCTATCTTTCTTGAAATCTTTGGCGTTCAATATGAAAAGAGATGCATGCTGTAAATGCATTCTGAAGTATTTGATGAGGGTGATAGTTAATCGATGTATAAGATAGATATTAGCATGATTGATCGGTTGTTTTTGTGATTTCATCATGGCAAATGGTGATCGCCAATGCTGGTGTACATAGCTCTTTGATGGCTAACGATTGATTTTTGGTCTGAAGGATTAAATCAGCTCTAGATATTTCACCAGGTAATGCGGTAAATCGTCGATTGATAAAAGAATGCGTAATATCTTTACAGCCTTCACGGAATCTTGTATTTAATGCTGCATAAAGTATTGGATTGATTAAAGTATCGAAATAGGCGACAGTGCGACAGACGACGGAAATTTTAATTATAGTTGCTGCTGATATCCGAATTACGGAATATTCAAGAAAAATTTTATAAATTTGACTAGGTGCAATACATACTACAAATGCCAATATAATTAAACTTACAATAACCATCACACGCTTTTTCATTTTATTAGCAATTTGATTACTAGATGTTGTTTTACCCGTTCGTAGAACAGCAATAAGCATATGAAAATTGCAATATAGCATGATAACGAAGGGTATAAGATAAATAATAATAACAACCAAGAGGCGATAGACTGAGCGAATATTGCTAGGCATTAAATTAACACAAAGTTTCATGCCACGTATGTTTTCTGTAGAGACAAAGATCAGTGTTGGAATAACCAACAAGCTCGATATTAGCCATATACTGGAAATGACCAGAACAACTGATTTGGTAATCCAAAATTTTGACGATGGATAAACCACTTGAAAATAACGATCGACACTAATAATCGTCAATGTTAACGACATAGTATAGAAACATGCTTGACTAATTGCTGGTGAAAGCTTACATATTGCGTTACCCAGCATATAGTGCCGATTTTCATGCATAATATCAGTAATTAAACTAAATGGTACATTAATGCTTAACACGAGGAGATCAGCATACATTAAATTGATTAAATAGTAATTAGCTACGCCTTTTAATTTAGGTGAACGATAAATAACTACTAAAACAAAAATATTAGCGGGTACACCGATAGTTAATAACGCAGCATAGATGACAATAAATGCGATATTCCACGTCGAGATGACAAGCTGAGGTGGTAAATAGTAAGTGTAATTGCTTGAAGGTACTGAAGTTGCGTTAGAAGCAGAAGTTGTCCATATTCCGTCGGCGATGGAAGATAAAGTAGTAGTTGGTAGACTGGAGGGATGATCACTGGGCGAGAAATAGCCAGTTATCGGCCAGGTTGCCATGATTTAGAGGTATCGCGATCAATTTGATTATAATCAGTCTATAAATGATAGTGATAATTAACAGTAACCAAGTCAGAAAGGTGAAAGTGGATGAAATTTAATCAGAATCAAAATGATATAGCGTTATAGACAAAGGAAAGATTTTTTCAAAACCTATTTACGAGAATAATTTCTATATTTAACATGCAACAGAAGAAAAAAGAGAATAAAGAGACAAAAAAAATTTGAACGTACGGGAATTTCAATACTACCGTAGCTAAATAAAAACAAAAATCAAGAAAAATTCAAGTCAATGAGAGTTCGGTTGGAATCTATAGCAACCTACTGATTCAGAAATTGAATTACCTTCTCTTATAAATTCTCGAGATTTGACGGAAATAAATTGAATAATATCCAAATCAATGCTAAAGACAAGAAAAATCAATTATCACTTAGTATTCAATTTGCGGCAGATATTTCATACATGTTCAGTAACTGACGTTGTTCACAGTCAATAATTTGCTGAGTGTTATTAATAGAAGACAGCATATTAATTATGTTAGTAAGAGTTTACTATTGAAAGTTAATGCTAAAATAACCCAACAATGATATAGTAGAACACAGTAAAGTCTAACTAAATGGCTATCCTAATAATACTTTAGATATAATTAATTAGAGGACGACACAAAATTTAAACTAGTAAGAATTTAATATATATTTATAGAGAATGCAAAATAGAAACATTGATTATGTTATTATTAGTAGTTAATTTTATAAAATACTAGTAGTTAATTTATTCATCTGCGCTAATACAAGTTGAAGATCCAATTAACAAAACTGCACAAACAGATCAAACTCATATCAAAGTAAAATCCAACAAATTGGTTAATTTGGCAATGAACTGATTTCAACCTTATGATAATAAAGACGAATTCTCACCTTATTCTGAGATATTTATACGAAATGAAATTTGTAGATTTTTCAGCGAATTATAAGTGTAATCCGAAAGGAGCCGGGAAAGAAATAATTATAAATCGGTTTTAGTGGACTTTAATTATTCTAATCCTCAAAACAAGTATTTCAATACATTGGTATTGATTGAAAATACACTTAAAGTAGAGAAGGACTAAAGTTATTCCAATCCCAGTTTAAATTGATGGAATTTGAGGCATAAAAATCGAATTTGTGTTGTTTTCCAAGTCAATCCAAGTTGATGTTCAATAACACTTTAGATTAGCAGTTATTGGGTAAGGAAAATTAATCCAGCTGAAGCAAGATATTACTATCTCAGGTGTTATAATTATCCAATCGAAATAAAAAAAATCGAATAAAATTTCGAATTCTATAACTTAAGGTTATCAAATCGATTCATCAATCACAGGATTCAATGTTCATCTCTCTCAGGGATAACTTCGAACGTATAAAACTTCAACTAATGACTTTTACAGTATTACATTGAAATAAGTACCAAAGCAAGCGCGGTTGATAAATTAATTTTAATTCTATTGTTGATGAATTAAATTCCTGACATTTTTAAAATTAATGCTCGTAGAGAAATGTATTGTCGTGATTATTTGTTTAGACATTTTAGATATTATATTGATTGATGATTGAATAGATGCAGCTGTATTTTTGCTTGAATAATTTAACTGAATTGAATTTTTCATCTTGCTTAAGGGAATCCAAATGATTGATTGATTATTATTGGCTACGTTATCATTGAAAACAGTTCGTTAACATAATGACGGCGATAGATTTGTTCTTGAATAAACTTATTATCAATTTCAAGTGCAAAATAATCTCAAAGATAGGCAAGAAAATCAAATGAATAACAATTGTGATTGCAAAATTTAAAGAATGATAACATTTTCGTAAATAAAAATAACAATATGATGAAATAGTATTAACCTTGCATAATCTTCATCCTGTCATGGATAAAGAAATAAGTGAGCTAACTTTACTTTCCAAGTTAGGTTGCTTATTCCATGATTTCCATATTTATAATTACCGCAAGCGCTACGACGGCTATACGATTTGTCATAATTTATTTTATGGCTTTAATTATGACCCTTCACTCAAATTTCGTATTATAGGTCTACGCTATATTAATGACTAGCGATTTGCAGTATAAATAATAAAGATATCAACAATAAACCTTTTCAATGTCTATTTACAAGCAGGCTTCTAATATTAACTAGTCATTTAGTAGTATGTTACCAAGGCAATGCGCAATTATTGATTTAGTACCGTTCTAAGATGCATTATCTTACGTGCTAAAATAGCTCAATATCAACATGATAAACAAGTGAATAACAATCACTACATGAAAATAGTTCATCATTGCATTCATCCGTTGATCAATTTTACAGTTACCATGCATAGAAGAGAAAGAAAATAACAGACATTTCTTAACAAAAAATAACATCAGTCCAAAGTTATGCATAAAATGTAATTTGCTTACAGGCTATAGCAACGGGTATTCGCATTTATCAATGATTTTTCTTGCGCAGCTTGTGGACTGTTTCCTACTTGATTTTCAACTTCAAAATAAACAACTGCATATTGACTAAAAGTAGAAATAAATGATCTGCTATTGCCATATAAACTGTTTTATCTATCCATATATTGTATTGTTTTTATCAATCATCATAGATATAGAGAAGTACATGTTAAGATTCAACTTCTAAAATTTAAAATATATACACAGTTTGACGGAGTAAGTCTGCTAATCCTACTATTCAATAACTAGGTTCCAATTCAGAATACGAAAGAAACCTTTACTAAATTTCGTTCTAACGCCATGTCTTTGTTGAATCATTATATAATGTGAAGATGCAATCTTTTATTGTAGATGATTACCCAATTAATAGAAAATAGATTTTAATTTCCCATATCGACCTCAATTCAATTCTTTACATCATTCGAAATGAATGAAAGTATTTTTAGCGACAAGGGTATCTATCAATTGGTCACCGTAGGATAACTCCCACACTCTATCGCTATTCGTTAGCAAGATGTCGTCAATAATTATATGGAATTATTAAAATCCAAGCAAAATCCAGATTTAAATATAGCAATTTCTCATCTTAACTGAAAAAGCATATAAGCATTAATTCCCTTATCTACCATAAACAACTTATTCCATAGTCTATTTTAGTCCAGCACTTCATTTTTAAATGCTACTCTCGACGGTTAAAGTAATACTTTACAAAATTAGGTCGTAGTCATTGTACTACTATTTGCTATCGAAGTGAAGCCTTTACATAAATTACTATCTACGTCATGTCTTGTTGCAGATTTAATTTATTAACTAACATTTCCATGTCTTGTTTTACAATGGCAAATAAATCTATTAATCTAGGAATAACATCTTTATTTATTTTACTTCGTTTGATTATATCAATGATTAATTCAAACTTTCATTTTTATTTTACACAATTAGAATTAGTTAACAAAATTTTTGTAACTGAATTTACCTCACTAAAATTTTATCTATACTTTTCTTATTTGGCGATAGTAATAGAGAATTCATCAATAGTCTAAATGAAACATTATCCTGCTAGCGACTTATAAAATTTATCTTTGACTTGAGAAGGCTTTCTATTTATTTCACTTCCAGAACAAATTAACAATTTTAAAAACTTCTCAAAGTAAGAATTATTATTTGAATTTCACATCGTTATTATGCTAATGTCACCGACAATCAGCTAAGAGCTTTCCTATTTCTTTTTTACACCAAAACAAAAAAATTAGCGATCAGATTAGAAAACAACAAGAACAAATTGACGAGATCTCAATAACTTTACACTAGCTATCTCTCATTTAGAGCTTCTGCTTCTATGCCTGCAAAACTTCTGTGTAAACCTACTGCATTAAATCAAAAGCTACGTGATCAAATTCGCAGTATACTTAACGGTTAGCTAGAAATACCTTTAAAGAGAACATCGTGTGTTCATTAGTTAGTCCGTTTAGAATGTTGAAGATTTCTTTATTAATAAAATAAAAGTTGTTTATAGTCCATTCATAAATAGTAAGATTTTAAAATAAAATTAGGTAGGACAATGGAGGAAGGTAAGAATGTTTCTTGTAATTTTCTTTTTCTCATCATACCCTTTCCACTCATTAATGAACTGACTTAAAAGTATCCATCTGTTCTTATTAACAATGTACGACAAGCAATGAAACATTGAAGCTGTCAGCCGGCTATAATTCAATTGGGAATAATCTCTTTCAAAATAAGCATGGTCTAACAAAATAGTTCCTCCATAATTGTCACAATATATAGATTCACATTTCTATAAATGGATATCAAATTCTATAATGCGCGTAAATTTCTTAATGGTCAACAATAGCTGTGTGGACTACAGTATTTCTCTAGTGGAATTATTTTTAAATGTGGATATTAAACTGATAGACTATCTAATTAAAACTATAGTAATGCCAATGATGAGATTGCTGACAAATAACATGGTATTTAATGATGGTAGAAACGAGTATTGGGAACTTGATATTATCGTCATTCAAATTTTAAGCGTTTGCGATCACGTACAATTTATTCTTGTTATAAAGAAATCATTGATTAATCAAAAATCAAGATTAAAAAGCGGAGAAAGAGCAATATTTTCATTGTTCTTTCCTTAGCTAGTTACATATTTTCACTAGAGTTGGAGTATTTAGTTCATTTATAAGTGAAGCAAATTCAGTATACAGTAAAATCAAATTCGTATTCATGACTTTATCGAGTGTTAAGGAAGTGAAAATAAATATTAAACAATTTCATCCGTTAATGTTTGCTTCTGACGTGATCATAATATACTTTAATTTATTGTAATCGATAGGAAAGAGGTTAAAACATGCGAACGTATACCTTTACACAAAAGTAAACTAGGATTTAATAAACATTCTAATATTTTAACCTACGTATAAACTACTAAAGGCGGGTGTAGAAGAGAACTTAAAGTACGCGATCAATGATTTTCAAGATTTACTACAATCGATTAAGTTTTATTACCGAACAAAGC